GCAGAACAGGATAGACCCCAAACCGTGACACACTCCCCAGCTGACATAGACGCTCCTGCAGAGAGTTGATGACAGCTGAATAGAGTTAGTGTACGTAGATACCATCGAGATCATCTTGATCAGCTTGACGTAGTCCCCTCAGGCGCTCAGTGATATCCACGAGGCCAAGTTGGCGGATAAACTCCACAAATTTCTGCTTTGGTAGTACCTTCGTGAGTCCATCAGCAAGAATGTGATCAGTAGGTACCCATTTAACGTTGATACGTGAGGCGGTGACCTCCTGTCGGATCCAGAGCTGGTGGATGTCGACATGCTTGATCTTTGTATGAAGCTTATCGTGCTCCTTCGTGACAATACCAACAGTCTGCTGGTTGTCGCACCAGATGGTAGGCGTGCAGTTGAGCGTAAGGTTAATACCAACGAAGAATCGCATCCACTCTTCCATCTGCGAGGCTGCGAGGGAAAGCAGACTTGTCAACAATCAAGCTGCAAACAAGCACTTGATTGAGGCTTGATGAAAACTGCAAGTCAATCAAGTCAAGCCTCCGCCTTGTAATTTTGCAATCAATCAAGTCTTAGAGACATAGGCTTGATTGATTGGCTTGATTGGCTTGATGTTTTAGCGTTAATTTTGGCGAGGCTATTTAGGCTGCGGTACGAGCAATCTCGCGATAGGTTTGTGGTGTTGAGTTTCGCTTAGTCAGCTATATTTTAGCGCACAACCTTGATGTAATTATCTCCGTTTTGAAGCCGCTAAAGCCCACCTGTTCGCGTATACCGACGCGTTTTTGGTGTTACACTTGTCTCTATCGTCGCTATGCCGCCTACTCGACCCCCTAAACGTCCGCGCAGAGACGTGTTTGCACTAAACAAGCGCGCCAAGGTCGCTGCTCGCAGTACAGAGTCGCAGCCTATCCACATTAATAAGAGCCAACAGCCAGCTCAGCGTCTATCACCGCGCAAAGCCCTGGCGACTGTCGCGTCCCAGGCTACCGAGCCGCCCACCTTCGAATCGCAGTTGCGCGAGAGTCAGCCTGAAGCCGCTATCGTAGCGCTAACCGAGGGCAGCAGCGCCGCGACAGTTGCTATAATTGAGGACGACGAGGACGGCAACGAGGATCGCGACAAGGGTCTTGATGATCGCTTTGCCGACAACTTTGACGGCATAGATTAGTCGCGTTTGCCGCTATATTGCAAGCCTGTAGCCACCCAGAAGCAGCGCAAAAGCTGGATATACCGCTATGGCTACCGCGTTGCGCTCATTAAGGACCCCGATCGTCTTTTTTTTTGTCTGTCGCTATTGCCACCAGCACAAATGGATAGACGCTGGGCAAGGCGGTATATACGAAACGACGCTCTCAACAACAACTTCAGCCCGCCATCTTGAGCAAGTTAGACGCGGCCATAGCCTTACAGCTCCTAGTAAAACGCACAGTATAACGAAGGCAAGCAAAGGGGGGCTGCGCGCTCTATTGAAAGCCGCTAGCGTTAAGGTATCGCAGGGCCTTGCTAATAAGCTTGGGGGCTTTGATTGTCAGGCCTTTCGACATGCCGCAGTCGCCTGGCTTGTCGACGGCAACCATCCGCTCTCTGAGTTTCAAAAGCCCGCCTTTCGACAGATGCTTAAGGCTGCAAATGTAGAGGCGGAGGCGGCGTTGTGGACGTCCCACGCAAGCGTTTCGCGATACGTAATGCGTCGTTTCGACTTCATGTTACCCCAGGTCGTCATTGATCTGTCGAAGGCCCTTAGCAAGATTCACATTAGTTTTGACGGTTGGACAACAAAGGGCGGTAAACGCGGCTTCTTAGGCGTTGTTGCGCACTACGTCAACAGCGCTGGGGACCTTATAGATCTCCCTATCGCGCTGCCCCAACTAACGGGCGCCCATACTGGCGAGAAGATGGCAGAGGTTGTTAGCAAAACTCTGCAGCAGTTTGGCATTAACTCGCGTACTATCGGCTACTTTATGCTCGATAACGCTACTAATAACGACACTGCTGTCCTCAGCATCGCGCAGCAGATGGGCTTAATCGCTGCCCATCGTCGACTCCGCTGCGGTGCTCATACTCTTAACTTAGTTGGTCAGGCATTACTTTGGGGCAGCAACAACAATGCGTACGACAACGATCGCAGCGAGCTTGCTGTTAAGAGCGAGCTGTTACGCAATTGGCGCGAGAATGGGCCACTTAGCGTACTTCTTAGCGTGATCAACTACATCAGAACGCCGCAGCAGCTCGAGCTTTTTGAAAAGTTCCAGCGCATAGCTAACGCTGAGCTGCTCGCTGATCAGCGCGAAGTGCTTGCGCCAGTTAAGCCAGTTGTCACGCGCTGGAACTCGTATTGTTCCGCCTTTGAGCGCGCTGTTAAGCTGCAGCCCGCTGTTAACGCTTACGCCCATCATCATATATGCCGCGTGCGAGATGAGGATACATATGCGATTAGCCGTGGCAACAAGCTACCTGAGGCTGCGGACTGGATGCGATCTGGCGGCCTTACAGCTGCTGACTGGGCAGTTGTTACTGAGTATATCGACGTGTTGAAGCCACTAAAGTCGGCAACAAAGCGCCTAGAAGGACGTGGCAAAGACACTGAGGGCCGCGTTGGAGGCGGTCTTTACGGCGCTATCGCTGAGGTTATCCCAGTCTTTGAGTATATACTTACTTTCTACGAGCAACGCGTTGAAGCTTATAAGGCTGTCGACTATAACGCGCATGACGAAGCGCCTAAAGACCACCTCGCGATTAACCTCCGTGCTGCCTGGGCGAAGGCTAGTGATTACTATAATAAGCTTAACCTCTCACCCGCGTACTACGCTGCAACTCTACTCCATCCACGCTACAAAACGTACTGCGAGGTCGCCTAGGCGGACAAACCTGAGTGGCTAGAGTCTAACAACCGCGCGTTTCACGAGCTTTGGGCAGAGTACAACACCTCACTGCGTGCTGTAAGGCGCCCAAGGGTTGTCTCCAACGAGATCGACGACGCAATTGATGCCCTCACAGACCCAGATAGCGCTGTGGCTGCTAACGACGGCTATATAGATGAGTACGAGAGGTGGAAGGCGTGCGAACCCTAAGCTAGTAAGGGTAGCTACGCTGCCGTTCACCCTATCAAATACTGGGTAGGCTTGCGTGATCGCTACCCCAGCCTTGCGCAGATGGCTATTGACGTGCTCTCTATCCCAGCTTCAAGCTGCGAGTGTGAGCGCATGTTTAGCGAGCTTGGCGATCTCCTTGAGCCTCGGAGACGGCAGATCTCACCTCAGTTATTAGCCGCTATACAGTGCGTACGGCGGTGGCATAGGGCTGGCTTTAATCAGGGCGACGATAGCGCTGCCATGGGGACTATAACTGACGCTGATATAGACGCTATATATCAATTGTGCGATTGGGATCACGAGAACGAGAACGAGTACCTAGTATAAGCAGTTGGGTTGTATAACACCAAGTCAATCAAGCTTTTCAATCAAGCCTCAAGTAAGAACTGCAAACAAGCCAATCAATCAAGCCTTATAACAAATGTTCAAGCCTCAAGTCAAGCTGGAAGCTGAGACTTGATTGACTTGATTGTTGACAAGTCTGAGTATATTTGTGCCCCGTAGTCTGACACGCTAGTTACACATGCTAAGTATAGTTGTCTAATACCGTGTGTTGATAGACCGAGTTCAATGTTTGCTAGTCTTCCTAGCCTGTAGAACGCTTGTCTAGCTTGGCTTACACGTATAGACATATGTGATTTGAATGATAGACGGTTATCTAGATAGATACTTAGCCACTTGACAGTGTCTTTGTGTTCTACCCGGTCGTTGTTTGGGAGTGCGCTGAGCTTAGGTATACCTTCGTAGCACCCCCGCTCGTAGAGAATACCAATACCAGTCACTAGAAGAACCTCGTTGTTGTTATTCACCCCGTACGATCGTACAAGGCCTACCAACATAACCTCGTTAATCTTGTAATTTAGAAAAATCTACATGGAAAGCCATCTTCTGAGCACATCCTCGACATTTGTTTGCTATCTTGGCTTCTTACGACAAAATGGGCATATAAATCACCTCTACAGCTTCGTAGTTTGGATAAATTCTCGCATCTAGTCAACACATGAGTACCTCTTCTCCACTATTTTATATCCCGGTTCCCTGCCATGAAAACGACACGCACACCACCTCCCACCTCGTCATTTCAAAGCACTTACTCGTTCACTGAGAATATGAATGACTCCTCGTCATCATTTCATCTACCGCCTCCTCACAGCAGAACCAACATCTCATCACCGCCTTCTTATTTCAAAACACGCAACTGGAACCAGCCCAGAGACATGTAGTCGCTTATATAAATATTAGTTCTATTGTAACGGTTTGGGCCTTGCCAAGACCAACTTAGGTGAGAGTTGGGTACGGCTATCGCTACCACACTTTCTCATCACACACACCTATATAGCTGCAGTTCCTCCATAGCTACACAATGCAACGCAGTCCTCCTCCTCTTCTCACCCCGTTACATCTATATCTTTGTCCCACAACACCACAGAACCGAACCCATCCCTCGGGATTTTAAGAAATTTTAAGCATCGGATGTCCCTCTCTCAAGAACATCACACCCAACGACCACCATTCCTGGTACTCACCACCCAGACAAAATACATAGCACGCAGAAGCAAACGAAGCAAACGCATCAAACAGGTCCGCGACGGTTTTAGCTCCAGGAAAGCTCGGAAAACATAACGGGACAAAATGTTCATTTAGGAAAAGCGCAGAACATGACGCAGGAGTCGCGTACTTTTGGTCGCAGAGGGAGGGAAACATGTGTGCTTTTGGTAGCAGCTTTTAGGAGGTAGAGGAAAGATGATTTGTTTTGAAGGAAGGGAAGGAGAATAAGTGCGTTGTAGAAGGTCGAATTTATACCCAAGGCCCCCATTTGTCCACGAACCAGGTAGTCTTCTACGTCCATGGGCAAACAATAAAAAACGGTATCGTAAAAAACATGACCTCAACCATGCATAATTTGGCAAAGACGTTAATTTTGCTGCATGATCAAAGAACTAAACAAAAGACACCCGTTCTCTTGCATGCATCCTCATCCTCGTCCTCATTGCATCCCCCAACAAGAAAAAAGAGCGAAAGAAGTGTGATAAATCATATACATGTGCACACGCCCTTCCCTCACCATGCACAGAAACGACGTCCATGTGATGAGTAAAACGTCCAACAAAAACGGCCAAGAGCGAACAAAAAAACTCCTACGCCATGTATGCCTTCAACCGCCTTCACGCCTATCCTACACAAGTAGCCCACCACATGCACTCTAATCGTGACCCTTTCCTTCCTTTTCCTTCCACATGCCCGTTCAATCACACGTTTACACAGCAGCATAGCCCCCTCTACTACCGCCACCCTGGACGGTGCCCGCCACCTTTCTCGCAAAGTCCTTTGCAATGTACGGCATATCGCGGATCGTGTCGCCGTGGGGCAGGAGGTCCCATCCGCGGGCGCCGTAGCGGTTGTAGTTGAGCCAGGAGCCAAAGATGAGATAAGCAGCGATGGCGAGGAAGACACTGGATCGTGAGTTAGCAGTGCGTTCATGGTTTGAGATGTGTTTGGGGAAATGGAAATCCAGGGGCAAACGTACATGATGAAGAACCAGCCAAAGAAACCCCAGTGTGAGCCTCCGTCTGGTGATGGCGCATCTACACAAGCGTATTTTGTGCGCCATTCCAGTCGTAGTGTCTGGACCTTCTTATCCTTGTCTTCATTTTCCATTTGATAGCCGCAGAAGCGTAGACTGTTGTCCGAGTCCTCACACTTGTTCTTGGCCTTTTCCTCGCGTCGCCGCAGCTTGCCTTCCTTTTTGTCGTCGCCATCCTTCTTGTCGTCGTCCTTTTCGTCATCCTTGCCGTCATCCTGATGCGGGCTGTCGTCCTTTTCGTCGCCTTCAAGACCCGATCGCTCCTTGTCGCAGACAAATTCGATGATAGCGCGCTGATTGACACCCTCTCTCTTGTTGTCAAACGGAAATCTCCCTCCGTTCAGTGTCGCTCGTACACCCTCTCTCCCCGCATCCTGGTTGCTTTTAGAGTTGCCTAGATTCTCAAACTTGGCATCGATGCGCCTCCCCGTCTGCGTGGCGTATGTGCCGGCGATATCGATGGGCGTGATGGTTGAGTTGCCACCCGTCGCCAAGTCGATATTCTCCCTAATACCGCACACCCTCGCGCCGTGGTGGCACTCGGATGCCAGACTGCCACCCTTGTGCCATTTGAGTGAATTGCAAATATCGACGGTGAAGTTGTATTTCCACTCAAGCTCTTTGGTTAGATCGGATTCTTTCCAGTGGACGACATGGGGCCCGCCGAGCTCCTTGAAGTTGAAATGTGCGCCGTCGGCGAGTATGTCTTTGCAGTCAAACGCCCATGCGGCCTGTGGGAGGAGCGAGGTGAGGGCGAGCAGCGAGAATAGCGGGGCTCGGGACCGTGAAGGTGCCATGGCGGCGGCTACGTTGTGATGCCGACGATGTGGATGATGGGAAGGGTGAGGCGGAGCTAGGGCGGACGTCACGGCGTTACAGGGTCGATGGAGCGTCAGGAAGGGCAGCCACACGAAGTTGCGGGTCTACCAAGGCCAAATCGATAAGGGGCGCTTAGCCGGGGTCTGTGTAGAGTGTGAAGGTTGAAGGAACAGAAGCGGAGGCGCTATGGTGTGACTAGAGCGGTGCAGTGTCGCAATGTCGCGTGGATCGTCGACTCGGGGAGAAGGGAAAGTTGGCGCGAATGACGCTGCCGGCCGTCTCAAACGGCCGCCAGTCGCTTAGTCAGGTCGGGCCTCTATGACTATGCGGCATGCGCATGCACGCGCTCCGCATCAACGTCAACATCGAGATCCCTTCTTCACAACGTCAACGTGAGGCCTGAGGCATGTCGTGGATCGGTCGGCTGCCAAATCATGTTGCGCAAGCATCCTGGACCCGCGGGTCCTTGCAAGAGTCATATATCCCAGCCTTCGTACTTACTTCGGACATGCGCGGCCGTAGCCTGAACCTCAACTTTATCATCACTTCCCACTTCCCTACCACTACCACCATTCAGCGCAATATTGGCCCCCAGACCCGACCCAGTGGTCCACACAGTCTATTTGCATAATCGTCTCTCCACTAGTCTTTTCGTATACGTCGCATGGGTGGCTGTTGGTGGTCGTGTCCTCGACTCCACGCCATGGTTTTCAGATACGAGCCTGAGGCTAAAAATAGACCATGTGACCTAGGAAGCTAACACATTTGATATCTTGTAAAATTCTTGCGGCCCATACTCATCTATAGTAAAGTCTATGTGGTCTAATAAAGCTAGTCTAACTCCACGAGTGTCAGATCGTGCAAGAATAGATGTCACTTTCTATGGAAAAAAAGGAGGAATACGAGAAACGAGTGGCTACCTTCCCAAAACGCCTTCAATGTCAAGCCACCGTCATGCTACCAATGGCCATTCCAATAGCACGAGCACCCGCCATCGATATGGTGAGTACAGAGAAGGAAGTGAACGCGAGAACATAGCGAGGAACAGGAAACAAACACCATCCATGCAAGTCTAGCCGAAACAGGTTGATGCCCAATACAACCGTGTGTATGCAAACCAAAGCAACCGCATACATGCTGACCATGACGATCGAGACCCATGGTGCATAACAAAATATGAAAAAAGGGACGCGCGAAAGAATGAAAGTGAATCCGTGTCCAACACGTGGTCAAGAGTGAGTGTACGAAAAGGGTATTCCCAGCGCCGAAAGTGCAATGTATTCGATTTATGCAATGCCAAGACCAGGAAATAACTTCGATTGACGTGTGAAAAGATGCCGAGTTGATCAAGGAGAATGTCGCGATTGCGCCGTGTAAATGCTCGTAAAGGATCTGATGGAGACAATCACCGCCCACGCAATGCAGTAACAAAGGAAAACTTTTGGTCAAATCCCTTATTTACCTTGGCCTCCTTGCTGCTGTCCTGACCCGCGGGGGTTGGCAGGCATCGGGTACGGGAATGGCGCATAGGGGAGCTGGTACGTCTGTCCAGAGCCTGATGTGCTGCCAGCAGTCGACGTGTTGGATGGGGAAGAGCCGGAGGAAGACATTGTGTACGTTTGTGGAGCTGCGCTTGTAGCTGTGGTATTTGCGACTGGCTGTGACCAAGAGCGTTGCGGGCGATCGTATGGCGTGTTCGATCGTAACTGCCGAGGGGGCTGTGAAGAGGAAGTCTGTCTTGGACGACGGCGTATGACTCTAGTACGGCTTTGTCGAGGAATAGGCTCTGGAGTGGGAGTACGCGATCCTGCGACGACGATGGTTGGAGTGGAGACGGTTTGTTCAGCGGTAGATTGAGGAGTTTCCGTGAGGCTTTTGGGAGTCGCAGAAGAGCTAGTGGCTAGTATAGCGGCTTGTGTAGCGTCTATTTCGGTGGGCTTTGGGGAGTTTGATGTGCTGTGAGTCTCAGAAGGGCACTGGCTCATATATCAGTTGATGGCAGAGCAACTATGCTGATGCTGGACCAGGGTAGGTGTTCTGGAGTTGTGGCGTCCTGACTGATTATTGGCAGTTCCAGAATTGGTGTTGAAGTGTCGTAGTCGGTGGGGAGTGTCGTCGTGGCTCGTGGCTTGAATTGTTGCAGTTGTAGGCGATGATACGATTCCCAACTGATTACTCCAACGTCTTTTATCCTCAATGGCTTTCCAATGGCCCCCAATCTTGGAATTTTGAGATTCCGGCTTCAAGATCACCACAAGTCGATAATAGAAAGACTGAAGTCTGGAAACAGAAATTTTCGAATGGGCTAAGCCGGAGCAGTATCGCATAATCGAGGAAGTAGCCTCTTCCGCGCCTCTTACAAGTCAAAGCTTTTTGCTTCTCACGGAAAGCAAACCCATGCAAGTGGTATGTCAGTACTGAAAGTTTGGTAATGAATCACGAGCCGTGATCCGATCGAGTGGAAGGGTGGTGAGACTTGCAGCGGAACCAGTAGTTGGGGGTCAAGCGCGTGCGGGCGCAACCTTTTTTAGATGTGTGGCGTCCGGTCACCTTCTTGTCGATAAAATCTGAATACACCCTGATCGGAGATGCAGCGGGATGTTGTAGAGTTGCTGTCGTCAGATGCTTATCTTGAGCCGCATGCACAAAGACCTGTATCTGGTACTGAGGTGATGGTTTGGTTTGCAGGACACCAGTCCGGCTTCACCTGAAGTTAGTAACTTGAAAAGAATGTTGGTGAGCTTGAGTAAAACCATGTGCTTCGTCTCGCTCAAGATATACATGATCGAGATGTCTACTGGACTCTTCTCGTATTCGGTGGCTCCCAGCAGAACTCATTTGTCGTTCCTCTGGCAAGCATGCCCAATACCAATGAACAGTGGGGAGAAGAATTCATCCGGGGACGTATTCGCGATTACCGGCGCTCGAGCGGCTCTGCCGTCGTGGACTTGGCATAGAATGACGAGCAAGCTCGGCCATAGCCGGTGTAGTTGCTCCACACATGATAGTCACAAACGCATCATCCATGGGACAATCAATCCATGACTGGACCGATTTCATTCGTAACTGCCAGGGCCGTGTCAACGCGAACGAATCAGACCGTTCAATGGCAGCTAATATTAGCCGTGCTAACACGAGAATGTATCACTACCAGGGGCTGTTACTCAGCTGTCGCTAACTTCCGTCCCAGGCCGTGCGGCAGCTTTCTGTCGTGCAGGAATCTTTGACTCCATCTGTCTACTATGAGGTCATAGCTACCAGATGGATGGATGGCTGTGCATCCCGTGGTATTCAGTAAAACGTTGATGTGGTGTCGGAGAGTTTGTCAGCTGCGTTCCTCTGCTCTCGCTTCTTGACGATCGCATGACGATGGGCAGGGATGACACCTCCACATTGGAACACTTCCTTCTAGAACATTGCCGAAGACGGACGCCGAATGCACCAGGAACCGCCGTCTCATCTCAGCCCATCGTGTTGCGGAACATCTCTTCGCACGTGTCTAGCGGCCAAAGGTCCTGTCGAGGGTTATACGGACTTTCCAATAAACTAACCTCAGCAGGGTCCAATACACTATCCGCATCGGGTTAGATAGAGCTGTAGCCACGGTCCGAAGTGATGGTGTAGCACAGCACAATGCCTATTGTGAGAAGTCCACAGCACGTCGATGGAATTCCTAATCTGGTCTTCAGTAACTTGAGCCGAGATATCTTACTTTAGCTGTGCGGAGGTGCGGCCGCCCCCGAACACCCTCTGTCCCTTAATTGGCCCGTTGTAGTCGGAAACGTGGTTAATTGTTATGGGTGTTTCTCGAAATACCTTGAGCCACCTGGATCTGGTTGGCTTGGTGGCCAAGAACATCAACTCCTATAGTAATTTGTTAGTAAATCGATGCAGCCACGCTTTCTAACACCCACAACGTATTTGAAGTTCATTGTTTGCTGCGATCGCCTCTACTGACTCGCGTTTTTGGTGTTGCAATTTTCTCGAGCCCATCTCATCGCGATGCCAGGCACCGGCCACCGCTTGCAGCCCGCTGTTCTCCAGGCTATCCTCGACCGAATTGCTGCCTGCGAAAGTGATCGAGCCATCTCTAGAGCTACAGGTGCGAGCCGTAACACAGTAGCAAAGCTGAGGTTGAGCTTAGAGTTTTGGGGCGTGCCTTATCCGCCGCGCTGCGTTCGACTTGGGCGGCCATCTATACTCCGGCAAGCTCAGCGCGAAGGCCTTCAGGCATACCTCAATGGCTCACCGGGCGCATACATGGATGAGATGAGGGACTTCTTGTACGACGAGTACGACGTTAGGATAAGCCTTGCGAGCGTTTACCGAGAGCTAGAGAAGATGAGATGGTCTCGCAAGCTTGCAACAAAGCGGGCAAAGGAGCAGAGTGAGCCACTCCGCCGCCTCTATCTGCCAGGATGGCGCAACACTATAAGGCGGAGCAGATCGTTGCGTTGGACGAGAGCGCCCTGCAATGAGCGTACGGGCGACCGCAAGTATGGCTGGTCTCCCAATCGGGGAGCCGGTGGAGCTATCACACAGCTTCAGGCGATCAGAACGGTGGTCGCTGCTGCCAGCCATGACGATAGATGGCTACATAAGCTATAAGATCTTTCAAGGCGCGATTACATCTGAGATCCTAGAAGACTTCTTAGAGTTTCAAGTGCTGCCGTTCTGCAATCCTCACCCAGGGCCAGCCTCAGTAATCGTGCTTGATAACGCCTCCATCCATCGATCAGAGCGTGTACGGGTGCTTTGCCAAAGTGCTGGAGTACTCCTTGAGTATCTGCCGCCATACTCACCAGATTTCAACCCCATCGAGAAGAGCTTTAAGCAGCTCAAGGGGTGGATGAAAAGGAATTCAGCGCAAGCGGAGAACTTCATTGACTTTGGGGTCTTTCTTGAGTATGCAGCGCAGCTGGTGTGCTGTAATATTAACTGCAGAAGCTGGTTCCATAGGTGTGGCTATCCCTATTAATTGTGCTTTTAAATGGATGCCACAGTACGTTTCTATAGGTAGATGATACCATACAAATGCGAACGATTACACCTTAATGCGCAACCCACAAAAGCGATTTAATAATTCTAAAAAAATAAGAGCTATTTCTATACATATAGAACTATCTTAGGAAGTTAACCTGTTATAATCGCATAACGTTGTAGTGTTGTACATAGGGCTATCCAAATAGACTATTGTTGCAGCGCATTTGAAACGCCTGAAAAACCTCAACACTATAGCGGGCACGGGCCGCTGTCACCAAAAACGCTCAGGCCACTAAGCTTCAAGCATTCTCGCCATCATCCTCCACAACACTGCTAGACGGTTCAACCACCAATTTCTTGCGCGCAATCTCTTCTCTTTTCTTACAACGTTCGACTCGTCTCCAGTTACGATCTGTGAGACCCTGGTACCCAGCTTGCCATTCTTTTGCAGTGTTTTGTAGCGTGAAAAACCAGCCAGGAGGCTGCTTGAAATGCTGCGTCCACAACTTCAAGATATCACCAGATGGCTGCATCAAGAGGTTGATATCCATAGCTCCGTCAATAACAAGAGTCTTATAAAGCTCGTTAATGTCCTCTCCAACTGTAGGAAATTTTAACTTAAGGTAGTTAAAGAAATTACTAGTATGCTCGTTAATCTCCTGCTCATGATCATATCGGATAGGCGCCCACTGAGATGCACTAGATACCTCAGCTCTTGTTATCGTTGGTGCAGCTGCCTGCAAGTTAGACTCCTGTTGAGGTTGCCTGTTCATCCGCTCAAGCTGTCCAACGATGAGCAGTTTTGTTAAGCTTTTGATATCATCGTCGCCATCTCCAGCCGCCCGCAACTTGCGCGTTTTCTCATGCACCCGCAGGTCCTTTGCTCTCAAAATTGCAAGCCGTACATCATCAGATGGCTCATCGTACGTTGCCCTTCTCGCTGTAATTGCTCTTGCCCACATGGAGATAATGTTGCCGTTGACAAAGAGGTGATCTTCGAAGCGCGCTGGCTGCCTCGCTGTTGGCGCCATCCAGCAGCAATAAGGATAGTTCTCGCAATGGGTATCTGTACAGCGCCATCTATCCCGGATAGCAATAGCATGCCCGCTACCTGCTTGTTCAGCTGCTATTACACCAGCAAGCCCCTCCTCTTGAATCACCGTTGCGGTGCGTCGACGAGGACCGTCGACAACCGTTGGCAACGGCTGCTGCTCCCCTGGAATTTCAGCCAAGATGAGCTCGAAATCGACGTTTACTGGCTCGCTGACATAGTTATCAACCTCTACAACAAGGCGCTGAAAGCTATTCCACGTTGCATCAACACCTCGCCGCAATCGCTTTATCGCGCGCTCGCGTTTGGCCTGCTTAGCTGGGTAAACAACAGTGCAAACAGATGAGATCTTCGCTCTTTTTGGCCGTAATTCTGCAACAACGTCATCTACCCACTGCCATAGGTCGTCGAAATGCAGCGAGTACAGCCGTACGCCGTGCTCGCTATCGGCAGCTTCAGGAATAAAGTGTTTCTCCATATCACCACCAAGGCAAGCCCTCCACCTAACGCGCAGTACAGGATTAACCTCATCCTCTAGCGCTTGCGATGAGCGAGGCAGCCATGGAGTGCCTTCTTGACGTCGGTACGCTGGCTCTCCCTCATCCTCAACACTACCGGCAGCGCCCTTAGCAGCGATCTCATCCTCATCCTCAGGCAGCGGATCGCCATCTCCATCCTCGAAAGTATCCTCATCCTCGCCAACGATATCTTCAGCTTGCGCGGAGGCAGCTGTTTGGGTGGCTTGCAGCTCAGGCTCGGACAACGGGCTTTGACGGCGCGGCGGGGCAGTCGCTGGAGGCGACGGCAGCGCCTCACGGCGGACACGTTTAGGCGTTAAATGGGTAGGATTTTGTCTAGTTGCTGGCGCTCTACGCTTCTGGGAGGACGGGTTAACGCCTTGATCGAATGGCTGCTTCGGCTTACGCTGGCGCTTGGGCGGCATCCCAACAGCAGCTAGATTGAGCTCGCAACAAGCTCCACACAAACAAAACGCTATACACGAACGATTTAGAGTACAGGACTAGCTTCATGGGCTTCTGGAGGTGGGAAACGGCTGCTGCATTAATTTACTAACAAATTACTATGGGAGTTGATGTTCTTGGGCACCAAGCTAACCAGATCCAGGCGGCTCAAGGTATTTCGAAAACCACAATAGATTTCGGAATTGCCGTCACTCGCTGCCGCTTAGCGTATGCTTACACAACTGCTGCGCAGCACATCCACCCTATTATTTGTCTTCTCTTAGTGGTGCTTCCGCTTACCAAAGACATGCGGCGGATTATATGATCGTGCACTATTGACCGCAGCCAATGCCTTTGCATCGCTCCTTCTTGAAGGATTAGCAATTGCCAGTAATGTTAACATGTACGTACTAGGATGAGATAAGATGGAAAGACTCTATTACATACATATCCAGCTGATGTAGACTTTGTGATTACTCTCTTAATTTTGATACTGTACATTCAACATTGCGGCCATGGCAGCCACTCATCGTGTTGCGTTCATGAACGGTCCTGGCAAGGATTTGGAGGTGGCAACTTCCGATGCTCTCCAAGTCGGGCCAAACGAAGTGCTTATCAGAAATCATGCCGTTGCCCTGCAGCCCTTGGATACGAAGATGCTGCTCGCCGGATACGGCCCTGCCACGAAACTAAATTACCCCGCTGTACTGGGTACTGGTGGTGCTGGCGTCATCCAAGCAGTGGGTGAGGACGTTGACGGGTTTAGCGTTGGTGACAGCGTGGTGTTCGATACGAAGGCGTACGTGGACGTTGAGCAGAATCGGCGAACAGGTACTTGGCAGGAAGTTGTTGCTTGCAGCGCGAAATCGGTAGCAAAGGTACGTCGCCGACTTGACTGAGGTCGGGGGTCCCCGGAGTGGCCTGACATTCAAATAGATCGGCGATATCGCTTTCGAACAGGCCGTTTTGGTCGACTTCCCCCTCCAGACAGCGGTCGCTGCTCTGCATGTTTTTCTCGGCATGGGAAAGCCTGGTAGTGGTAATAGAGAGGAGAAGGTACTCATCTGGGGTGCTGGAGGAGCAGTCGGTTCTTATGCAGTGCAATACGCGAAGCAAGTAAGTCGACGCATCAGCTCCCAAGAAATTTCGATACACCAAGATTTAACTTTTACCAGGTTGGGTATACAGTAGTTGTGACTGCCTCGTCCAGAGACAACGAGCGCCAGCAAAAGCTTGGAGCCACGCATGTGGTGGATTACAGAGCTGCTGATGTGGTTGACAAATTGCGTCAACTTGGTCCATACAGATATCTCTTTACGGCGAGTGGCGATGCAGCTTCCCAGACGGCACTGGCTACGCTCCTCCAGCCAACTAGAGGCAAGTTCGCGAGTGTATTGCCCAGCACTACTGACCTGCCTTCAAACGTGGAGGTAGTTTACAAAGCCTTTTCCCAAGCTGCACAAGACGAGCAATACAGCAACTGGAGAGATTGGTGGTACCAAGAGTACCTACCTGAAGTCCTGTTCAAGGGCTTAGTGGATACAGTAAAGTTTACTAAGGTCGAAGGCGGCCTGCCAGCGTTACAGCAAGCCAGTGAAGATGTTTTCAATGGGAAGGTCAAAGGGAAGCTCGTGATCAACCCCCAGGAGTAGTCTGTCTGGTTCTACACGTCCGGGGAAAATGCCCGATTCTCAGATGGAATGTTGCGGAAACGGGGCCGACTGTAACTCGACAGCAAGCAGTAGACAGAATGCCATCCATCTCTTTCAGAATCGCATATCGAGGTGTCACGTTCGTGCATTTCCATGTCGGTGGAATGATTAGCGTCAGCATTGTGGCGCTTCCACAGGAGCGGTGTGACGGCCATGATGACTGCCTAGAAAAAGCAATATACCCATCATGGACGCGTCCAACATGTGTCACAATTGCAATGAGCCATGTGGATGGGCTATAAGGCGCTCTAGATGATAGTAGTTGATGACGATTGTAAGTAGCGGTGAGGTTGTGGGATCAACGTCAACCGCCAGAAACAACAAGCGCTAGCATCGCGATTGTGACGCCAGATCACATGCGCGCGTTGATGACGTCAACCAACACCGCGTCCTCTTTGTCCACAGCGCGCTGGTAGGGTCGAGAGTGTTTCAAGAAGATTCGAGCTAGTCGATTGTGGCTGCCTGTCCCGTCCTCATAACGCCATTTTACCTTATGCCAATCTAGAACCGCATATGAGATCTGAGATCGATCGCGCAGCAAGTGGATCCACCAAGGAACCATGGCAATTGCTGTTACCCATGAGTCCGTAGGCGGTACCTGAAACTTGCCCATCTTGCTCCGCACTTGACGACCACTCACATTGCTAGTGCTGTCGAAGCTATACTATGTTGAGACATGTAGTTGGGTTACCAGGACAATGCCTTTTCCATAATGACCTCTCCATCCAACGCAACAGGACTAGCGAAGTCAATACGGTGTCTGGGCCTACACCTCCCTTTCTTCGCGGATGCGGCTATGTCGACTACATGGCAAGCCTCGTAGCCTTACATGCAAACTTGGCGTCCAGAACTTCGATCGTTGACGTAGCAAACTCCACAGAAACAAGGTCGATCGTGCGATGAGTAGGTGTATGACCTTGGGGGAGACGTTATCCCGAGCCGACTGAATGTGTATAAGAACACCTGGGTTCGTCGTCTCAATACTCATCATCAACCACAACAACTTCACCATAATCCCATCACATTCCAACAAACACCACACTTTCAACCACTCCACCAACCAACAACATCATGTCTAACCCAGGAAACGTTATCGGAGGCCACAAGGCCAATCTCAACAACCCCAGTTCGTCTGCCTTACCCCATCATCCACTAACTTTTCACTGACGAGTTTCAGACACTTCCGACGAAGCCAAGCAGCACTCCAAAGAGGTCCTCTCAAGCATCGACAACGGCGGTGAGGTTCCTACGTCAAACTCCAGCTCAAGCGGCGGAGAGAAGAACCCCAACAACGTTGCTGGTGGCCTCAAGGCTACTCTAAACAACCCTAACACCTCGGACGAAGCCAAGCAGAGCGCTAAGGAGAGGCTTGGAGAGATGAACTAGTCATGGGGTCCTGAACAAGGTCCTGGTGCCTATGGATGGGTCGATGAGGAGTGACATTGATCCCTGACATATATCGCAAATCATATAGCACTACATACCAACAGAGTCAGTGCTTATCATCCCATTTCCGATAGTTGCGCCGTGATGCTTGCGACTTGATGATGATGTGCAAAACGACACGGGAGAATTATGTGACCACTCACTGTTTTCGGCATTCCATACGTATGCATACCACATTTTATCCCCTGGCGTAATGGAGTTCCGTGTCTATTTCTTCTCCTTGTTCAAAAGACTCATGACAACCTCCACAACCCTGCGGAAACCCTCCATCTCTTCCTCAACGGTCCCGCCCATACCCGCGCTCGCAAAGCTCGACGAGTTTCCCACATATACCGGTTTCCCCGTCTTGCGCGCAAGCACTTTTGCCAAGCGAGTCGTGAAGTCTAGGGTACTGCCGTGGGTGAAGAGGGGTGTACTAAGCGTTTCGGCGGGCGTGCTCTTCTGTACATATTGGGTAAGCTTTGGCTTCTCGTAAACAAGGCTTGTGGAACAGTCGTATACGTACATTTGGCATGGCATACACGAAAGAGCCCATCGGTGTGGACGATGCAGACTCGGGCGTAGCAGTAGTGAGGAAGAGCAGCAGGCTTGGGCCATTATCGGTAAGCTGAAGGTGGATGTTGGTATGCGGCGCTTTTGGTAGCGGAAAGGCGACTTCAATAGGCGCGTGCGACGCGTCGCTGTTTGTCGTTGCGGCAGCCATTGCGGGGTGGAGGGGGAAGTCGCAAGGTGAAGTTGCAATGATGGATCATGGCAGGTGGGGCTGTCCCACACGTCGTTCTGGATATTAGGGTTTACCTCACCGGACCAAACTTCACCACTTCAAATGTCGCCCAAGTACATTACGACAATACTCTTACCTTGATCTACATAGCTCAAACCCGAGATCTTATATGTGGTTCATGCAATAAAACTTTTAACCATACAACCAAAACTGCGAAAAGTAGTAGAAGAAACAGATAATCAGAAAGAGCTATAAACCTAAATACTCGCTATCAACTTAAACACTGGAGCCGATAGCCATGTCCGAGAACGAGATGGGCGAATCCTATGATCCAACTTCGGACCCAGAAGAGCAGAAACTCATCCTCTCAGTCCTCGACTCCTTCCGGTAAACCCCTCACGTGCCTCACCCTTCCCCCTCCACCCATCTACTAAGATACTCCCCAGATCGTACCGACGCCTCGCCCACCTAAACGGTACGCATGTCCGAAGACAAGCCTTTTACTCGCTCCCACGCGAACACTGGATGCTACTCTCGCAACCGCCCTTCTCCCTCCTCTCCACCTTTTCCAAAATGGACGACCTAATCGACCTCAATGCCACCCTGGCGGAAGCCATCTTCGTTGCAGGCTTTAAAGCCTTCCTAGCCACGACTCTAGACAGCGAATGGGTCGCGTCCGTCATCCCCGAAAAGTACGCAAACAACGAATACGCAATCTACTCGCTGATCCTCGACCGACTAGGCGCCTCAACCACGCGAAACGACATGGACAAAGCACGGTCATGCATCAACCAATTCTACCGAGAGTGGAGTGCCGAAGGCGCCGTTGAACGCTCCGCCTGCTTCACGCCCGTCATCACCGCCTTGGCTGAGGAATACCAAGTTCGATCTCAATCGTCCAGAAATCCTGTACAAGACCCTTCGGACCTCCACGTCCTCGTTCCAGGCGTCGGTCTCGGCCGCCTCGTCTTCGATATCTGCCAGCAAGGCTACATGGTTGAAGGAAACGAAATCTCGTACCACATGCTCATGGCGTCTGCGCTCGCGCTCAACGAAACTAAAGCCGCGAACCAGTTCACTATAGCACCGTGGGCGTTGAATTGCTCAAACCATGTGAATAGGTCCCATCAGTTGAAGACGGTGCACGTTCCTGATCTGCATCCCGCGTCGGAACTAGCGAAAGAGGATGGGCCGTCGCGGTTGCCGGCGAGTGAGCGCTTGAGTATGTCGACGGGTGACTTTTGTGTCGTCTATGGTAGAGAGGATTATAGGGCCGTTTTCGATGCGGTGGCTACAGTTTTCTTTATTGATACCGCCCCGAATTTGATTAGGTATGTTGAGGCGGTTAGGAATTGTCTGAAAGAAGGCGGAATTTGGATTAACCTTGGGCCTTTGCTGTGGCATCCTCCGCCACCATCGAAAAGGGAACGCAATGAAGAGGGGGAAGAAGAAAACGCACAGCAGGAGGGCGTGGAAGGCGATGCGGGAATAGGTGATCCGGGATCCTTTGAGCTTTCGAACGAAGAGGTGATTGCGTTGGTGGAGCATTTAGGGTTTACAATTGAGAAGCAGGAGGTGGGCACGATCGAGACGGGGTATATCTCTAACTCGCAGAGCATGCTACTGAACACATATCGCCCGTCGTTTTGGGTGGCAAGGAAAAAGTGAGGGTGGGGCAGTCTCTTATGTAAAGAGAGAGATATGGTGTCAGATCTGTAAAACTTATTTTTAGTACTGTACATTCACAAGATATCATATATAAAAAAGATAGTGTAAATAAGTCTCTGGTATTGATATGATTCTGTACAACACAACCAAGCAAGCCATGATAAGGAGAAGAAGAGTACTCTGCTAAGCAGCCTGCAAATTCAAAGCCACGGGAAATATGGTATCACAGCAAACAAATGTACAAAAGAAGAATGCGAACCCCATAATTTCCTTCTTCGTCTTAGTGAGCGTCATGTTTTCATCCTCCTATTGTGCATGTTTTGCCTTTTTTGTATCTTGTTTCGATAGCCGGGGTTGCCTGTAATAATCACGCAACCATGGTTTGGTTGGCATATTCCCCGCCTTTACCATCCGGTCCAGCCAACCTTGCATTTGCATGGGCAAGGCTAGATTGCGCAGCTTCCTGAAGTTGCGTTTCTACGTTCCGCTCCCTTTCCCGCTCCCGCTCCCGCGCAGGCGGGGTGCTGCGGGCCGAAACCATCCTCGCCTCGTGCGGGGTCTCATGGTGTGCTGGTTGTTGTACACGTTGTTCTGGCTGTGGATGATGAGCTGGCTGAGGTTGTGGTGTATGCTGACCACTGCTGTGCGCGAGATGTGATGGCGTAAGCCCGTGATGGGATGGGCTCATCATTGCCGTAGGACTTCCTGTGCTGGCACGGTCACCACCCTCATGATCACTTGTCTCACTCTGACCATTGCTGGTAGTGCCAGGCGGGTAGGTATAGCCACCACGCAATTCTCCCTCTCGGACCTCTTTCCAAGAGCATTTTGCGTGTTTCTTGGTGCAGCCCATGCATGCTGTGAGATTCTTAAGACAGTCCATGTGCAATCTTCGGCAGCGATCACATGGTGGAATTATACGGTCACCCTTAGCTAAGCTCTCCATCCTGTGCACCATTTCGACCTTGAAAGGACCCCCATCGTCTTTCTCGGGCTGTTGACTAGCGCGTTGGCTTGAGGCAGGGAGCAAGTTAGAAGGGGTATTGGGTATCGGGACCGGAGAGTTCATCATTGAGTGTAGTTCGGACTCGTTTAGAGGATGCGATGGTCTACCAATTGGCTGCTGAGAAGCTTGTGATGTTTCGGTGGGTTTTGGAGCAGGTCTCGCCGGGACTGCTGATGGTGTGGAAGGATGAGAGATGGTATGGCCGACAGACTGTGCCCGTGCATCGGGATTGTTGTGTAGAGGGTGTGACGGACGCCGTTCGCTCAAGGTGTGGAACTTGGAGAGGAGCTCGTGACGGGTAGTCGATGAAGAACCATGGCCGCGACTGTGGCTATGTCCGTGACCATTCGATTCGTGATGCTGGCGGGCATTTACTGCGACGAAACCACCGCTACCCCCGGGCGACGTTTGTGAGGTTTGGCCATGCCCCTGACTATAGCCTGAGGTCGAGACACCTGAGCCGCCGTTCATAAGAGCGACATTGGAAGGGCTGGTAGGTCGAGGAAGCTGAGGCGCTGGGCTTGCGGTCGCTCGCCGGTCAAGAATGGCTTGTTTGCGGCCCTTCAGTCTATGGTTAAGCTGCCGAGTGCGAGCAGCGACTGTTACATGTTAGTCAAGAACAAGGAAGCCGTCTGCCGATGCCATTGCTGAAACAGATATTTCCAGACGTCCAGCTCAACGTGAAGATGAACTCACCCTGGTCGGCTAATGAACATATCTGACTCAAGTTCTTTTCAAGTATCTCCATTGTGCCTAGTTCCTTTTCCTCGTCCTCGATGATGGGTTGCGGAGGAATCATCTTCTGCGGAATACCAGAGGATATCAAGACAAAATCTTCCTCGGAAATCTGGACGCGGCATTGCTTGGTGTAGAATTGGCACACCCTCACTCCTTCGCTCATTTGGTCCAGCTGGAACTGCTCAGGCTTGTTGCGCGCAAACTCGACCACGTCGAGCCACGTCACATTCGTCCCATCCTTGCCGTGGCTCTTCAATACGCGTGGCGGTCCATCGAACAGGCGCTCGAATCGCTTGATCAGGATGGGACCCAATGGCCTTGCGCCGAGATTGCAGGCCATGCTCTCATGGCGGTCCAGAACGCCCTGGTAGTCACTGAGCAAGGACAATATGTTGGGCAGGGTGTCATCGTTGGTAATGAGTGGTAGGTCTTCTTCGAGATGGCGAGCGAGGTAGTTGATCTGCAGGTGGTTGTGCTTAGCAGCTTTGGGTATGGGAGCCGGCGCCAGATGCATTTCATGCGAGGGACTGCGCTTGCGCTTCAGATCGGTGGGCAGAGGCGGTGCATGGTGGGCTGAGGGATGCGACGGCATGGCACGCTCCGTCGCAGTGTGAGAGTCCATGTTGGCCATTTGTGGGCCGGGAGGGATCTGAGGTCGGTGACTACTACTCGGGCGGAAAGAGCAGACGGCAGTTTCTTGGGCGGAGCGGCGGACGCTAGACTCTTGACTAGCTCAGTGAGCGCAGCACACTATAGGCGACACGCATGTAGTCGCGAGAGGCCTCGAGTTACAAAGGAAAACACATGGCACGATGGGAGTTGGTGTGAAGTGTTACTGGGGAAGTGAAGGGCGTGGCGCCGAGGGCGAGAGGGACGGCTGCTCGGTGGCTGAAGTGCGCCGACGTGTAGTGGGAAAGCAGCAGGGCGGGCGCGCGGACACAGTGCAGAACGAGGACGGGACGCAAGGCAACGCAAGGCCCCGGAAATAAAGAAAAGAGGCAAAGAGGCTTTGCAGAGCGGAGTTCCCAACCAATCAGTCAAGCGATGCAGCAGAGCATGGTCCAGGCGCCGCCTGGGCTGAGGACCACATTGCGGATGATTCACTTTCCGCCCATGCCCCGACGAGTTGACAGAGCCTGGCCGTGAGACAGACTAAAACCCATATGCCAATTATGTGAGCCGGTTTGAATCGACCAGGCTTGCGCCAGATGTGCCCATGGAGCTCGAGAGTACCGTGTGCATGGGCGGAGTGACAGTACATACAGGCGCGGGATCGGCATCTTCCTCATTTGGAGGGGGGCGAAAATGCCGCACCACGCGTCGTCGATGAGTCTAGCATCTAGCATCAGGCGCCCAAAGCGGCGGAGTCTGGATGCGACGGCGGAAATGGGGGCATCTTCCACCCCTGTGTTGGCTGCGCAGCTCACGTGATGGCGGGACTTTGGTGGGACGGGAACCGGCAACAGCACAGACCGCTAGCTAACTTTACTGGACCATCCAGCTGCACGTCACTGCCAGCTTCACCAGTGCCAAACCCGCCTCTCATTCTCTCAACTCACATACAATGTCTGAGCGAGGCGCATTCCGGGGCCGTGGCGGAGGTCGAGGAAGCGATCGTGGAGGAAGGGGCGGTGGTCGCGGCGGTGCCCAGGGTGGAGGGGCAGGCGGACAGAGCGAACGACCCAAGAAGGAAAACATCCTCGACTTGAGCAAGTACATGGACAAGCAAATCACCGTCAAGTTCAGTGGCGGGAGAGAAGGTATGGTGAAGAGCATCGTTTTTGCGGCCAATTGGGAATGAGCGCAAGAAGCTAACCTTTTCAGTTATTGGTACTCTCAAGGGCTACGATCAGCTCATGAACTTGGTCTTGGATGAGGTCAAGGAAGCATTGACAGGTATGTACTTTTTCAAAATCACGTGCTTCTAGCTAACATCTCCCAGACGACGAAGGCAACATTCGGTATCGAAAACTTGGCCTGATTGTCGCACGCGGCACCCTCCTCGTCGTCATTTCGCCCGTCGACGGAAGCGAAGAGATCCCAAACCCCTTCATGCAGGAGGAAGAATGAGCGCGCATCATCAGCAACTTGCGCAAAGGAAAGTGCTGCCTTGGGTTGGGCACGGCGGCGTGAAGAGAACGTCAGGTCAACAGCGTGAAACGGGCGCTGAAGGAGCATCGAGACCCACCACGATACCCATGAAGACATGCGGGGCCGACTTCGCACCACGAGACGCAACCTCAGTCTCAAGTACTGCTACGGAAAAGTTTGTTTATATAACAGGCCTTTGGCATTACAAGAACCAAACAACACAAATGCAACATATACAAGACTCGGGTCCTCTGTGATAGTTTGAATGTCTGGACGATCTGATGACGCAATTGTAGTTTGATTGCCCCAAATACGTCCGCACACTCTTCACAGACAGGTACTATTTCCTGTTTAGTATGCACGGTGGCGAAGACCCTGTCGTCTGGAGCCTTAGAGAGGTACGATTGCGGAGGTCATAATAGTGAAGAGGCTAATTGTGTCGTCATCGCTATTGGTGTAAGGGCTGAGTAAACAGAGGAAGGGCGCACATACTGTTGCCTCTAACTTGCTGTCCGTGCGCCTGCCTCGACCTACAGTATAAACACCTTGCTCATACCCAGCTTTGCCTCAACCCCTACATCATGGCACAACCAGATGCTCCCACGACTACTGTAGTGGCAGGCAAAAAAATGGAAGAGCCGCATGGTAAGAAACACTCCAAGTACTCACGTTCCAGATGCAAGTCAATAATTTCAGTGACCACATAGTTGTCAGTGGCGCTGTATACACTCAAGTTCGACATCCCATCAGCGACTTTCCTGTTGAAATCCTCATTAAAATCTCCGAGAAGTTGCATGTGGAGATACTGTGCGCGTTTTCCTGCGTATCAAAGCAATTCGCAGTTGCAGCCCAAGATGTCCTATACCGCTCCGTCGATCTCCGCCCAGAGCACCCCCGACATTCTATGCTAGAACAGAAATCTGGCATTGCAATGCTCGCCTGGACCCTGAACAGAAAGCCTCACCTTGCTGCCAAGATCTAGTTCCTCTTGTGGTGGCCTCAAACCAGAATGGTCGAGTACGAACTCGAGTATCCTGGCTTCTCACACCTATCGGCCCCATTCATCACTGGCCCATGCATTGTCTTGGTCGAAGAGAAGAGATTGGCTGCTGAGGTTCTGGCCCGACTCTCGAGGCTCCAATCTATGACCTTGACGGCGAAGGATGCGAAAATCTGCTACAGGGAATACTCGGAAGACCCGGGTTTCCGTACCAGCCTACCAATCTTTCACATGCTGCCACTTCGGGATCAATTTGCGGCTATACCCGGTCTCTCTCAGCTCAGTTCCCTCCACCCCTCGCACGGACATTTAGACTGGGCCATCATCACATTACCAACACTTGACACCTTGTGTTTGGGTGCTGAGGCAACTATCCAGCTTCCCTGTAAAGATAATACAGCCCCCAATATCCTCACTGTCATCTTGGAATCTCAGAGGAGAGTCACCGATAGCGAGCTCAACGAGAAATGCACCTTCCTCACTTGTCTCCCAAATCTCCGGTCCATGACATTGAACTCCCATAATGAGGCAGAGTCCAAAAATCGCCTCCCTTTCATACATAATCCATGGGAACTACCACAAGTACCTTTCCAGTTCGGCTGGTGGGCACAGGCCGCACCCCACCTACTAGAGCATGCGCCATCAGTCCAAGATCTCGTGTTCACATACGGTAGCGAGTATGGAGCCGCAGGGTCTCGCGAGTATCCGTTGAGGCTCGGTAACTTTACACAGCTCCGTAGGATGCAGGTTGCAGAAAGGATCTTTCTCTTTGCGATGAACCACAATTCCGAACTTCCGTACGGGTTTCTATCTCCTAGCATCCAAGAGTTAGTTGTCGATCACACCTATTTCCCAGATATCAACGTTCCCTCATTCTACAACGTAGATTGGCTAGTGCCGGTAGTGCTTAAGATCCTCCCAGAACTAAAGCAGGTCGAGCTCGTGGTCTCCAGGAATGATGAGTGTTCTGAGTGGTAGGGTGACTCTGAAAAGTCGTTGTCAAGTGCACAGCAACTCGAAGTTACAGGTGTTACGGTGAAGATTGTGGAAAAGCGATCAGAGTAGTAGCTAGTGGCCTTTCCTTGGTCAATGTCGTCATATGGAACAAAGACCGAACTTTCACAGGCTTGATACGATCTGGGATGGAGGTAGAACTAGGTAACATATCTTTCTCGGAAATATAAGCCAAACCCTAAAACCATCTTCTACTACATTGTGCAGCGAATGAAAGCCCTTTCATGTTCATTTTTGCTATGAAAGCGTATTGCACTAGTCATCACGAACAGGATGAAGAAGCCCGAAACCTGCTAGCATAAAACTACTTGGTTTTGGATTACATTGTCCATCTTCTGATACTTACATATCATCTTTAGCTGGTTGGTATTTGGGTACTTGCACAAGTTCCATTTCGCCACCCCCTCATCGTCCTGTTGCCACGAGCACTGCAAAGCGATTCGTATGCACTAATTTCAATCTTACAAATGCATACGCGCCGCGCGCCATAACTGCGAAACGATATTTCACCATGGACCGTGCCGTACGAAACATTATCGAATGTGGCAGTGCACAAATGTGTTTGGCAGCTGCGGCGTTTCAGACTTCAAGGTTGCCGCTTTCCGCTCTCGTATCCGCAAGGCACCCATATTGAGAACATCATCTCACCCCCAGCTCCCCGTCTCTCTATCACACATTCCTTGTTCTTTCATCTCTTTCGTGTCTACATCGGAGTATTTGTTTGCTTCTGTATCGCCTGCGCTGGCAATCCTATTGTGCGACGCCGTGAAGCGCAGAGGTAACGCACGTCACAGCCTGTGGAGTCACCTGGGCAGTGTCTGATCGACCGGAACATTGACGACCGGAGAATTTCGCAAGTGGAGACAGAACTGTTGTAGAGATATTGCGCAGTATCAGATCGCCGTATCATTGTATGAGAAGACCTTGCAGTGGATACCCCTTGCCCTGAGGTTTCCTCGCTCGATCGGACCGTGTCGCTAGTGCGTACCGCACACCGGACGCACGACACCCCACACGGCTGCAGGGACGCGGTTGGCAGGATGGCATCCATGGTCGAAGAACGAGACGATGCGTCGCGATGGCAAACGGGATCCTTCATGGAGAATGCTCTAGCTGGCGTTGACCTCAAGGGCTGGGCAACATTGCTTGCCCTATTAATTCCACTATTTCTCCTAGGAGCAGTGCAAGCACATCGCAAGATGCAGCACAAGAGCCGAAAACCATTCCCATTCTTAGAGCTACCTCAAGAGCTGCGAGACATGGTGTACGAGCACTTTCTCGAAGATCCCGTATACCCACCGCCACCGCGCTCGCTAGTCCAGCGTTCATCGTTGGAGTGGATGTATCCCAGCCTTCTGACGTCTGCATCTTCAGCGTCGCGCTCACGGCGTCACAGTAAATGGATATTCCTAGCAAACAAACAGGTATATGCGGAATACTTGGATATGCTCTGCAAACGCAACACCTTCCATCTCAGCGTCTCGCCCCAAACTTACAAACCCATCGCGCCAACCGCCTCCTCCGCATCATCACCAGACGACAACAAAGTCTGGCAAATTTCGCCTTCTACTCTATCGAAAGTTCGGAATTGCTCTCTAAGTCTCGTTACCACTTCTTCAATGCTCGGCGTCACGGACCCCCGCTCCATGACATCCTCATCATGGACGCTCGGTCAGCGCATGCGCGAACAGCTCAAACATATGGGTAACGTACATACCTTCACTCTCAACGCCAAAGCGCTCGGAGACCCCCTGTGGAACCCACTATGGATCTGGTACCATGCGTCACAATCACTCAAGATGCTCGGCACAGAGGCCTCAGATACAGTGCCAATTGGCCCGCAACTTACCCGCATTACTTTTTCGCTGGATACATGGAGTCCAGGGGAGAATTATGTGGCGAGAAGTGAGTCTGAGGGTGGAAAGTGGATGTGGTGTTGCAACAAAGACCATCCTGTAGGTCTGGACATTGGGCCTGAGATTACGGTTAGAGAGTTTTGTGCGAAGTTGTATCAGGAGTGTAGGGTTTGTAGGATTGAGAACGGCGAGGAAGAGTAGTAGTAGTATTTGGCAGATGGTATGGGTATCAACAGGGGAGTTTCGGGGCTGGCATTATTGTAGTGATAGGACCGAGCGCTGATGTGTAAAATTTCCCTTTCCTGTATTACCACTACTTTTGGTTTGATACATAGCAACTGCGATAATTATTCTTTCCAGCACTCTTTTCAACATCCCTCTAATTCTTCTTCTCTGCCTCCGCAAGCATCTCCCCGGCCGGCAACGTAGCAAACTGACTCATGACCTGCAAATTCCTCTCATTTGTCCACTTGCCCTCCTCCTTGAACGCCTCCGCCAGCCGCTTAAAGTAATCGATATAAAACGCAGGCGTATACGTATTAAAGAACTTTGCCGGCTCATCCGTCGGATTCGAAAACGTATGTGGCGCGCGGATCGGCACCGTTATGTAGTCCCCTTCTTTGGCATCGATTGCAGCGCCGTCAGGGGCATGAAACTACGTTTTCGTCAATACCATCAACTCCCGCGACCTCATCTATCATCCCACAACCCAGCCAAACCCCAGAAGTAAGCAGATAAACACACATACCCTAATAACACCCTGCGTAACCAAAAATGTCTCATCATGCATCTCATGCCAGTGCGCAGGCGGGCCTGCTGTATTCGGCGGTACGGTGAACTCGGCAGAGCCAATCCGGTTGTCGGTTCTTGAGCCATCTTCCATGATGCGGCAGATGAGGTTATTGGGTAGAATAAGCGTCTCGCCGGATTTGGCGGGTACGTAGTTTATGGCGCGTCGGGGCATTTTCATGGTTGAGAGGGCGGTGCGGGCTTCGTCGTCCATGGTGGTGATGGGTAGGCTGGGATGGGAGGGAGATTCTGGGATATGTTGAAATATGAAGGAAACGAATAAAGGAAGTACAAGTCTCTAGGTTCTAGTTATATAGATTTGGATGTTTTCAGCTAGGTATGTTGCATGACTGCATAGAACGGTAAGTTACGGAGAGCCGGTTGGAGAGCCACAACTTTGATCATCATTTCCGAATACAAGTTATAGGACTCTTCAACACGGCTGTCGTAAACATTTCTAGGAACATATCCTCCGAACACAATCAATAAACTACATGCTCGTGCTGTCTACAGAAACGGTCCGAATGTGTAGGTAGCTCATGAGAGCTGCCTGGGAAGCCCCGCGTTTACCGATCACATAGGTGCTAGTAATGCGGGGAAAGTACTAGCGGGTCGGACAGCACCCACCTTGCTCTTTGTGTGTAAGCGCGTAGATGCAGTTGCCTTGACGCCTCAGTCAAACTACAGGCTCGTTACGCGTTCAGAGTTGCCTAGCAGGGCAATTTGTTTATAACAAGCAACACAACGAACCACTTTTCCCTCAACTCACCATCTTACTTCCCATAACCCACAATCCACAATCCACAATCACATCTTCCAAACCACACATTTTGAATCAATAACAACTGCAACAAAAAGAAACCGCCCACCATGGCCAAAAAGCGCTTCACCATGCTGGAAAACCACCCAGAAGTCATGAACCAACTAGCCCGCGATCTCGGCTTCGACACCAACGTCTACTCCTTCCGCGACATCTGGTCCCTCACCGACGACGACCTACTAGCCTTCATCCCCAGACCAGTCTTAGCACTCCTCGTCATCATCCCCCTCACACCCACGTGGAACGAAGCGCGCACAGCCGAAGACAAAGACAAGCCCGAGTACTCCGGTAAAGGCGAAGACGAACCCGTCATCTGGTTCAGACAAATCATCGGAAACGCATGTGGCAGCATAGGTCTCGTACACTGTCTCCTCAACACCGAAGCCTCAAAGTACATCCGTCCAGACTCCACGCTCGATGACATCCGCAAGGACGCGATACCAAAGGGCATTGAGGAGCGCGCAAAAGTGCTCGAGGCTTCCGACGCGTTTGAGAAGGCGCATAGGGCTGCGGCAAAGGAAGGTGATACGGATGAGATTCCTGTGGGTCAGAACAACGGGCAACATTTTGTGGCATTTGTTAAGGCAAGGGATGGCCATTTGTGGGAGCTGGAGGGTGATCGTAAGGGTCCGCTTGATCGGGGGCTGCTAAAGGAGGATGAGGATGTGCTTAGTCCTGCGGCGCTGGAGAAGGGTATTGGAAGGCTGATGAGGATTGAGAGTGAGAAGGGCGGGGATCTTAGGTTCTCTGCTATTGCGTTGGCACCTACCCTTGATTAGGGGATCTTGAGATGACAAATAAAATTTATGGGTGTAGGGTGATATATCTGGGTATTTGTTTTTCGGGTTTGGGCTGGCATCACAAAAAGTCATAGGTACAGAGTGCTAGCATGATGCGTACCTTTTACAGGCTAATGTATTGCCATTCTGTTCATTACTCCATTATAGTTCCTTGCTTTACATTACTTTTCTTGAATCCACGTCATGAAAACTTCTGAAACTCAGCCTTCGTACCTAAAGGTTAGTTGGGGCGTTCAATATCAGATCAGGGTCAAATTGTAGCTGTAATCGTTTATATATTTTTTCATTTAAGAGCGGAATTTTTAGGTAGCCTTTAATTAAGAGAGTACTATAGTACTTGAGGGTATAATAAGACTATATAAAGAGTTATCGAAGAGTATATCTTCGACTAAGGGTAGTTGCTGCTGCTTTATCTACGACGTTTAACACAATCATGTCTTGCAGCGACTTCTGCGGGTTCCTCCCCCTCAACCTTACTCTTCGTATCCAGCCTCACTCATGAATGGGCTCTTCTCTCGAATCTTCCGCCCATATCGCAACAACACCAGCGGGATAAAGCTCAGCGCCAACGCAACGAAACCCAGCAAACTGCTGGCCCAATTGAATCCCAGGGTCCGATACATGCTCTGCGTAGCAAGTGGCAAGAAGGCCGCCATGAAGTTCTCCAGAAACGCGATACCAGCAATCGCACTGGCAGCATACTTTGCATATGCATCACAAACATACGCTGTCAAGCCAGCCGTACTGCAGAACATGCCGAATCCCACAAAAGCAAGCGATATGCTGGGTACAATCCATGGTATCGAAGAGTACGATGTCCACGCAAAGTAGAACAATCCACCACTCAATCCGATGAATGAAGCAGGTATGCTGAGGTAAAGTCGGGCCTCAGGTATTGGCTCGCCGGGAGTTTCAGTGTTGCGTTTTGCCGATGCAAAGTAGATTCGATCTTGCACCAAGGATGCAACAAGGCCGATGAGCTCCCCAACCACGACAGCGCTCTGCACAAGTCCTGTGCCAAAGAAGGTCCAGCCGTATAGTTCAGAGAAGACTTGGACGATGGATTGCGTGAACATGAAGGCTGTTCCAATGCAGAATGCGCTCCATAGCCCGAAGGAGAGAACGACGCCCTCGGTGCAAAGCATGCGCGTCGGTCGAACAAGTGTCTCTTTGACGATCTCACTGATACTCGTATGCCCCCTCTCGGCTTCAGCGTACACCTCTTTACCCGTAGTCGCTCGGATACGTCGTGCGCGCTCGGCGAGGATGACATCCGGTCGAACCTCTGGGAGCAAGAAGAACAGTATCGGTATCAAAGCGCTGTAGAATATGATCTGGCCAAAAAAGATCCTGGATTGATGTTAGTTGTATTCATTAGGGAGCGTTCCTGACTTACCATCGCCAAGTAGTGTACTTTACAACTAGACTCCCAAACACAGGACCCATGTTCAGACCAGCAAGCAGCGCAAAGATGTACACCGAAGTACTGAAGCTCTTTGCTCGACCAGCCCGCCACATGTCACTCACAATCCCCGATGTGATATTCGCAAGCACACCCGTGCAGGAACCCGTGATGATGCGCGTAACAATCAATGTCGCGAAGTTGTGCGCCAGAGCCTGCGGAATGATGAAGATGATTAAGACTGCATAGATGGCCTGCTAATTGTCAGCTCACATCTCATCCTCCCTTGGCCTCGAGTACTTACAAGATAACTCCATCGCACTCCGAAATTCTCCATCAGGGGCAAGCCCAGCATCGGCGCCGCTGCACCTCCTAGGTTCCAGCTCAACACCGGCCAATACGAATGTGGAAACTCTTCATCACTGACGTGAAAACTGGCGTTAATCTGCTCAGCGGCAGAGGTAAACATTGTTCCAGAGACCTGCACAACAAAGGTCATAAAGCAAGCTAGGAGCGTGGTGCGCCATTTCTTTGAGAGAGAGAAGTTGAAAGGGTTGGCGGGGTCGCTTGGGGATTCCCATGTGAGAAAGACAGGCTCCGGTGTGGACTCGGGATCGTTGTAGGTTGATGTAGCTGGAGTTGGGGACTCTGGTGGGGGTTTTTTGTTGCTGCTTTGCGTAGACAGACTCGATTCGGAGCGCAAGATGGGCGGAAGAGATGCCATGGTGCGATGAGTGGACGCAGTTGAGTGCCCAGGTGGAGCGGGGAAGAAGTGGTCCGGTGGGTTTAGCTCTTGCACTTGAGGTAGTGTTCGTAGCTAACCCCCCTCCGTTAGGTGTTGAAGAGGCGGAAGGCGCGTAAACAACAGGGTCCAAGAGTGAAAGCACGCAATCCCCTTAGCCCAAAACAATCACCGCTTCCTATGGGCTCAATATTGCTCAGATGACTTTGGTACGGGAAATTGCCGCAGCTGCTAGCTATCACCCGTTACACACCCTCGAGAACTATCTGCTACCCTTTCCAGTAGTAGTTTCAGCTTAGTAAGAAGCTTCTCACGTAAACAAGCTTTCTGTCAAATGGCCAACGGTCGCTGGCGTAGTCTTGGTGTACTGTGATGACACACCCTGAGTAAAGAAAAAGACCCATGGCGCCAACAACCACAGCGACGAAGTTTTATGACCCATGACCAAGCGGCGGCAAGGACAACAAAGTGACATCACGGTTTCCAAGCTCTTTGACTAAATGATCGACCCAAACTTTCTAAACTATAACGTAACGAAAAGTGGAAGCGAGGGCCAAGCCTTTGCCTTGGCTTTCCCGAGCGGGAACTCTTTGTTCATGCTAACACTAAGTGCTGACACCTCCGCCATATAGCGGAGCTGGGATCAGGGTTTTTTGGAAGATGACATGCAGGAAGTTTGTGCTCACTGCTGACGGGATGGAGAACAGCATGGAGGCGGAATGATGTGGAAGAGAAATTTTGTGTTTTCGATGCAGATGTCGGGACGCCACTTCCGCGATCCCCGCGCTAACCGAATCCGGCAATATCCGGTCCGCTCTCTACCGGTATGTTTTCCTTCAATAATACATACTACACATAGTTTTCACGTGTGCCTTTCTCTGCACTGCAATAAATGGCATCGATCATCCCGTGTCTTACAAGTGCCTGTTCCCAGGTCGTAACACTGTACCCTTTGTCAAGTCCTACGCCACTCCAAGCATCCCACGCCTTGCCCACGTTGAAAGCCGTGTCGGCAGCCTTTTCGACTTCGACTTCTTCTGCTTCCTCTGCCTGCCCCATGGCAAGCTTGACGGTGGGTTGGAACATTTGCACGTGACCGCCCATCTTTGGTCCTTCGAGTATTAAAGTACCTTCTGAACCGATGATTTCCCAGCAAAAGTCGCGGCCGGTGCGAGATAAACCCGGCGCATAAGTTACGTCGACGCTGCCGCCGCCATTGATGAGGGTGGCATTCATGCTGACAAAGTCGTGCGCCGTCTTCTTCTTGAGCTCGATGGGCTTGTAGGCATCGTCTATGAGCATAATCTCGGGATAGTTGTTTTTGAGCGTGGCCGAGACGTCTTTGAGCTCAGTGTTCAGGACGTAGCATAGTGCATCTACAGCATGGCCAAATGGTATGGTGAGAAGGTTTGCGCCTGCTTCGATTGGTAGGCCGTAGATGAAGCTTTCCTGGATGACACCACCGAAGATGAGACCATGACCGAACATGGTCGTTCCTAGGATCTTTCCTAGTTTTCCAGAAGCGATAATCTCCTTTGCTTTTATGATGGACGGGCTCTGGCGAGCCTGCAATCCAACCATGGTCTTCACACCCTTCTCTTTCGCCAATTGCGTTAGTTCTTTGGCCTCAGCTAGGTCACGAGCCAGAGGCCATTCACAAAAGACGTCTTTGCCTGCTTCAAGCGCAGGGCGAATGAGGTCGTAGTGCTGAGGCACATTAACGCTGACAGCTACAATATCGACATTTGGATCTTTTGCGATTGATGCTGGATTGTCGTAGGTTGCAACCCCATCTAAGGAGTACTTCTTCGCTGCTGCTTGGGCAGAGGCTTCTGAGCTGTTCTGAAGAGCTGTGATCTTGTAGTGGGAGGTTCCCTGCAGGTATGGCAGGTGGGAGCGGGTTGCCCAAGAACTATCAGCTGTCAGTTACTTGGTGCTGTGATATGTTCCTACCTAGGGTAGGCACCAACCCTTTCGCGGAAAGGCCGATTAGCCCAATGCGCTTCTGTGAGTCTGACATGATGTATTGAGGAAAGTCGCGATTCGCTTAACACTTAAGAGTTGGACAACCGTCTGAATATCTACGAGAGCAGGAATGGTCACTGATATATTGATCTATTGGTAAGCAATGGTACATATGCCTACGTACTTCACTCCGCATATGTACTCCGCAAAAGCGGAACAATAACCCGATCAGGTGGGTGATGGTCCCGACGCTGATTGGCTAGCTGGCATTCCGGTTTTCGTCCACCCCCGCGTTTCGTCCATTACATCTCTTAAGTAGCTGTCCAATTTCACGAAACAGAACAGTTGTTTGGAAATCTTAATGGGAAGTCAAGTATTCGAGAAAATCCGGGAAGAGGCGTGGTGGGAACAGGGGCTCATACGAGTTCCGGAAATAGAGATAACCGGAAATACTGACATGTGAGCAGGGTTCAGGCATCCAACGCAGAGGCGTGGACGGTATTGTTGGGAATCGAACCTGCGGTAGATAAGGCAGCTGGTTGCTGCATGCACGAGCTTGGATTATACGGCAGACTAAGCCGTGTGGTCCGAGCTCTGGCTGCTGCCTTACTGCCGACCTCCCTCCACCTCCATAGAACAACAAAAACAATCACAATCATTTTCAACTCGTTGCAATGAAGGTGATTCCGATACCTTAGCCGTATCAACAGGTATGATCCAAGCCTGAGTACATCTCGCAATCAGGAACGTCAAGATGTTTCACAACGATGACTATAATCTCATTGTCGCTTTCCTTACTGGTGTTCTGCTTCACGCAATCGTCTTCTCCAACTATGAGTGGGATCGACGAACAATCAGCATCTTCAGCTCTTTTTTCGCATCTTACTTGATTCTGGCCATTGTCCTTGCTTACGTTGGAGATCGATCTTGGGCAGCTCTCGCCGTAGCGAGCGCCTACAACATCTTTCTTCTCGGTGGCCTCTTCAGCTCAATGACCGTATACCGAACAATCCTGCACCCTCTAAAGTCATTCCCGGGACCGGTAGCTGCTCGAGTAACAAGCCTATGGCTTTTTAAACAGAACATTCCGAATCTCAACTTCTACGTTAAGTTGCGCAGTCTACACGATCAGTATGGGGACTTTGTACGAATTCGTGAGTGAAGACGTGGTCCTATCCTGATGTAACTGACGTTCTATAGGACCTAGGGAGATATCTATATGCCACTCAGATGCGATTGTTGATGTTCATGGACCTAGGACCAAAATGAGAAAAGGCGAGTTTTATGATCAGACTTATCCTTTGCATACCTTGCAGTTCATCCGCGACCACGATCTGCATAGAGAGCAACGGAAGTACTGGGATAGAGCCTTCCAGACAACAGGTGAGCAAAAAATTTGTAGAACATGGACCTTAAGTTAAGTCATGGGAGTGCTGCAGGGGTATTTACCACGACTTACTACGCATTACGCAATTGCCATGAGCATATTCGCCAAACATGCAGCCTCTAGGAAGCCGATAGATGTCAGCGGAACTTTTTTGGAACTCTTTTTCGATGTTATATCTGACTTGACGTTTGGAAAGTCTTTTGACAACCTGACTACGAAACAAAGAAGTCCAATAGTGGCGGACTTCCTCAAAGGACACAAAGCGCTTGGATTTTTCTTGATAAACATGCCCATACTTCATTTTGTTAGGGGTTTGCGAAAGCTTCGGAACAGTAAAAGAGACAGGGATATATGGTACGATGCCGCACTCCATGCACGCAGCAAGGTATGCCAGTTAGATTGCTTCGTATATTGTCTGCTGACGCGTATAGATGCAAACTAATACTTTTGACATCTATACCTATCTTTCGCAGTCCAGCGGCTTCCAGAACAACACACTCAGCGAGGCTAAGTTGGCCGTAGTTGCCGGCGCCGACACAAACGCAATCACAGTGGCAAATGTTTGCTATCTGCTCTGCCGATACCCCGAAATTCAGGTAAAACTTTACAGTGAGCTCTCGGACTTGCCATCCCTAGGTGGTATCATCGATGATCAGTACTTGGTCAACAAATCCTACTTGACAGGCATCATCAATGAGACGTTGAGGCTGTATCCGCCAGTGCCCTCGGGTCTTCAGCGTTTGACACCTCCACAAGGTGCCATGATTGCTGGCAGATACATTCCAGGAAATATGAATGTAACAACGCCGACATATTCGCTACAAAGAGGTACTACTCTTCTCATATCTTACATTGCAAGGACCGAGCTGACAACATAGATCCACGCGCGTTTGTTTATCCGAACGATTTCATCCCTGAACGTTGGTCTACCCAGCCCAAGCTTATTCTCCGAAAAGATGCATTTATACCCTTTGGATACGGGGCATACAGTTGCGCTGGGAAGCCACTGGCAATGCTGCAATTACGTATGGTTGTTGCCATGGTCTTCAAACGATTTACGGTATCCTTCGCGCCTGGTAAAGAAGCGGCGTGCTGTGACTTTATCGAAAACCAAGCCGACTGTTTTACATTACATCTTCAACCACTTCCTCTAGTTCTCGAAGAGAGGCGGAGCAGTAGATAGGCTGTTGCCGGAACTTCATAGCCATAGTTCTCACACTGTGCAACGAAGTGTGCACTGTGTATCAACCCCACACAGGCATAAAATCCAATCGTGATTTTGACATATCAAATTTAACTATACTATTAGTTGAGTAATAACATTGTTCTCACAGCAATGTTATGCAGTGACATCGGGGGCCAGGATAAACTAATACAATATGTAATCATCTTTCAGCCCTTGCTATTCGAACTCAACCAGCATTCTCTGTTCACTTACATGTTCAAATCGATTCACACTACCAAAACCGATTTTCGTGCTAACAGAAATCATGGGAATTCTTCAGCGCCTCCGACGTTCTGCCAAGAACTTTGGATTATCATCGAACGAAACGCGTCATGAATCAGCACATTTCAAGAAGCTCGGTAAAGCCGCTGGAAATGTTGTGCTGGCAATGGGAAAACTTAACCTCGGTAACGGCGGCAAGAACAAGTCAAACGCTAACACTGATGGTAGTTACCATGATCTTGAGCAACACGATCGATACTCTCTTATCCGCCATCTAGGTTCTGGAGCGAACGGTGACGTAGGGCTCTATACTGACATACGATCTGGTAAAATAGTGGCTTTCAAAACGGTCAACCACGATACAAAGTCAACACCCAACGAAGTGGCAGTCTTGAAGTACCTGGGCCATCATCCGAACATCGTTCGATACCATACATATCTCCGTCAACCTCTGAAGATTGTCTTTGAGTATTGCCCTGTGGGTGACATGCTGAACTATGCGACTAGCTTCTAAGGCCGTGTTCCCGAGATGTTTATCTGGCATTCGCTTAAACACGTTGCCTCCGGCGTCGCCTTCTTGCACGAGCGTGGTGTATTCCATGGCGATATCAAACTCGCAAACATTCTACTGATTACTCCTCCCAAGGGAGAGGAGTATCCTCTGCCAAAGATTGCTGACTTTGGAGCTGCGGCTATCAAACCTTCACCTAGGATCCCGTTGGGCCACATGGGTACGTTCGGCTGGCAGCCACCTGAGGCATCATATCACCATGGCCCTGAGTCCGATGTATGGGCGCTGGGGTGTATGGTCCATGAGCTTGCAGTGGGATACCTGCCCATAGAGGTTCGGGAGAGTCCGAATATCGACATCAACGAGTGGTTCGAGACCAATCTGTGCGTCCCTGTAGGAATAGAATACATTGGCATTTATAAGGACATGTGCTTCTTGATGGCTTTCAATCCAGTTACGCGGACGCGCACTGATAATCCGTCGGACACCAAGTCGATGGTGTACAGTAGGTTGCTCAACTACGTCATCATGCGCGCTCTGGATACGGATCACCGAACCCGCATCACTGCAAGCCAACTGCATCTCTTCCTTCCTGTACTCGAGGAGGTCGCGAATATCTTCTCGATTCTGTTCGACGAGATTTGCTGGATATGGTTCCCGAGAGTGGGGAGGATGGGACAGGTGTTACTGATTCTGATGTCTTCAAGCAGGTGTTCGATGGCATGGCGTGTTGCGCAGACAAACAACAGAGCTGCGAAATGTTAGAGGTGGCCATGGGATTAATACCCCTTATGGATGCGGAAGAACAGGTTAGGGCTTCTCAAACCATCGCTAGCGCCTCTTTTTCGCCATAGACGCCGCATTGCTACTCATCGTTTTTGCAAGTCAGTATTCTTTCTCACTTTCGCGTCGTTTTTGCTGGACAGTAAGCAACTGAAAGATTTCTCTAGATCATGACGTAAAGTGTAATCAGCAATGTGCAGTATGTCAAGTTCTATATTTTATCTTACGTTCTTCTTCTTATTGTGTCATGTTGGTGAATGTCATTCGCCAAGGGAGCTCTCACTCACTTTCACTCACTCACTTTCACCTGGGCGAGCCCCAACTTCTTGTATTATTAACTTGCCACTACCCACCTCAGTGCTCTTGAATTCAACCTCTAAATTTTCTCTCTGTTAGTATCCTTTCTCTGTCCCTCTGTCATTTACACACCCTCGTGCGCAATGGCGCCCTATCCACCAATGCGCAATGTAGCGCCCAATGAACCTTCTCCCTACGTGTTTCCCTTCGACTTAGGAGCTTCATTAACGACTTCTCAGCCGCTCCACTCGCAAGCTCAACCACAGGGTCAGAACAGCGCCTCAACCACACCCCACGGACTCGCAGCATCCAGCATCGCGCCAAAGAACAGACAGAAGACCATGTCATCTGCACCGAGGGGACGAAACCCTGCAGGTGGTAGTGCCCGAGGCAGGTCATCAAAGTCAGCGACACCACGGTCCAAAGCTGCACAGAGTGCGCCAAAGCCCATGTTGAAGCTCAAGCTCAACACGAAGGCGCTCACTGAGGCTGAGGACCCCAAACCGGCCGTCACTGCGCAGCATAACGATACAGATGAGCTTCCACAGTATACTCCGACACCGTTCACGACCCGCACTGGGCGAACCGTCAAACAACCACTACACTTTGATGATGTGCAGGATAGCAGCTACACGATCGACCAGAGCTCTGATCGTGTAGATGATGGAGTCAACTCAGCGAGCGACTCAAGTAAGACAATCCCCTTGCATAAATCCGGATATACAGACCACTGACAGAATTTTTGAGGTTACGAGTCACACCACGGAAAGGCAAGCCTGTCATCACAGCAGCAGTCAACTCCAAGAGCTATCCGTCGTCCCCAGACTGAGGCATCCTGGAACACGCCTCTACCAAAGATTGACAAAGAATATGTCCCAGTCCCCAACACACCGCAAGCACATCCAAGCCATCAAGAACCACCCACCTACGTACCCGAAACCGGCGACGCATACCAAATCTTCGACGCCCTCAAACGCACCACAAAGATCCACCTCGACCTCCCCTGCCTCACCAACGCGCAAAACCCCGAGCTCCCCCAGCCCTACAGTGCCAAATCCCTCGTGCAAATCTACCTCCTCGCCTACCAGCAAAAAGAATGGGACCTATGCGATGTCATCGCCGACACCTGGATGCGCGCTTTCCACGAACTACGAGACAAAGACCAGCGCAGCGACTCCAAAGACGCAACATGGCGCCACAACAAAGTGCTCGAAGGACGGAAGCGCAAAGCCAAGGAAGCGTGGAAACGCGGTAAAAAAATATTTTCGGAATTCGACCTCAATCCAAAGGACTACGAGCTCACCATTGCGGACCCCGAGCTCGATGCCGATGTCACAGCCGTCCACCCTAATCTGCTAAACATATTGTACAAGCACACAGACACCAAGTGCGGCGCGCGCATGCTGTGGGCTGATGCACTGGCTCTTGGCGGCGATAAGACGGAGAAGATTATGGCGGCGACTGTGAACACGGGCGTGGGATTACATGCTGAGCTTGTGTTCAATGTTATGCAAACTGGTCTACGTATGCTGCGGCGCAACCTTACGCTCAAGATTGAAGAGAGCACCGAGGGCGCGTGGTGTAAGCGGTATCATGAGCATAGCAAGTATGACTTGCCTTGTTACCGCGAGAAGGCTTGGGGGTGGAAGAATGGGGTTGTTGATGGAGGAGGCGACGACGATGATAGTGATGGTGAGCGTAGGGAGATGAATGGTGATGCGGCTGAGCTGGATGACGTGGATGACTTTGAGGCGATGATGCTGGAGGAGTTTGATGGGAAGAGGGGGTTTGGTGGGGATGGGGAGATAAGTGGGGCGAAGCGTGTGAAACGTGGAGGGGATGCGGGTGATGACTCTGATAGTGAGTATGAGTGATTCGATTTACTGGGCAAGTTACCTGGAGATGGATCACATCTGGACTGCAGATATGACGATGAGGAGCTGAGCATCTGCACTCATGCGAGTCGTCGACGATATGACACATTAGCTGTTTTAATGAACTTTAGGGGTCAAATGAACACTGCTCAATAACATCATCTCCACCGTTTTCTTTTCCGGAAACCATTTCGTTCATGTGAATATCCTACTCGATTCAACATCCATACCAAATCCAGGTACCACACTTCGGCACATTACAGGTTTGCATATACCCTTGTTACATCCTACCCAGAAGCCTTAATCCAAGGTATCGCGAACTTGTTTCGAAAGCTTCAATCCATGAGATCATTAAGATCCTATTTCCGATATTTTTTACCTCATGAGCACCGCAGCCTCACATCATCATCTAGGCTCATTCTTTTAGAGCAAACATGCCATCTTCTTCACGCGCTTTTTCATGAAAAGTTAGAGGAATGTAAAAAGTAGACATGCGGTTTGGTACCGGTTGTTTTAGAAACAATATCTGGACACTTATACGACGTAAGAAGTAACGGTTTGTGTTAGGCTCGGAACATAGGCCATCATGTCCACTTCCTCACATCATCTTTATTTTAGAGAAGTAGCGGCAAACATTATATGCGGTGTTTTGTATATTGAATTTTAGAGAAGAAAAATAGAGTGGAAGAACTCCATTAGCGTAATTTCTATTACTTTTTAGAACAAGCTTTTTAATTTATGAATGTGTGTAGAGAAGAAGACAAGCAACAGGAAGAGGGGCAGAACTTATATACACCACAGCAGCCCCGATATCGGAGCGGAGGACTTAAAAAGGTTCATGCATGAGCAATCATGTCTTTGTCAGTTAGTCTATCTCCAAAGCAAAATATCATCAATCTATCCTTTTTTCCCCTGCCACAGCCGTCGACATAACCAGCGAAGTACTACCGTGCATCCCGCACTAACCACACTGCATACCTTAACCCAAATTACCCGCCCGAAAAAGATGAAAATGACATGACATGACAAAAAATCCGCATAGCAAAAACGTTCGGCCGAAGCCTCATGACTAAAAGGGAAAAACTCCGCCAAATAAATAAACCCACACGCTACATCACCCAAATTTTCCTTTCCAACCGCCCATTTCATCCTATCCCATTCCTATAATCATCATCGTCAAACGCCCCCACCCTAAAACCAATAACTCCCCCCGGCAACACTGATTTCAAACTGACAACCCAACCCCCTACCCTGCTCCTGCAATGTGGCTTCTCCCTCCCTCAACTCCTCCAGAATCTGATCGCCGACCAGCGGCCCATCCGCAAACGTATCTTTGACATGTATAATCACCACTTTTACGCCTTTCAGCGGTGAGTCAAACGCCGCAGAGAGCATGGCGCGGCTGTGTTCCGCGGATACGGACGAGAGGTTTAGCGCTGCGGGGGCTGAAGGGTGGGAAGCATGAGGGTCAGAGGTGTGTTGGTGGTGCGAGGAGTGGAGTGGGTTGGGCGTATGCGTTCCCGTGTCGCCGTGGGATGTGGGGTAATCGCTCATGACGTCGTCGTCGTTGCTGATGTTATTGATGTTTTGGTTGGTGGAGGAGATGGGGGAGTCGATGCCTTTGGGGACACCGAGACGTTTGCCGCGGTCTTTTTCTCCTAGACCATCCAGTTGCAAGGTGTTACTGGCTCGCTTTCTCTTCTTTCTTGTCCGATTTTCTTCTTTCTCCCGCTCTGTCTCCTTCTTGCGCTCCTTGACCATGTCGCCAAGTGCGCACAGTTCCTCGAGCAAATGCCTGGGTGCTAGGTGGCCGAATAGGACGGCGTCGGACTGCGCGTTTGTGTAAGAGACTTCTATGAAGATGCCGGTTAGAATGCCAGAGGCTATCTTGGGCGCGGCTTCGGACCATATTTGAGAGGTGCGTGGGGATAGGGATAGAGAGTCTGGTTCCACGTCGCCGAAGATGAGGATTTCGCGTTTGGGAGTAGTAGGTGTCGATTCAGTGCGAATGAAGTAGGCGGTAGAGTCGATTACACAGTGATCTTCGGATGATTGTTGGGGTGGTGGGACGGTGGTGCCACTGGCTCGTCGGCCTGTATCTGCACCGCTCAAGCCAGGAGTACCAGGTGCGCTTTGCGACGTGTACGAGAAGCTCATGGAGCGACCCTCTTGGCCGTCTAACTGATGGGCAGAAGTTGGGTGTTGTGCGCTCGATGTTTCCAGAAGATTGGCATTCGATCCGCGATGTACATGACCCGGTCCTTGCATGCAATGTCCATGGCTTACTTTGAATCCCTTAACCTCTAGACCATCACATACTTCGATGAATCCTCTCCCGCTTCCTTCGCCTAGCGCAATATTACCGCCTTCTGCAAGTCTCTGGAAGGTCACGAGACCTACACCACCGTCTTCGTCTGTGAGATTTGGCCATATAACGTTGTTGAAGATGTGCATCTTTATGGCATTCACCGTAAAGGGTAACGCTGCTAGTCGTTTTGGTCGCGACGTGTTATGAAAAGCTGCTGTGTTGATAACGAAGCCTGACACGTGATCGAGATGCGGATGTGTAATGAGATATGTCGATATATGTTCCCTTACAACATGCAGCGCATTTGCCCTAGCACTCTGATGCGGAAACGGCAGACCCGCAAACGCACCATGCTTGAGTGTCGTGATGGTGACAGGCAGATCTCTCTCAGAGTTTGGCGTGTCAGCCTCGGATTCGTCATCTGAAGGTGAGACGGGCGCGGCACCTGGCGACGGCGATTCGGAATGGTCGTAAGCTCCATTGCTGTTGGCGTTACCGTTCCGAGATGACGGTAAAGGCGGGTCCGGTTCGGAGACGAGCGGGAAGTCCTTCGCTAATATGCGGGTGATGGATGCGAGATGGGAACCTGCATCTACAGCAATGACGGAGTTTTTCGCCCACTGTGTTGCGGTCGACCTTACTAGAAAGCCAGTGACGTTGTCTTCGCTTGGTCCACCCCCAGAGCCCTGTTGAAATCAGTTTCCGCTCCAAAATGGGGTATCCGCAGCAAGATGCAGTATTTGCGACATGGCGTATTGCCAGCCATGCCAACAGGCTAATGACCGCGAATGCAGCACATTAAACACTTACTAAGCATATTACTTGAATAGCAGGTTCGTTTGAGTGTCCAGAAGACCTCCGGACCACTCTACCATCATCTTCTTTCATTCCCACAGTCAAGTTTTTTCCCTTTTTGATGTCGTGCCTTCTCTTTGATCTCACTCGTCTTCTCGTATATTTCCCCACAGCTTGTCAAAGGCCTGCAGCACGGAACCTTGCCTCAGCCACGCGTGCAGACGACACACTTCTTAACCTCCGCTGCAGCGAACGACAAGCTACTGTTAGCGACCCGACGTCTGTACAAGAAACCGCTCGAACTCTCGCGTGCCTGTAATTGTCGTGTGTCGGCGTCTCGGATAGTCCAGGGTCTTGTTTGCTCCTAGAAGTATGACCGCGTACCCTCTCTCGTATTTGAAGACGCAAACCGAAATTCCTTAGTTGCAGCAATTTGCACAATCCAGATGTCTCAAGCCAAATGGTTGCGATTCGGTTGTGCAAGTCGAGGGGTTTGTTACACAGCGTGAAAGCCCCAGCGCTCGAACCAGCAGCAGCTGCCGCAGGAAGCCGGGGTTGAGACTATTTCTGACTCTCGATCTGGGTCCGGGGTGGAAGCTGCCAAAATCCGATATGCCAGCTCACGCGACAGTCGTTGGAATGACGACAACACGAGCGCCTACAGGGCAGTTTGAAGACTACCGGAGGAGCCGCACAAATCACCGTAAGTAGGCCCGGCACGGCGTTGCTAGGCTGTCGTCGGATGCGCGGTGATTGTATGTGCAGCCGATGGTTAGAAGCAAAAGCAAAAGCAAAGTTTCTCGAGGGCTTGAAAGGACTCGAGGATCAAAGACACGCATGCACCTATGCGGCTGCCCACGCCGTTCTTTGGAGCCTTCCTTCGCGCTGTTCCTCCCTTGTCCGTTTTCGGCCAATCGCATGCTTGGGGAACCCCAGCCACGACTCTGCTTGCTGCGCTCTTTGCCCCGCCCCTTGTGAGCCCAGATCTGGGGTTGTGAACGCCTGACAGTCTAGGCGACAGGCGACGATGCAGCATCATGTCACACGAAACCCTAAAAGTTTGGCCATCTAGGTACCATGAGCTGAGCGTAGCTTGAAGCACAACCCACAACAAAGCAAATCACATGTTTGACATATCGACGCGAAAGAGAGTCATTGGTTGGGTATCATGATTTTTCTTGTGCAGCTTTTCCGAGCCTCTATCCGGCCGTGGTAGTATCGCTGATCTACCAAAGGCTGCCCAACATGATCTCATGAATTCTCATCCCTCATTCCATCCGTCCCATACCCAGTCGTAATTCATCCGCATCATAAATCAAAACAAACTCTTCACCAAGCAAGCGAAGCGTTTACTTGAACACCTTACCGTCGGCCCACTCGTAGGTCTTGTCGCCGACGACGAGGGGCTTGTCCCACGACCACTGGTCGTTGACGAACTCACGGTCCTCTTCCTTGGTGGGGTCGAGCTTGGTAAACTCGTAGCTCTCAACGTCGGGAGCGACATCGAAAGCGGGAAGCGCCTCCTGACCACGGACGACGAAAGCGCCCTTGATGATGGAGTCGTTGGCAATGCCGTACACGGAGCAGCAGCCGAAGAGGTACTTGCGGCTGGCCTCGAGACGAGTGAAGAAACCACCTACACAGAGTTAGCAACGATCTTGTGTCTTGGTTGTTAGATATGCTTACCGATCAAGTTGGCGGTCATGAAGGTGAGGGTCAACTCATCGTTGTACCTGTAGTCGACCTTGTAGATGGAGTACTCCTCAAAGTTGGCGTTCTCCCAGAACCAGGGGAGGGCAACCTCGCGGGTCTCCTCGTTGGAGTACTTGCGCTTCCAGTCGTCAAGGACGAAGGTAGCCTTGGGCAGAGCCTCGAGAGGGTGCTTGGGCTTGGGAGCAGGCGCAGCCTCCTCCTCTTCCTCAGCCTCCTCCTTGGGCTTAGGGGCGGCCTTGGGGGTCTCCTTCTTTTTCTCACCACCTTCCTTCTTTGGTGCGACGTTCTTCAACGCCTCGGTGATGAACTCAAACTTGGGAGCCACGGCTGAGTAGCTAGACTGGTTGTAGATGGTCTCGTACCAGCGAGTGACGTTGGGGTTGGAGTCGCGCCATTGCTTGTCGAAGAAGTACTGGAAGCCACGAGCAAGGATGCTGGTAGCGAAGATATCGGCAAGTGTCAGACGCTCACCAACGAGGTATGTGTGTGTAAGAAGGTGCTCCTCGATGACGTGGACAGCCTTGAGGGCGGCCTTCTGTGATTCCTCAACGTTCTTCTTGTTGTAGGGGTCGCGGCCGAGGATGGGACGGAACCAGCCACCGAGAGGGGAGAGGACCTCAGTGTTGACAAAGGACATCCATCGCAGAATGGTGGCGTAGTCCTGCTTGGTCTTTCCAAGAAGGCTGGTCTTCTCGTTCTGCGAGGCAACTGCGATCCGTCAGCTCTGAGTCATGGCCAAAATATCGTCGGATGAATCAGGTAGGATAAAGGCAAATCAGAATTGTAAGTTTTCAACAATAGTTTTCAGACAGGGATAACTGAATGATATACATTCCACATCATTTTATGCAGCTAGGGGCGAAGAGGCAGGCGGGGTAGCACTTACGGTAGACAGCGATGGCGATGCACTCGGAGAGGACAAAGCCGTCAGCACCCTCAAAGGTAGGGACCTTGCCGAGCTTGTTGAGCTTCAGGTACTCAGTTGAGACACCTTGGCAGGCTCAGTCTCGACAAACTCAATGTCGAGGCCGTTCTCCTTCGCGACCGCCAGGAGAGAGGTGGTGCGCGGGTTACCCTGTTAACACGCTGTTAGAACTCATTGAGTTGGTTTTGCGTGCTGTATGACGGGAAACTTACCGAGTAGCTGTAAAGCTTTCCGAAAGACATGATTGCAGAGTTGGCAGTGGAATCAGTGTGTGGAAGCGGGTGTTGATGAAGAAAAAAGGGTGTTGGGTTGACGGCGCGGGGCTCTTTACCCAGCAGAAATCTGCTGGTGCACAGTCCACCGTAATTTTAGTTTGCCGCCAAGCAATTGCATGTGGGTCGTGCAATGTTCATCGTCACTTGCTGCCAATTTTGACAGGCCATCACGGCGCATTTCCTGTTCATAATGGCAAGCAGGGAGCTTTCGCGCAGTTTGCGGAGGGCGGTAGACGTCGTGGGAAGCCGGCAAAGGCCCCAATGCCAATGGACCATACGACACGCTCAATGGAGCCTCCAAACTCAACCCCGAATATCACGATGCATCTCCACCACGGCACCGCGATGTGCAGAAGTTACCGAGGAAGAGCTACGGGAACCTTTTACTGCGGCACCGGCGTTTGATTTTGCCGCAAAAGATGAAGGTGGCGTAGACGAGAAGAAGAACTTACTGCGAACGCTGCGCGTAGTCCCAGCATCACCGTCGTATTTCAGCGCAAAGCCTACCTTCACCGACGACTTCCTCTCGCTATCCGCCCTACTGCGCAAAGTCGCTACACTGCCCATAATATCGTCTACAGAGGCACCCAAGGTGGCGTGGAAGACGATTGAGCAGTACCGCATCATGACCAACGAGCCGGTCAAGACGGCGCGTTACCACAGGATGCTGCAGATACTCCGGAGGCTGAACCGTATACACCCCCAGCTCATGCCAGAAGAGGTGGTGCAAGCCATGCTGCGGTACAAGAAGCCAAACCAGCCTGGCGACATCAAGCCAAAGCCTGGTGTAATTGATGAGCTTGGGCGCGCCAAGGGTGTTGGGCGGAGGAAGACGTCGTCTGCTGTAGCTTGGCTGGTGGAGGGGGAGGGAGAGGCGCTTGTTAATGGAAAATCCCTCTCTCAGTTCTTCGGACGACTCCACCATCGGGAGAGCGCTGTGTGGGCACTCAAGGCTACTCAGCGGCTTGACAAGTACAACGTCTTTGCACTGGTGCAAGGCGGCGGTCTGACTGGTCAGGCAGAAGCAATGACTTTAGCAGTGGCTAAAGCATTGCTGGTCCATGAACCAGCGCTGAAGCCCGCGCTACGAAGAGGTGAGTTTGCATGTTTCTTTAGTCTAGTCGTCTTCTTGCCAGCATTGCTTTTTCCGTCGTTCCATGGGTACAGTCAATGCGGGACGCTCACCGCTCACGTTCACCTTACCCCAAACAACCCCCCTGAGAATGCCAAACATGTCGCGCCACCTTGTTTCGAACCTGACTGTTAACCACTCCCCAGCTGGAACCATCACTCGTGACCCAAGGAAGGTGGAGAGAAAGAAGCCAGGCCACGTCAAAGCGCGCAAGATGCCTACCTGGGTCAAGCGATGAGAGACTGGTTGTCTGTACCTTGTACTTGTATGGCTGGCCGTTGGCCGATGAGCATAGGCGAATCTATCAACACAGTTTTACAGAAGCATTTCGTGAACATGTCCAGAAGAAGCATTGTACACACCCGAGCACGGCCTCTCTACCTCTGCTTGAGCATTGAAAGTCCTTTTGGTGACACATTCTGAAATCACGGAAACACGACTTCGCAACTACATTGCGTGGAAAGGGAAAGGGAAAGGGCATCAGTGCATTGTTGCGCACCAAGCGCTTCATGTGGGACGGTATATTTCACTCCATACCAGGAATTTTTGATGTTCCAATCAGCACTGGCGCTGACGTTCGCGTACCTGACGCTTTGAGACGCGTTTGGGCCGGCATGTCCTGTTCTGCATACCTCGGCCCTAGGCCCAGGTTCGACATCATCGCTGACAGGCATATAGGGTAAACCTTGCCGGGGAGCTGTTCGTTATTGCTTTCTCGGTCCGTTCCTGGCAGGCTTGACAGCCGTCTCGGAACATCAGCTCATCGGCTCGTATTGGGGACTGCGCCACAATAAGCAGTATATGTGTCTTGCGGTCGTTCTGATACTATTGATCCGGCCGCGTTGCATTAAGCCTCGGTATCACGTCTATCTATGCCGATCAATACCGCAAACTAGGAGAATTGTACACGCAGAGTTGGGTGCGTGCAAGTGCGCCATCCGATTACAGAATCTAAACAACTACCGCCCATGATATTTTCGATTGAGCCGGGGTTTGGGCCTGATAGCGGCCAGAAAATATGTCATGGAGAATTTGAGATGTTGACTCGCATGCGGTATCTTTTTTTGGACACGGCCATAAGGCGGCCAATGGGATTCCATCGCAGTGCCAGTGCTATTTTCTCTCGGTCGTTCCGGCTCACGGCTCATGTCGCAAGCAGACGCTGTTTGGTGGAGCTGTTGATCAGGGATGTGCACTTATAGTGTGATAGGATAGTTGCAAGAAGCAAGACAAGACGACCGTTTTGGTCATGGCTGGCTTCGAGGAAACACGCCCTGGCGATCCTTGTTGCTCGCTGCTAGGAGCAAAGCAGAAGACGTAAACGAGTCAGACCGTGTTCTGCTCATGTTTTTTTCCAGCGGGTAGTAGCGGCAGTCGTATCACGAGTCACGCGTTTATCGAAGAAAGTGAAACCTTCTCGAAGCATGTTCGCCGCGGTCCTTTCATCTCACGATGGGCGGTGGTGGTGGAGGTTGATGCGGCAGCCGGGTCCACTGAATGATCGCCAACCGCGCGTACCGAAATGACGCACTCGTGTGGCCTGTGATGGGGCCCGAAGCGGGCAATTTGAACGACGTTGGTTTGATTAGGCGATGGACGAGGTTCTGCAAAGCCATGCTGTGCCCCCTCGGCCGCCTTCCAGAAGGTTGCAATCTCGCACGGCCACGTGAATGGAACATTCATGCTAAGTCTGACCGGACGGCCCAGTGCGCAATGCATTTGGCGCACTGAGGCATGTCTCTGGCGCGCGAATGACCTCGTTCAGGCGGTGTATGAGTGCGCGCGCGAGCAGTGCAGCATGGTTAGTGTTTGGATTTTGATTTTGCACATGCGCCGTGGTGTCGATGACGGAGGGTTTGCGGTAAAGCACCACTAAAGTTGGCCGGCAGCAGTGGCCGAGCAGACGCTAGGTCCACGGTACCGCCAAGTCTAAGATTCGAGGAGTCGCAGTGTGCCTGGAGAGAGCATCGCAAGGTCGCGTGTTGAGTGCGTGTTGCGTCAGTCAGTACGTCTGAAGAGGCAGGTCGTATCCGCAAGACAGGATCGACGAGTGAGGCTGAGGATTGGCTTGCCTGGAGCACGATCTACCACAGGCGAGCGATCCCTGTTCGTCGACGGGAACTTGCAGCATTGCAGAGATGAGAGGACGACGGATCGAGTATGGAGCCCGAATGAACAGCCCCTAAAGGTAGTTTCTTGCGCTCGCTCGCAACATGTACACATCACACAGCACACAGGACGCCCGCTGTCCGCTGTCCCCCCCTCCCCCCCTTGGCATATACGCCTGGAAGAAGCCGCACGCTGAGGCTGGGAGGGTTCGACGTTGGTTTGATGATTTGACAGGCCAGAAAACATCAGGCGCGCTTCAGCAGCCGAGCCAGCAATGCTGTGTGAAACGTGCGCGCGACGGGCTCGGAAACGCGCAATTGGAGCTCTCACCGTCGTCGTCTACACGCGTAACTGGCGGGCGAAAGCTGTGGCGCGCCTTCACGCTTCCTGCCAAGGCCGGCTGGGTGAGAGGAGGTGTTCCTGGTTCAGCAACCTGCGACATTTGGCCGCTGTGGAGCCGCGGTGCGGACTTCGCCATCTGTCTCTTCCGAAGAGGGGGAGAAGAGGACAGATGTTGGTGTCTCGTCATGGGCCCTCTGCCGCAGCACTGCCGCTGTTGCTGATGCTGTAGGCGCGTCGGGCGTCCGCGACGTCGCCCACATGGCTCCCCGTGGCCGCCCACGACGACAGCAGCAGTAGAAGCGAGCAATGCCCTGCAGTGGCTGCCCAGCCGCCTGCAGATCCACCATGGGCGATCCGTAACCATGGCGGACAGGGTTTCCCAAGCCCCGCCGTGAACAGATCGGAAATCGGAGACTTCGCATGGTCGCTGTCATCTAGAGCTCATGGATTCCTCTTACTCGTCAGCCGTACGTCGCCCGACCTGCAGCCACACCCACTTCTCAGGTACCCACCATTGTTTTCTCCTCTAGCTTCAATAACCCCGGTCCAAGTATTTACTGTCTGTTCGCCGGCGTGGCTTGTCGACTACTTCCTTTTTGCTTCCCACCCTGCCCGATGCTCTCTCCCAATGTAGCGCTGCTCCATCCTCACTTCCCGCCCTCTTCTTCTCTTGATCCCCTTCAGCCAGGCTAACATCGCCGACCACATATCCACTATCCCCCCTTCGCCCGGACACACGGCGTGACTTGTCCTGGAGCAACCACTTGGGGACACGCGTGAACCGACGTCGAGCCTCCGCTTGCTCGTCGTGACGCTTGACGCTCGCACGGGCGCTGTTGATCTCCTCGACTGTTTGAATAAAGCCTCTCTGTTTTTTTGGCCGTGGGCCCAGTGCATACGATTACAAATTGACCATCTGTCGCACTTTCTGTCTTGTCTCGGACCGACCGCTTCACTCATCTCTGCATGTACTTATCCCCACCCAGTGCGCATCAAGACACTGCATCGTGAAGAACGCCATCATCCGTTTAGGCCGTTAAGCTACTGGAACGCAGACGTTAAGTTGTTTGAGACGATCTCCTGGGCCGGCCTCTACTCTGTCCGACTCGTTGGAACACTGATCGGTTTGCAAGGACTACCCTTCAAACATCTCACGCATAAGCGTCGCCTCACCACCCGCTCATCGCCCACAGGGTTCTCCACGCTTGGGAGTACCGGACAATTTCGCTGTCAGTTAGTGGCTACGTGTTTAGCTGATCCACACTACCACTCATCTTTCTCCAACATTTCCGCATCGGGAGGACCAATCCCGGGCGTAGGAGCATTGCATCAACCCCATCCTCGTGCAGCAGTGAGCGAGGATATCCTGGCGGGTGCCGAGACTGCTGCGCGAGCTTCTACTGCTGCATCATTGGGCTCCATTGGCCCAGTTAGTCAACGCGTCGGGGCCGTGTTTATATCCAAACCATCTGGACCGCAAAGCATCTGGTTGTCCAATTTCGGACGTCATACATCTACCACCATTGGCCCACCCTCGAAGCTTCTCTTTTCTGGCTCTACCAATTCCTACCACATATCGCCCCGCCAATAGACTCGCCTTGTCGATTTGAGCGCAACTGATTGCTGTCATCGCCTGCACTCTCCGCTACCCTGCGCCTATTTTCTACCCTTTCCCGCCTACCGCGTACCGTCTACCGTCTACTACCCGTCTACTGCTGTCCGCTCTCCCACGCCTTGCGCTGACCCTCTGCAAGCAGCCTCGCGCAAGCCAGCAAGCTGGCCAATTACGCAACGCCGCCAGTCTCGCCCTCGGCGTACCGGGCACTCGAACCGCCCTTCAGTCTGCAGTATAAAGGCGGGCTGGTTGGGATGGACAATGACCGCCGGCCACGGCATACTCCCTCAGGTTACGCAAGCCAGCAAGGCACGCTGCTTCCACCACATGCATCCTATCCAGTGGTAAGCGCACCCGATCGCTTCAGGCAGCCGCCCTTGACAGCGTCCGCCCCACCTACCTCTGTCCCCTCGTCGGCCTCGCGCGCCGGCTCTCAGGGCTACGGGTATGCTTACGGCGAGGGTGCACAGTTTGGCTCCTCGATCCAGCCGTCGGGTGTGGCCTACGGCGCCCAGGACTATGGTTCCGAGCAGCAGCAACAACAGCAGCAGCAGGCCCAGCGTGCAGCACCCCAGCAGTACTCGCCCTATGGCCAGAATATCATGTACAGCGTGCCCGGCGCGCAGGGCTCGGCGACGGCCTCATCGCAGTATGAGCCTGTGGAACAGTACCAGCAAAACAGGGACTCGGGCTATACAGGTCCTGAGCACCGGCTTTGGCGTCGCACAACCTCAATACTACGAGAGCGGGCCCACGAGCGCGCCTGCCTCTGCTATTGCGTCGCAGAACGTCCCTTCCCAGTACCCCTCATTAGGATATACTGCTCCTCAAGCCCAGGTCGGACGGGAAGCGCTCGCGCCTGCCTACACTGCTGCCGGAATGACTGATCCCCATCAGGCGCCTGCCCAAGGAGGCTATGCCCAGAGCACCTACACGGAGCCCCAGCCCAACAGCGGCAACGAGTACGACGATTTCTACCGGACGTACCAGAGCGAGCTCAAGAAGACGTTTGAGCATGTACGTGACAGCCGCCTCAGCGAGGCCGGCACACTGCTCTTCCGCATGTCCGACTGGCTTCTGCACTTTGCAGAGACACTGGGTAAGTCCTTCCATGCGTGCCAGATAGAGCGAACAGCTGAAGTTGACTGTAGCAGGCCTAGTCCGCGACGACGAGACGTATTACCAGCAGCGCCTGCAGCTGTGGGATGAGTTCAACACCTGCTGGCTCTCCACGCTACAGAAGCAAAAGGCAATGACGCAAGAAATGATCAACACAGGCCAACGCCCACCCCCACCCAAGTCGCTGATCGACTACGATTTTCTGGAGAAGATGGGCACCCAGCTAGTCAAGAACTGCGACAGCATGGAGAAGCACGGCCTAGTCGATTACCAGATGGGTGTATGGGAGGAAGAAATAGTAGCAAGTCCGTGCCACACTACTCACACATGTCCCCTGCAGCATGCTAATATTTTGCAGTGTTGACCTCTTGCATGGACCTTCTCGAGGAAGTCGGCGCAGGACCAACTGCACAGCGACCCACGACCTCAGCACGACGACGATGATTTTATCAAGCTCGGGCACCGACAATATCCCCGGTGGCTTGCTATATTGCCGCTTCCGAAGTCCATTGACATGGCGCATTGACCGCAATAGTAAGATTCGTCTTGTATTGCGTTCGCCCACCGCAAGCCCCTCGAGCCTTCGAGCGCGGTCCGTCCCTGCATTACAAACGACGCTGTTTGCTTCTTTTTGTACATATATCGGTCACGGAGCAGCTCATCGCGTTCATCTCATTATCGTTTCTAGCCAGGCTGGGCGCCAGCCATCTACCGGGGAAGGTATTCCGCATTTGGGCTCTCTACGTTCAACATTTCGCGTTTTTATCTTGGCGTTTTCTCTTTCCGTCACGTCATGGCATTTCTTTTGTAGCCAGCTTTGGCTTTCTATATTCCATTCATGCGCGCATTGGGAAAAGCGGGAAACTACGGTACGAACGCAATGGACGGTCACGGTTCATGTGGACGACTTGGGTTCTCAGCAGCTGGGACATGTTTTCTTTTGTTCTAGAGGCTTAATGCTGGTATGGACAAGCCCGGCGCGGGCGCTGAGCGGATAAGATGGGTTATACGACAATGCATGCGTTCATGAAGTGGATGGAGCCATTGCAGAGCCGAGGTACGAATGCATGTGGACCTCACCGGACCGTCTTTGCTCGCTGTCAATATCCGGTCATGATGCAGCGAGAAATGCAGCAGGGTGGACCAAGGCAAGAACTCGGCCCCGGCATTGGGCGGCAACAGGTTGACTGTTGAGCCTAAGGTGCTCGGGCAAGCTCATTGTTGTCGTCAACGGTCGGTCGGGTTCTTGAATGCAGCATCGACGCGGTTGGGCCGCAAGTGTAGTATAGGATTGGATTAGCGCTAGAATAACATGGCTTCATTGCTGACTGCCGAGTGCCTTGTTCCCGACGTGGCTCGGATACTTTGCTGATCATATGAACAGAAACAGGTGTAGTCGAATCACGGGCTTTGTAGTGCCATCCCGAGGTCGTCGCATCTGCAGGGGTGTATTCCTCCTCGCCTCACATTAACACACTGCCCACTCCACAAGACGAACGCCACAGCAGCCTCATATATTGACATGCAAAGCCAGATGCTGTATATGGCGCCGATTCGGTGCCTCAATTCGAGCAGATGGGATAAAGTCGATGATACACGGCAAGCTGCCGAAACCCGTGTATGCACGAGTCGCGCATGGCTTGATGAGGCTTTGTCCGTCTCACCCACAGGCCCGCTTCTAGCAGATGGATAGCCACGGCAGCCAGAAACCGGATCGACAGGCGCCACAATGATCGCCATAAAGTCAATCTTGTCCATGACACCTTATCAGAAATACGATAAACACCTGGCACTTGATCCATGGCCCATGTCGGTTGCCAGAGATGGGCGTCGATCATACGAGATCGGGCTATAAGTGCAGCATCTCCAATAGCCACGGCTGCGGGGGCACCATACGTACCGTACAGCGCCCAAAGTCCCTTCTGGTTTCAAGGCCAACCCTCAAACCAGAGCGCCAGACCCAGCCCAAGCCGACCTAGCCCTCTCCACATTAGATCCTCGCATTACAGCCTGCAGTCGCATGCAGTCATGCGTCCGCCACCCTGCCCCGCTTCCTGACTCCCTGATACGTAACCTGTCGAGATCCGTGGCCCCTGGATTACCACACGCTATTTCCAGACGTACATGTTTGTTTTTTTCTGCCATGAGCTGAAGTCATCATCGCGTCCTTTAGCTACCGGTTTCCGATTCGATGCAGCAGCCCGACCACCACCAATGAGTGGACATGCGCAGTCCCTGCTCGTTGGAGACGACCGGCTCGTCTCCCCTGCGCTGGGAGCAAATCAGGATTATCTTGAACATCAACGCCGAAGTGGGAGCGAAGGCGGCCAGATACCATGCCTTGGGACTTGGTATCTTGGAGACCTAGGCCCGCCTTTACCATGATGACGCCCAATAAACCTGCTTCATGCTTTGGTATTGTGTGACCCGCCCCCGTTGCATTTCTCTTACCGCAACAGGGACGGAACCTAGCTGACTGAACGTATGACGTTTCCTCGCTCGCAATGCAAGGGCACCAATCGTGATTCACCTTCCCGTTCAGAGAAAAGACGTGTATCGTCTGACTCCCGCTTTGACGGTACGAGTCGAAAGGCTGCGGCACTTGGGAACTGCATTAGCACAACCCTTTGCTTGGTTTCGTGCCCAGCTTCTCGAACAGCCAGCCCTGTTCGATTGACAGGACAGGGTGAACGTCGATCACCGCCACGCAAGGGCTGTGCAACCCTGCACCACCACAACCTGTCACTGCAACTACCCTTTTACGATACCACGTAGCACCGAACCAATGCTCTGGTAACCATACTATGCTCTTTGTTTGGCTGCGCATGATTGCCACGAAAACGCCCGTTGCTTCACGCAAACGACACTGTTCTACCTTCCGCTGTCCGTCTGACCATGTCGCGATACTACAACCGGTCACGACATGCTGCTTACCGGTCGTTGAGGCATTTCAACAACCTGACGTTTTTATATGTGCCGCCCTATTCGTCCCTCACATGCCATTCACGGCAACATACAGCTTGACACATGTCCTGGCGTGTAAACCACAGACTTTGACATGAGCGTGGCAGCTGCCAGGTACGAGACTTTCTGCGAGGTTAGTGTATGCGCTTGTTGAACAGTTCATGTTGTACCCGTCTCGCGAATTTGTGCCATCTACAAGGGTTTGTGTAGTCACACTACAATGCGTATTGATCATAGTAGTCTACCAAAATGGATCAAAGTGTTATACCAGACACTGATCGGTAAGGAATTAACCCATGAACCCTGCTTAAAACGAATGATAGGAAATCTGCGCCTCAATTCCTAGTAACTTTAGTGTGAAAGCGCGGGGCTTGATCCAACGTGCCCTTCTTTCTCTAGAAAAAAGAATCTTAGCTCAGGTTGGCAGGAATGACATATAAGATCATTATCCAGGCAATTAATCCATACTTCTCAATCACTGCTACCTCTTCCATATGTAACACACAGAAAACAGCTCGAGACAAAACCTCACATGACAACTTTGATGATCCTAATGAACATACTATTCTATTATCAACCTCTAATGCTACAGCATCAATGTTGCCATCATATATCCACCCAACTCCGACAATATCTATAGAACGGCGATGCAATCTTACAATCTATATCTAGGCCTTTAAATACCTATCCTACGGCGGGTACAAAATGCAAGATACACATAAAAACAACTCGCCGTTGACAATACTCACGCATTTACCACATTAACCCAATCCACAATCATCTCCCCACATGCAGAACTATCTTACTTTGCTTACGTAACTTTACCATCATATTAACCCATTTAACCCATCTCCATTTTCATAAAATCTTCATTACTTATCCACCACCATCCCAACCAAAACAAACATCCTACCCCATCCCAACTCCAAAAGAACATCACACGCAATGCACCCGCACACCCTTCAATCTCGCAGGCCACCCACTCCGCCCTTGACTAGGCTCCTCCTGTACATTCGCATGGAGTTTGGTCCGCAAGCATGCAACACCCCCTCACTGTACCAAACATCCGCGAACAACAACCAAGAAACAACACAAGAGTCAATAAAACAAGCACGTCGAGTTTTTTCTGCAGGGAAGATAACAATGATGCTGGGTCATGTGTTTACCTGGCTTACCCCTCAGTGGGACTTTGGGTTGATGAGGGGGAGGGATCCCGTTAGTCTGTTTGAGTTGCAAGAAACGAACGCCAAACCTCATTGTTTTGTTCGTATGCTTCGACTTATTCATCATTTACTGTACTTAACCCGTTTAAACTGTACAACTTCACCCCCTCCCACCCAATCCCAATCCCCCTTTCCGCCCAACCCGAACACACGCCCACCCCTCCTCCAATGCCAATACCAGTTCACCGCCGCCTAAACATCCTCCTCCAAGCCTTCTGCTCCTGGCCCTGGCCCTGGCGCTGGAACTGGCACTCTCAATCAGGAAAAACAGGCTTCTACATCTGGTGCTTACTCGGTATATTCGTCAGCTATGTAAGCTGTGCGACCATGGCGGTTGGCGGATTGGATATTAAAGAATTGGATGATAGGGTCTATGTTGCTTCGATTATGATCCCGGTACGTGTGTGAATATAGGCTCCACTGTCGCCCTCCCATGCCTTTCTTTGGATCCTTTTCCCCCTCGAGAATGCGCTGATTGAACTAATATATGGCTTTCTTCATTACTTTCCCCCATGACTAACTGATCAAAAGGCCAATATCATCTTACAAACGCTTTCGCTGTGGACCTGGAATTGCGCGGACGCTCGGCATAATTGGAGTAAGACGGTAAGGTGTCTTATTAGTTGTGCTAGTTTCAATATGTGGGCGGCGGGGTGTGTGCTCGCTTTCTATCGCGAAACGAGGGTCATGTGGACGGCGGGTTGGTGGTTTGTTGGGATTCCGGTAAGTTGGGGTGGGTGTATTGTGGTGAATGAACGGGGGCTGATAATTCAATGCATAGGCACTGGTGTTCATTATTAATAGGGTTAGCCTGGGAATCTATGAGAGGTATTGGATTTATTAGTAGGTTGTACAGGTCACCGATGCAAAGTGGGGTGGATGGTGATCATGATAATATAGATTGAATATTCGTAAGGTCATTGGTAGTGGGAGGCATCGCTATGTACGGAGGTTTCAAGGTGCAGTCGTAAATAATCAGATGTAAACTCGTTGTCTATTATAACGTTAGTATACAACTGCGTGGAGTATAGCGAGAAACATACGCAAAGGGCAACTTGTTGTCAGTGGGATGACGCGGCGTGCTAGTTTCGACCTCCTTGTTTGCGGCCGCTGCCCTAGAAATCACCTTCTTTCTCTCACCATGAATAGCTGCTGCTGCCCAGAGCAGCCACATGATACAGGCAAACACACTATATGCGACGATTTGGCCCCGGCTTGGAGCATGTCCGGTGGAATCCGGGGCATCGGAAGCGAGAAGCAAACCAAGACCGCCGTTGATCATACCCAAGGTAATGATAAAACGTCCGAGCCACAAATGTCCGTGAGACCACACTGTTCGGCGACTATACTTCTTGTACTGAACGTGATGGATGAAGCCCAGGATAGGTTGGAAAAACAGCAGCGCGAAAACGGTGATGCCGATAATCGGATGGTAGTTGCTGAGCATATCGACCGGGATGGTGTTGATCATCCATACACCGATTCCGAAGGCCGCAATGTAGATCACATAAGCGAAGAGCTGAAATAAGCCGTGTATGATCCATACTCCGCGGAAAGAGCCTAGTCGTATCAAGATTGACCCGACCGGGAAGAGCAGGACGAATGCTAGGGCTGCTAGCACACCGTGAGCTACTATGAGCTCGCGTCGGGATGTTGAGCTGAAGCTAGAGAAGTCCTCCGGTCTGCCGCCGTTTTGCGAAACAAAGCCATTGCCGTCATTGCCGCCGTTGGCACCGTTTTGTGAAGCATGGTCATTGCCACCGTCACCACCGTATTGCGTAGCATGGCCATTGCCGCCGTAACCGTAACCGTGACCGTCGCCGCCGCCGCCGCCACCTCGCCCATGAAATCCGGGGCCGTACTGTCCATTAGGTCCGTATTGCGCATACACTGCAGTTGCTAATCATGACATGTTAAACAAGACCCTGATCATCACGGTCCGATTGCCTACCTAAGTTGAGCAGAATAGCTCTCGTAGTAAACGTCATAGTGAAAATAGAAATGATAACACCAAAGCATGAAAGTTTAGAGGCCGATAGAAGGAAACACCAGCTACTTAACTCTTGACCTGACATGGCTGAACTTACACAACAGCCACAATGCAAGCCAAACGCGCGAAAAACTCTGGAGCATGTCCTATGGTGACACGAATGACGCTGGGCACAAGCAAAAGATATGCTAGCTTACGCGTTTCCGCAGCATTTTGCAGTGTTTCGAGTGGTGGACATTGTTGAGCTAGGCTGGATCCGAAGCAGGGGCGCACATGGTGGAGAGCCGTAATAAGATGTCGGCAAAACACGAGCTGAAAGCTCCGACTTGGTGTGGCTGCTGACTGAGGCTGTATCCGTTGACGACGATACAAGATTACCTAATGAAGATTTCCGAAGCGGCTTAGCTAATCTACTCGTGCCTAGCAAGCACGTGCTTGCGCGGGAACGTGTTGGAGCCTTGCAAGGGACGCGTCCCACTCCTGCGATCTAGCTAGAAGGATCTGTCAGTTGGGATGACAGGCGGCAGCTAGGCGACAGTGGCATCGTGCTCTTCCTTTGGGCGCATGAACAGAGCAGTTCTTGATTGCAAGGCTGGACTAACAGCTGCTAGAGAAGCAGATGACCGATGACGTGCATCGTGAATCCTATGCCCATGTCAACGGCAGCTAAACTTGACGACAACTTCCTTGTCCTCCTGGTAACTTCCTTGGAATGCCTCGGGGGAATCGCAGATGGTCGACGATGGTCGACAAGGCGGTCGACAGTGTGATGTGGCATCCCCACGTATCCCGTCGTCCTCGACCTCATAGTGGTCAGAGCGTAGGTTGAGGCGACCGCCTCCCGGGTTATCGCAGGGCCAGACTGATGAAGGTATTCCAGGTAAACAGGACTTATCATGCACATGTGGCAGTCACTCGTCCCGTATGGGTGTTGATGGTTGCATAGCCTCAGCAGCAGATGAGTCAAAGGCTGACAGAGTCACGGCGGCGCTGCGCCGCCTTTGTTGGGCAAAACGACGCGCCCTTTTGCAAATCCGAGACGATCGTGAGTCGAACAAGCAAAAGGAGGTGAGGAGTAAATTGCGATGAGTTGTAAGCAAAGAGAGGTGAAGAGTCTGACAAGGCGCTGAGTTGTGCTCGCCCAGGGCCGAGAATGACTCCTGCAACATCAGAGCCCCGAACTTCGGCTGCGGCAGCTGACCAATGACGTGCACGCGGGGCGCGGAAAGCGGGTCCCGATTCGTTGTCATCCAGCATCTTCCTTTTCCCGTCACACCATGGTGCGTGTCTGAGTCACTCGGCAGCCTGCCGACACGCCCAACTTAGTAGGTACCTGCATATGTAATGTGATATGCGAGTATGTATATAAGGTCCGTATCCCATGCCGTCTCTATGCTTGACCCTACTGAGATTATCAGCCGCCTCTGCGGCTTTTCGCCCCATCTCTGACTCTCTCAATCTTACTCTTCTCACACCAAACTTATCAACTACATCGACATTAACCTTGAAACCGCGACGATATGGGCAAACGTCACAACAGAAAACGGACCAGAAGTCGGCCTCGGAACCGCGACAACAACAACAACAACAATACAGCAGCACAACTCAAAACCCATACTCGAAGCGAATCTGTCAGCACCACCTCTTCAACTCTCTCAGCAACAAGCTCCTGCTTCCAACCCCAAGGCTTCCCCCTTGCAAACCTGTCCTGGCAGCAAACCTACAACGCCGCATGGCAAAACCGACTTCGGATCCAGCAGGAGCAGCAGCAGGAGCAGGAACTCGAGACCCAGCGGTTACGCATCTTTGGTGGACTACCCGAGGATGAGCGATGTCTGATGGAGCCGATGCTAAAAGTGGTAACGGATCTCTTCGATGGCTTCTTCGATTATGAAGACCCGTGATCACTTCTACATCAGCCTTGACCACCACATCTCCCCTTCGTCCGCGCACGTCTAATGCAGTAAAGCGCCCGCATACCAGTCAACTCTTACACCATGCGGATGAACCTGAACGACACCATCTCCACAAAATGCATCGCAACTTTTGGACTCTCTAGGACAATAATGACAATAATAACGACACCAACAACGACCAACCAACAATGACTCTGGTAGCCAGTCGGAGGCGTGGGACAACATCTGAGTACGGACTCGCAGCAGGTCTGACAGCAGCCCACACATAGCACTGTCAGATTGGTTCAACAATTACTCAGCCCTAGGACTCCGGCTTTACGCAATGTACCGCGACAACCAACCAACCACCACCACCACCACCGCCGGAACCAAGCAAAAGATACAGCTTGATGCACACCCCGTGCCTGTATTAGTTGAGTGTCTCGGCTCTGCGGTGCAGGTACAGGGTTTGAGCGTCGCTATATTGGATGGGGTGCGTGCGTGCGTGGTGCGCGAAAAGGGGATATGCGTATGCGGTGGAGGAAGTCATTGTTGGGATTTGGATCATGTGTTATGAGGGAGGGATTGAACGAATTTAACGCAGCGGATTGCTTTTTTTTGGTTTATTTTAAAGCAAATAGTTTCTTATTAATAGTAGTAATGTTGATTTTCTCAATGATCTCCCGCTCTTCTCGTTGTGTGGTGATGGAATGCTGGCGGAATGGTACACTCGCTGGAACGACCCAGAACTTCTGCAGACTGTCTCGAAAGCTTTGAAGAACATGTCACTGTTCAGTATACGCCAGATGCCGTCGTTAATTCATCTTCCGTCCACATACCAGATGGGTGAAAGTATCGGGGTTAACAAGAGAGCGTTGTAGTTGTGGTTTAGGAGGATGTATTGAGGTAAGAGTGAAAAAGCTCGTCAGAGATCTCGTCAAAATCATGTAAGGATGTGTAGTAGATGTGGAATTTCAGTAAGTAGTCACATTGCAAGCAGTACACAATAAGGCGTGAGAGAGGAATCCTGTAATGAACACACCAAGATGGCTGTACGAACTGACAATCAAGCTTGTCCTGACAAACCCACAAGTCCACTACAAAACAGGAACTCTTCTACGAGTTTCCCCAAGGCATATCAGCCTAAAATACATGAACTCCACCCTCAGCTATGCCATCGTTTTACCATCCATACCGACTCCCCTCTTTCCCCCACCAAACCCACACGCACAATCAACCCCTCATCTCCACATCCCACTTCCTCCCTCTCCCTTCCTCCAAACCCCTCCCATACCACCACACGCCCGCTCCCAAAACCCCCATCATAAGCGCACAATCATACACATAAACCGGCCACTCATGACTCAACAGATACCCCTCCTTACCCATCGCATACTCGACCACCCTGCCCACATTTCTCAGTGTAATACACACACTACTAACATACAGAACCTTTATCAGCCTGCTCCACGGCAGCTGCGTGGCTGCAGCCGTAGGTCGGCGTGTCAGTCTAGAGTGCCAGACGCCGGCGACAACGACGAAGAAACCGAAGATGAGTATTTGCAGGATGAGACCGGAGAGGATGACGTTCTCGCCAAGGGAGAAGCCGCCTGGGGTATCGGCGGAGATGAGGAGGCCGGCTCCGCCGGCTTGGATTAGGCTGGGGGTTTCGTGTTAGTATATTAGTTCTGGTTCTTTGCTGTGCGTGGAGGTGTCGTGGGAGAGAAGGGGGGTAAGGGGGAAAATAAAGGAGGGTTTCCAACGTACAAGCATAACACATCCCCGCCAACGAAAACCTTGGTAACCCAACTAACCCTCACAAGTGAATAGTCTGTCGACTTAGTGCGTCGCATCAGGCGCCCTAGTATCATGTAGATAGACGCTGCGAAGAGGATGGGTGCGAGTAGGATGAGCGTGGATTGGATGATGTAGGGGGTTTTGGAATCGGTGTTGTTGTGGGCAGCGGCGCGGGCTGAGTAGCCAACTGCTTCGCACTGTAAGAGAGGGCAATGTTAGCAATGGATTCTCTTTTGAGAGGGAGGTGTTTGCGAGTTAGGGTTAGGGGAAACGGGAAGGGCGTGGTGTGCATGGGGACAGAGATGTACCAAAGCGCCAATGACGAACGGAATACAGAACCAAGTCTTATTCTTGAAGAGGAGGAAGGCGTGGGTGAAGAAGAGGATGAACATGATGACTGCGGCAGTGGCACCTGCGGCAATGGTGGGTGTGTATGGCCAGAGGACATATTCAGGCGCCGAGGAATCGTCGGTGGACGACATCGTGGGGTGAGTGAGGTCCCGAGAACAATGATATGTTGTATTACTGAGAGGACCAAGAAGAATGGGTAAAAGGAAGATCGATTGCTCTAGAGAACAGGGAAAGATGGTATTGTCTAGTCGATGGAAAAGAGCATGCCGAACATGTTTATGTATGCTAGACGTCAACAGAAGCAACCACCAGTTACACAGCCTCTAGCGTATACCGTATTCGCAATTCCTCAAACTGCACCCGAATAGCTGCCATTTGTGGAGAATCCCCACATGCAGAGAGGGTTCGTATAGAGAAAGGGTTCCAGTCTGTGCATACGACTAGCGTCTTTTGAATACGAATGTCCAATTGCATTGTTTTTCGAATACGACGCTCCGCCTTTCCAGCTACTGCTTCAGCTTCAGCTTCATACATTAGGCTCCCACCCACGCACTGGTGTAAGACGCCCGATACTCGGTGTAGCGCATAGTGGCGCTCCCAACGTGCTTTGTTAGGTCTTTGGGTGCGCCGCGTGTGGATAATGTGCCGTCTCCACGCGTTTTGCTCAGCCCGCTGCTGACGCACATCGCAATGTGAGTGCAAACGTCTTTGAGCTGTCAATATGGGTCCCAGAATACTGGTCTGCATGGCAAATCAGTGAGTGGATGCTTTATTTCTAGTCTCCCGTACTCACAGCTTCATCTTCTGTCGATCTTCCAGCAGCATCTCTCGCAAACATCTCCGATCGCGGTCCATTTCCAGAGATGACCATCTTCAAATTCAGCGAAGTTTAGGCCTTCTCTTATCACCCAAGGATAAACCAAGACAAAGGTTCCACCTCTGTATTTCCAGGATAGTCAGGCTCGCCCCAGATGGTTCAATCGTGCCGCTATCCATAATAGTCCATTGCTCGCGTCACGGCGGCATACAACTAGTAATCGCAAAGAGACGACTACATCCAGAAATCAAGTTACTTGTTCCGAGTATGGCGTCGGAGGGATAGAAGTACCCCGTATCTGTTCCCTAGGCCACTCCAACCAAGATTTCCACTCGCCCGGAACCATGTGGTCTGCAAATCGAAGAATCTGCTCAGCTACCCCTTCTAGATACCAGTAATGCTTTGCTGCTCTATGCATCATAACTGCAAAGTGTGCAAAGATGATCAGAGATCCCGGTTGCTTCTCCGATAGAAGCTCAACATAGCGATCAGAGATGAGATGGATCCATATCTTCAGCAATGCATCGGAAGGCGGCCTGGGAGAGTTTGCCGCTACTTGAAATACTAATTCAAGAACATGACAGGCAAATCCATATGCATCCACGATATCGGGTGGATACACGTGGTGGACGATCTCGGAGAATTTGCGGAGCCGAACAAGCTCAGTGCTGGGCGGCTGTTCCTCTGTTTGCCAATCAATATCCTTGACATCTTCTGGGATTATGCGACCCAAATCGCTCTTCTTCATCATTTCGTAAAACCGCGTTACCATGGGTCTCATTCCCCGTGTCAAGACAATGTTGGAAACGATATTGCTGAATGCGTGCTCCAAGTCATCGCCAGCCGATATTGAAGCGGCACAAGCATGAGGGAAGAGAGTGCCGGCAAATAGTAGCACTGCTTTGTAGTTTGACTCGTCGATGTCGCGAACTGTGGTTTGGAAATTGTCGAGAGCAGCTTCGCGATACTTTTCAGCTTGATAGGAGTATTCCTGGGCCTCTTCTGAATCCACAAGTCGACTCATATGCAATGCACTGAGAGAAAGAGCTGATTGAAGTAGGTAGGAGTGGCCGAATGAGATTTGTATGAAAGTATTCGCAAATACATCCTCAGCGTTGGTATGAGCTGCAAGGCTTTTGGCTGTGATGGTTATCCAATGACTACAACCCTTTGTTAGCTTTGTTTTCCGAACGCGTCCAGTGAGCATGGGAGTTTGTACGTTTAGCGAACGAACACATGGTGGTAAGAGAAGAGTGGGGTAGTCTTAGCGCCTGAACACAACAAAGTGACATACTGGAGAAGTCGCATCTGGGGTACATTTAACGTCAGATCGGGTCCAGCGGATGCGCCGTTGGTAACGAGCGGACCAAATTCTGGTAGTGGTTGCTGGTCATGGAGGTTTCCGGTGCCATCCGTAGAGGAAGGTGTGAAGGTTGGTGTGGAAGTGGGTAAAGGCGAGACCATTGAACCCTCGCGGCTTGTGGAAGGGCGAAATTCACATGAAGACGCAGTGCCATGCTTCACGCAATTCCCGCATTTTGGCCTCTGCTCATCGCACTTGAAATTGTCAGCCTTGGTCTGGCTACTCGGACGAGATGGCGCACCTTAACATGGCGGGTTTTGCATGGCAAACACCCATTCCTTGATTTTTTATGAGGTTTGCGGGTCTTGGCTCTGTCCATGGCGCCTCGGAGCTGAAATCAATACACGGGTTTGTTTTGGACGACGCGATGACGGTGTGACGCGTGATGAAAATGTACCCTAGCTGGTGGCGCTAATACATGGCCTGTGCGCCAGATTGGTGTCTTGCCAGCGGATGTCTTCGTCAATGACATTGTGATGTGGGGTATCATATACGCCGGCATCCGAAAAGCCATGTGTCCCGAACTTGGTATTGTTACATTAGATAACCGTATTACAGGGTAAGGTACTTGTTCATTGAACAATAGACAATCTGCCAAAGCGTCTCTGCGCTCTCTATCAATCTAGGGTATAGAAAACAGCTCTCGGAAGTACCGGCTATGCAACAAACAGAAATATCAACGTGATTGAACACATGTAACCATCTTTGAGAGGTTCACAACCTCCCTGGACCCAAGCCCCCAGCCCACCACCCCGAGTCAACCCAGTACCTGTTCTCAGCATGGGCTGTCTCTACAGCGCGAACCAGTTTCCGTCGATCAAGATGCAAATCCCCGTGCCCATTTGTCAGTTCGCTGGGAGTACGCTGTCCCGTCTGCGACTTCCGCGAGCCAGGTCGGGTGTCGTCTGCGTGGGTTTCCGTATCCGAGGTGGATACTGGTGATGCGGATCGGGGTGTGGACGATGTTGGCGAAGGTGTACTGTCGGGCGAGTAGATGGTAGGTATAGCGTTTAGGATGCGCCCTGCAGCAAACACGCACCCCCCTACTGCATGCCTGATAAGAGTGTCCCCAGTTAGACTGCCAATGACAAACACATCCCTGGCGACTTCAAGGGATGTCACTTCAGTCTTTGGACGGAGCGTCCGGCTGGAAATTAGATGGCCGGAAGATGAATCAAGGGTCATATTATCCGGAACGCTCAGAATCTCAGAACGCAACTCGGGAGAAACAAAGTCCAATGTGCCGCGTCTTCCGACCACATAGGCCAAACCACCCACCTCGCGCGTGATGATATCACCGGAGCGTAGTCGTAGTTCTACTGTAGCGACTCCTTTTGAAGTTGATACACTAAGAACCTCGGCGTTGGGTAAGCCTTCATAAAGCGACCAGTCGCGTTGTTGGAATGGATTCGATTTGCGTCGGATGGATGGAGTTTTGACTGTCTTGCTCTTCTTTGAAGCGGCGAGTGCTGCAAGTTTCATCTGACGATAGACAGTCGCATACTCTGGGTATGCTGTATGATGGCAGCCCCGCAACGGAGACGGCCGGTCTTCGGGTGCCCATCGGAATACATGGACGATCCTACGAGTCGGGGGCGCCGAAATAATGATATCGGCAGCGGAAAAGCCGGATCCTATCACAAGTAGCGGTGCTTCGTTCGAGTCAAGTTGCGCGATGGGTGCGAGTAGAGGCGGCGGTGGGATGTTGACGGTAAAGATACCAGATGCCAGTGCAAGATGCTTGCATCGCATTCTCAAGCTCCCGATGGAGAAGCCCTTGACTGTCCGATAGATATTCTCAGCCTTCAAGTCTGTAAAGACGCTATCAGATATCCCGACAGCCTCTGGATACGCCCTCAGATAGTCTGCAACTTCGGACCTCGAAGGGCGTACGAATTCCGTTTCATCTTGCTTGCCGTTTCTCGCTAGGTGGTCTGCGTAGGAATAGCCTGGAAGGCTTAACTGTTCCGCATAGCTCAGTGTGCCAATGTTCACGCTTGCTGAAACGGGATTCTCTGCCCATTGCCCGCCTGCATGCGCCGTCTCCCCAATGACAACATGCGCGATGGCCTTTTCAGGCTCGTACCGCCATTCGACACATGATTTTGGATTTAGCTCTGTATCGGCATTCGGGCGGATGAGGGTATCGAGGAGCGTGTTGACCGGAAGCGCTTGAGTCGAGTAACGGAGTGAGGACAAGAAATGGGCATACAGATCGGGCGTTAGGTGGAGTAGGTTCGGAGCATTCTGGAGTTTCGCGTCCAGTATCGCGTCATGATGACCTCCGATGTAGTGGGGAATATGGCCGTGTAGTATGTAGGAGAGGATCAGGGCGGATGGGCCATTTCCTGTATTTGTAATCAGTATGTGGTATGCGAATGCGACCGAGGCGAGCGCATACCGATTATCACCGTGTCGACGCATTTCGGGAGCGAACGAGCCATGGACTATTGTAGCAGTATGCCATTAGGGAAACAAGAGAGAAGAATGAAAGGAAGCCGACGACGGGGAAGAGTAGGGCGGTAGTGCATGTCTTCGATATGACGGCTTCTTTAAATCTTCGGCGCTAGAAGCGGCGGCCCTAATCCCGCCTCAGTGGGGTGTGTCGGGGTGCACCTTCCATATCGGACACAAATTTCGCAAACCTCAAACGGCGCATGGCTAACAGCTTGGACGAGGTGACGCATGTGGTGACAATCGAGGAGCGGCGCGATTGCGTGATTGCCTAAAACGCGGGAAAGATGCGAGGTGATTCGGAACCCGTGGGGTGGTATGCATGACGCCCTTGTGCGCGCTTGCCATGTGCGGGGCAGAACAAAGGTAAACTACCATTAAACTTTGAATCCGACCGAAAAACAACTATGGTATCTCCCACAAGCAAACTCTTGTTAAAGAACTGGCTGCAACTGTACATGGACGAGAAGAAAGAAATTGTGTACCCTGTTACACCGGGGGTACCCGTCATATCTGACACTCTACCCCACATGACCAATGTCTGGACCTGGTCTACGCGAATCATGGTCCCACTGCTCATAGCAGACCCTAGTATCTGTACGTGACAGTATTACGCTCGGCAATTGGTGATACGTCGTGGGCCTGCTGCTGAGGCATGTTAGTCTCGGGTGTCCGCGGACGCTTGTGGTTGTCCTCTTCGGTGATGGGTGGCTGTGCGCCGTGCATGGTCAGATTGTTCGCAGAGCTCTCCTGTCTTCCAAGATAGGACGGGGTTGACTGGTAGCCGGGGTTATAGGAATCTGGCGAGCCTCCGTACTCATTTGTTGTTCTAGGATTTGAGTGCGTGGGCGGAGGTGTGTACGAGGATGTGTAATGGTCAGCAAAGGGGTTCTCCTCCTGTGCAGTCTGCTGTGGCCGGTTCGGTGGTAGAGGAGGCCGAGGCTCCTCAAGTGGAGGTGTTGGCGCAGCGTTCATGGAGGGTATTGATGGGGGGTTGTTTTGGGGCGGCGGCGGCATGTAGGACTGGCCATGGGATGGCGTGCTGCTGCCACTCGGGACTGGCGGAGACGGCGAAGCGCCCATGAGGCGGCGCGACTGGAGCATCGCGCGCTGATGCTTGGACGCAGCGAGAGATAGTTGTTCGTTGGTCTCGATGAGGGTGAGCATGGTGTCGTCGTCGGGCGCTGGGTTATCACATGCGATGTAGCTGTGAATGCTGCGCTGAGCCGCTGTACAGCGCTCGGCAAACTCCTTGACCAGATCGTTGTTCAGCAGCTCGTTTGCTGGTGTAGACTGTACGAGCTGTAGGAGGAGCTTCGCCGAGGTACGCGCCTCTTCAATTCGAGCTGCCAGCTCGATTGGCGGTGGCAGTTTCTTGGAGGACGATCTCCCTGAACTTTCGGAGCTGAAGCCGCCAACGACCTGTGACCCCGTCCATACGGGCGCGTTGAGCCTCCGGGGACTGAATTGCTTCGCAGCATTTGCCATGAGCCCCTTTTCCTTCCTGTACATGGCGAAGAGAATGTTTAGGTTGGTGTCATAGGCCTTGTCCACCTCCATTGCATCCAAAGTCTCCTTGACAATCTGCGCCACGCTCGGGTCCTTGCCATATCGCAGGAGGTGCTTCACCGTGTCGGCAAAAGCCTTGTCCAGGTTCTTGGTGAAAGAAGGGCCTGGGTTGTCCGACAGGATCCTGATGAGCATAACGGCATTGTACTGAATATGGGGGCGAGCAAAGTTCTCCTTGGAGAGGTAGGTGCGGATCTGGCGTGCAGCGGCGGCTGCAGCATTTGGGCTGGCAACGGCGGATTCGACGATGATGGGGAGATGGGTCACTTCTTCGCCCTGGCTGGCGTCAGTAGGCCATTGGTGGTGGTGATGACGGTTCAAGTCGAGCGAGTCAAGGTAAACTTACCGAGTTGGCAGCGGCAGACTCACAAAAGAGCCTCTGTTGCGTGTCAGCTCGCGTCATGACGCGCTGGGACAAGGCGACCTACCACTCCTTTGGCGGCATTGGCTTCTGGCGTGTCGGCATTTGCTTCTCCATCCTCAACGGCCGGTCGTACAGTCGGCCGCTTGCGCATCAAACTTCCCAAGTTGAGACGCTTCTTGAGCTCCATGACTGCGCTGCGCGTGTATTTCGCTGTGGTAAGCGGTCGCAAGGGGGGTTTTTTATATTGCGCAGACCAACAGTCGGCCTTTATTTAAACAAGACTGCCCTGGCTTGCGGGCGACTGTGTACGTGTCGGTGTACGGGGGAACATGCAGTATTACAGGCAAGAGTTGAGGCCCCCAGTCCTTCTCCTCCGCGCGGATGCCACATAGGACAGACTGCGCCTCCCGTTGCCAAGCCATGACAAGTTCACCAACACGGGCGACGTAACAGCCGCGTATAACCTCTTACTACTCGACTCGGCTTGTGACCGCGCGCAAGAAGGCTGCCTAGGATGCGTTTTGCGAGGGGAGCGCCAAGGCATGCCGACCCTTTGCCTGCCGCAGTTTGCTTTTAGTCGGACCCTCTCCCACCTACGTTGGCGACCGGGTCCACTTTACAACTTTGAAAGTATGGCGGGGCCTGATACACGCCGCCTACGGGACACTTCCAGCTGTCAGGCCGTGATACACGACGCATGGTTCCTGTCGCGGCTCGTCACCCATCACACCGACACCGTCTCTGCCAGTCTTGTCTCGTTGACTGGCCCCCAAAGAGGAGGCAAAGGCTTGGTAAGACTCACCAAGAAAAGTAGCCTCACCACGATACAGAGCACCGTGACGCACCGAGAGAAGAACGGGGTGCATATCTAGTCAGGTCCTGTCGAGTGCGTGCTCTTCTCCATCTGCATACTGGTCAGCCAACTTTCTTTCTTGTGTCAACGCCAGGCACCGACCATCACATGTCCACCTCACCCCGAGCGCCCATTTGAGTAAGGAATTCACGGCGCCAAGGTAGCACCGCTGTCCTCGTGTCCCTCTCATCGCGCCGTCGCTTTCTCAACCATCAAGCGAAGGCTACTCTTAGTTCGTCTGCGCCTCGCGCATCAACGTCACCACCAACTCATAATCAGCGATCAAATCACGTTGGGAGGAATCCGACTTGATCGAGTCGATATGTACTGTGACAGGGTTCATGACTTGCCGATCTTCACACGGGATGCGGCAGCTAAAACTTGGCTAAACGTCATCCCTCATGCGCTTCAAGTCTATACGCGAGACAAATTCACAGCCACTCGTTAAGCTCTGGTCAAGTGCCAGGGACGTATATTATGACCTCAACCTTGGCCCTCGTCCCCCTTCGTCTCGTGCAAATCCCTTTCCTGCTGACCCTACACCACCCTCCAAATACGCAGATTTGATCCAAATCATACACTACAAGATGACTCACGAACCCGCTGCTGCAATGGCTGGCCAAGCGCGAATGAAGCACGAAGAGACTCCCCAGGAGCAACTCACTAGGCAAACCGCAAATTTCCCCGCATTCGAAGCCGAGATGCCTAATCTTTCAAGCCGCTTCAGCTTCTCGTTGAAGGATAATCTTTCCTCCTACCTCGGGCGCAAGAACCCATTTTACTCAAACGTCAACCCAGAAACGGACTATGTGTGGATTCTCGATTCCACGGCCCATCAGAATCGCCTAGGAAGATGGAAAGCCGAGTTTGTCGCTGCCTACTTCGTCAAAAATAGCGGCAAGGACCTCTCTCAAATAGTCGCATGGGTCAGTGAGAAGATTGGCCTCGCAGACGACGAACAAGCGAGGGCGACCGTTGCAAAGCGACTGGAACCTTTTGCGGATCAGATTCTCCCCGCACACGCTATCGAGATCGACCTCTTGGGCTTGAAAGCAAGACTAGGCCCTAGCGGGCGCGACGGCATCAGTTCTGATGAACTGGCTGTTCCCGGCAGCGACCATAAGAATGGCCAAGTCACCAGCTTCAAAGCCATCAACGCCAATGCTACGCCTTTCAACATAACTTTTGCCACGCCCAAGGGCTGGGCCGTCCTTTCCGACATAGACGACACTATCAAGAAGACCTTGACGTCATCGCCAACAGGCATTCTGAAGACTACGTTCGCCGAAGAGCCGGAGCCTATCAAGGGAATGCCAGAACTATACAAGCATATTGTACAGAAGCTCGACAATCCACCTTTCTGGTATCTCAGCGCTTCCCCATATAACCTGTACCCTTTCTTGCGCAAGTTCCGTGATCAGTACTACCCCAACGGCACCATGATACTACGCGACGCGAGCTGGATGAACCTTGCCGGTTTCCTTGCAAACTTGACGCAAGGTACCGAAGCTTACAAAGTCGATCGCATCGAGAAGGTCCACGAGTGGTTTCCCAAGCGCAAGTTTATCCTCATCGGCGACTCAACTCAAACGGACCCCGAGTCGTATGGCGAAGCTTACCGTAAGTTTGGCAAATGGATCGGTGCGATTTACATTAGGAAAGTGACTGGCATTGCCGAGATGGATGAAGCGCAGAAGAACTCACCAGAGAGATTCGAGAAGGCATTCAAGGGGGTACCAAAGGATTTGTGGTACATTTTCGAGGACCCGCAAGAGTTGTATGCCAAGATTGATGCTCTGCCGGCGATCAAGTAAGAGTTGATATTTGGATGTAATTTAGTAGTAGATGTCGCATTTTTGTCAGCGCGGCGGTCGTTGTTTACTTTTTTCGTCAAGATACCAAGTTGTGCGATTGATTTTACACAGATTTAGCATATTATTGATAGGTTTGAGCTGTACATGTCTTCTGTTGTGTGGAGTGCGAGTAGCATCTGCTATTAAATTGCTAGTAAAATGGTTAGCGCGTGGTTGATCGTGTTCAATAGTATACGATCTTCTCATATCAGTGGATAAAGGCGACATGGCTTTGATGTTTGCCAGCTTTAAAAGGAGTATTGTGTGATGTTTTTCTATATCACGAGTCCAGTCTTTCCATGCATCACACATTGAAGAGCGGGAACAGATTACACATGCCACTCCTCAACTATGACTGAGAACTGCACATACATTCGTTCATTTGATACATATTTCTACATAGCTCACATCATCATCCAACAATACCGACACTCTACCCTAGTAGACTGAAACCACACCCATCATGCCAAAGGAATCTACAACCCACGACCCCTCACCCTCACCCCTCTACACCCTCCTCATCTTCGTCGCCGGCATATGCGGTTACTTTTTCTTCCTCGGCACCGCCGCCGTACGCCTCTGGTTCTACAAAGGCGCCCTAGGCCCCGACCCCGAGAAATTCATACTCATACGAAGCGAAGTCCTAAACACCTCCTCCCCTACAGCCCCACCCCAAATCTCCGACCTCAGTGCCCGCCGCCGAACCGTCTTCCACGCAGAAAGCCTAGCCGCACCGCTCTCCACAGAAGCCACAGCCCACAGCACTGCACTCTCCCCCCGCACCTTCTCCACCGCCACCACAACGGTAAACATGCACGATTTCGGAGATGACTTATCCGAGATAAAAGATGCTCGATTGCGGAAATACATAGCTGAAGAACGACGTATATCAAGAATACCAGCTTTCGACGCCGATGACTGCGGAGACGGAGAATATTTCCCTTCTATCCCCATCGCCACCTACCCCATCGAAGCACCCAACCCCTTTTCCACCAGCGCCACCCCCTCCCTCTCTTCCCTCGGTCTAACAACAATCCCTTACACCAACTGGCTAACCATCCCGCCTTACTACACCACCCAACACGCCGCACGCACACACCTCCTCTCCACCTCCCGCAGCGCCTGCATCCAAGCGCTTCCCGATGCCGACGCCGCCTGTCGGGAGCTGATGCTAGAAGTCTGCGATTTCTTAGTAGAACACTATCCGCAGCAGTTTCTGTTCCAGAAGAGAAGCGGGCGGAGGTGGATTCGGAATGAAAGCACCGGAGAGAACTTTTTGTTAGAGGCGCCGTGGAGGGTGAGTCCGGGGGAGGTTGTGAGCAGGTTGACGGGGGTGGACTGGTGTGTTTGGGGGAGGAGTGAGAGTACGCGGATGTGGTATTTGTAAGTGTGATGATAAGAAGTGGATAGGTTGCTGATTTGGGGGTTTTGGGGCTAATATGTGTGTGTCAGGCAAGCGAGTGCGACGTGTTTCCCCGCAGGCTACGATATCCCGTTGTACATTGGTAAATCCGTCGATGCTATTATTTACGGGGAAAAAGATAAAGGGCCTATGGTTTCTTGGTCTGGTATGTCCTCTCCCCCCTTCTCGCCAAAACACCCACTAACCCACACACCACAGCCCTCCCAGACCTCCTCCTACACTCCCATCTCATTCCCACCCTCAGCACCTCCCCCCAAGCCGGCCCCTCAACCTTCCCTTCCCTAACATCCCACATCATTCAAACCTCACCGCCCACCCACTCCCTCGCCTCAACCCTACATATAACCCGCCCCATCGACTTCTTCGCCGGGAACATCGCCAATCTGCATCCGTCTGAACTCCTCGTGCGGACTTCGACGCAGGTTTTCGCTCGCCTGCCGAAGAGCGGGGCGGTAGTTGTGGCGACGCGGACGGAGACGGAGACGCTGGGGGCGATGGCGGGGAGGATGAGTAGAATGGAGAAAGAGAGGTTTTTGAGAGAAGTGAATGGGTGGGGGGAGGACGAGGCGAGATTTAAGGGGAGGGAGCTTTGGGTGGGGGTTGTGGAGAGGGTTTTGAGAGGTAAGTTTTGAGTCTGTTTTTGTTTGGTGAAGTGGAAGTTGGGGAGTTTGGGAAGTGCTGACGTTTATGAGAGTAGGTCAGAATGCGTTTAGGGATGATATGACGGTTTATAGTAGTGTGTAGACTAGTATGGGGAAAGGGTGATGAAGATGGTAGAGATGGGTGGTGGAGTGGTAGTAAGCATCTGGGTGTCATAAAATACTTGACAGTGTGCGACAAGCACCTAATAGGTGCGTCTAGCGACGACAGTGGCCCTTGTACACTAATAAGCCGGTGGTAGTAGTTATATCTCCCTCTATCATTAATAATGCCTTTTCCTCATACTCCCTCTCTCTCTCTCTCTATCTTTCAAACACCCACAGAAACTTATCTAGTAAACCTTAAACTCAACAACCCTAACCTTCGACCCACTCTTCGGCCTAAACAACACCCTCACCTGCCTACTCGACACAGTGTTCCACGCTACATTAGTAATTCCATTAGCAAGCGCGGTATCGTACTTTCCACCTTGAACAGCAGTCCACGTGCTTCCGCTGAGTACCTGTATGCTGTAAGAAGCTGGTACATCATATCCCTGACCCGCATTCGCACAAAACGCCAACTCAGCGCTGCTGATCGACTGAGCGGAGCCAAAGTCAATCTGATACCAGACATCCGCTCCATTACCGGCGGGCGAGTCCCATCCATTCTTCGCATTAGGTTCGCTGTAGAAGTAAATGCGACCATCGATGGCGGGGTATGTGACACTCGTACCCTCATTCGTCGACGTGGTACCATGGGGGAACGCAGTGGTGCTGTTCAACTGGACGGACTTTACGATTTTGCGTGTTATGGCCGTTGGAGCGCTGGAGGTGAGTGGTGCAGAGAGACGACCGAGTTTGGGAGATGAGGCTACGACTTTACCGTCGACTTCGATTTGCAGGCCAGCGGTGCCATAGTGCGAACCTGTGGCGTCCCATTGGATGGCGACCTCGCGGCCGTGGTATAGGACGCGGTCGAGGCGGAAGTAGGAGATTGATGAGTCGGCGAGAGGGTTTACTTCGATGCTGGCGTTTGTGGAGGGGCGGATGCCGACGAGACCCGTAATGATGAGGTCGTTGAAGCCAGAGTGGAAGTAGTGGTTTGAGCGCTTGAGCCCGACGATTGGGAGACCAGTGTCTGGGTAGTAATCTTCCTCGAGATCTAGAACACCGGTCTTGGGGTTGCGGTGAAGCTGTGCGTACTGCTTCAGAAGATGAACGTAGTCGGAATTCTTGATGATACCCGTTGCGGCACCTGTGCGGTAGTGATCCAGGAAGTTGGCAAGGCCGGTGAGAACTTGGGTAGTCTGGAATGGCCATATAGGACCGTTCCACTGACATTCCGGGTTCTTTCCTTCGTAACGGTACTGGCGCATGTACCACTGGTAGCTTGGCTCTACAGTGCGCAGGCCGTGCGGGCCGGCAAGTTGGTTAGTGTTTAGGACATGAGTCCAGGCCTTTGCGTATGCGGCAGTGTCGTCAGGGAGGTCGTGAGTCCAAGGTACCATGCCGACTAACTCGCGTCCGCGAATAAAGTCCCAGTAAGTGACGTACTTGTTGTTGACTTGGAAGCGATCGATAAAGTGCTCGTAGGTAGAGTTCCAGAGCGCATCTTGCACGCGTCCCTTGAGGGCTGTCGCCTTGGAGTTGTAGGTGGAGACGGTGCCGCTTAATCCTCCTTTCAGCGCTGCAATATTGGCAATTGCTCTCGCGTTGGCATATTGATAACTGTTGATGCTAGGACGGAATGAGTTGCCGCCGGTGAAGCCGTCCTGGGCACCCGAGGCATCGATACTAGAGATGGTGTATTCGGTAGCATCGCGAAGCGGCTCAACTGAGTAAAGACCCTTTGAAGTGTCATATGAATCTTTCCAGGCTTCATAAACAACCTGCATAGCATCCAGTAGCTTGGTCGCATCACCCGCCGCCCCATCTACCAAGTAGGTTTGCCAGACAGACGCAGCCATGCTCTCTGAAAACTGTCTCCTGTTGCTGTTCGCGCTGAACATGAACGTTTGATAGTCATCCTTGAACCTGCGATCGCGTACCCATCTTCCCTCCAAAAGATGGAAGCCCGTTGCATCGTTCAGTGAGGCCCACGGCTTATGTTGCCAGCCTACATCATCCAAGAACTCGGTGGAGATGAATCCATTGGCGCCAAGGTCGCGTTGATGAGCTCGGAAAATGCCCCAGCGGTAGTAGTACACATTGGTGAGATCTTGGTCGCTGGACTCAAAGAATGGAATGCGGTTGCGGTACCATGGTGCGTCATTGCCAAAATAGTTCTTGACCAAGGTGTCGGCGTCGAGAAGAGCATTGATTTGACCGATAAAGGGAACGAGAGCGAGGGTGTTGTAGACCTTCATCTTGAGCAAAAGGCTACAATTGTCTCTGCTGCATCATTTTGCAGGTACGATTGCATCTTTTTAGATCGATCGCCCGTCGTCTACTCCAGAATCCTCGTTTACCTGATCTACACTCTAAACGCCTCCAAAAGTTAGATCAGATAGTGCTCGATTGCCAATTTTCCGATGGATACCAGGATCCATAGTACTACCCCCGCGCCTTCCCCGCAAACTTGTGGAATTGATTTCTCCGTCTACCGTCGGCTATTAGCAGGCCTTGACTTAAGTATGTGGCGTACGTCCTGTTTTGGAAAGTGGGAATTAGCGAACATGCCTTCCAACTTTTTTGCGGCATGTTAACGGTTAGTAGAGACGCAAAGGAGATGAAATATATGCTAAGCTTTGAGCACTCTATTAGAGGCATTTCTTATCTGGTCTAAGCTAAGAATGCCGTATTACTCCGTTGCAGCTCTGCTTGCCTGTTTACTTTGCAAAGTTTGTTTGATCGGTCGAACGGCGTCACGAGGAGAATTCAGCCGGTGCCGTATCGGTGGCTTGCGAGTGCGAATGCGCAGATGCAGGCGGAGGGTCGCTAGGCGGACGTCATGCTATGCTCCGCAGCGTAGGCAAAGCTATGGGTTAGATGAGCTCAATGATGACTGTATTCTACAGTCGTTCCGAATGTTGTCCACGTACGAGATGGCGGATGGGCTGCCTCTCAAGGTTTCACCTGAAGTCAGTCGCTGTGGCTCTGTGGCTCAACATGATTTAAACCCCTTTGGGAACGGATCTCGGCGAAAGTTGTCCCGAGCCGCCCTGGGGGCTGTCTCGATGTAACCATCAACATCACCACAGCTGTCACGTTCCACGACAGTGCGCCTACTGCAACTCTAAAGCACCACCCCTCGCCCTTTCCATTCCACCTTCGCCCATTTCAGGGCTCTGGCTGTCGAGCATGTCACAAAGTATAGTATTTGTCGCTTACACGTGTAAGTAGATCAGACGCGGGTGTCATTATCATACCTCATACATTATATGCGTGTTACGATAGAGCTAGAATACATGGAAAGCTGAATACTGATAGCATGCCGCGGCAAAAGCAGTATCGCGAATAAATATGTAACAATCAAACCAGCACCATTAACATGAACAAATGGAAGCTTGGTGTTTTGTACAACAGAACGGCCTAAGAGACGGGCGTGGGGTCCACCGGGTGGGTCAACCTGTGGGAACGGATCTTCCAGATTGCCATGTTGACGTCGTATGAGAAGTCCTGTCCTGGGTTGCGCTCCTTCATCCTCTCCACAAACTCCAGACTGTCATCTTCCTCGTCCTCTGGGATGTAGTCGCTCTTGACTTCCTTCTTCCATCTCTTGAGAAGCATCTCAATGTGCTTTGGGTCAGGCAAAACTGATATGACTTGTCGCAATGAGTACTTTTTGTTCCGACCATCTCCCTTGCCACGCTCGCGAACATGGGTATAGCCGTGGGCCCAGCGATTGTCGTTTCGGTTGAACTCACTATGGCAAAGCAGACAGGGGAATGGTTTGGCAGACTTGTGCGTGTTCTTGTGTCGCTTCTGGTGCTCCGTACGCTCGAATCGCTTACCACAAAATGATGATCCTTCGGGCACTTCCTCGTCATCCTCGAAGGGGTTCTTACAGATGAACTTCTGACCAGGCTGCTTAGTGGAATGCCATCGGGATTTCTCATCTCGATAGATCGAGCTAAAGTCGCTCTCAACATGATCCCCATCCCACTTCCAGACGGGTTCACCAAACTTGCACTTGCACTTGGCTCTCCTCTCCTTCTCTCTTCCTTTGTCTTTCACCTTTTCTTTTGTCACACGACTCTTTCGTTGCTCCTTCTTCACTTTGACGGACTTGCCACCTGTGCGGGTTTCGCAGATCGACCGTCGAAGCATTCCTTCATCGTTGGACAGTTCGTCTTCCGGCTTCACATCGACTGGACTCGATGGCTCTTGCTTGAATGTATTGTGCTGTTCAAGCGGCACGTCCATGTCATCGTAAGAATCCATTGAGTTTGGCGTATCGACACGAACGTAGTCTCCATCGAGCATGGAGTCATGAGGTACAATGGTGGATCCGTCCATTGCTATCATCGATTGACTAGGCACATTCCAAATGACATGCATTGGGCTAGCGGGATGTAGGTCAAGGGTACTGGTGTCTATATCCATAGCCATGTTTGGGGTCATGTCCATATGGCTATCAAGGCTTGTATACTGGTTGGTAGGATACCAAGGCTGAGTCGTTGCCATGGCTGCACTCTGCAGTCTGACGAACTCACGTTTTTGCAAATCCATCTGATACGCATATTTAGTGAAAGCAAAATCAGATGTTGCAGACGAAGTGTGGTCCATCTGGCTCGTGTTATCGAGAAGCTCCCAAGAGTTCGTCAAGCGCTCATCGAAACTGGTAGAGTTCGGCTCGAATTCCATGGGCATTCCATGGACTTGGCTCATATCGAAGGTACTCGTGTTGAGGCTTTGATTAGCCAGTGGACTTTGAGTGTACATCGGGGTCGCTGGTGTCGAGTAGTCCGATGAGCATGTGGTGAACGATAGCGACATCGCAGACACATCCGAGTTCCGCCTGACGTCCATACTATAGGGGGGTTGAGGGGTCAACATCCTCATAGCAGGATCCGTTGGCGGCGACATGAGGTATGCATCCTTCGAATTACCTCGATGATACATGATGGTCGATACCAACGGGTGGCTTTGATCGGAAAGCTAAGCTGTGAAGAACTGTCAGCCTGACTATCTCTTTATTCAGTATATGTTTTGGAAGACCCTGACATACAATGACTAGCTCGATGTCGATACGAAGATGATGGACTAAGACTTTGTAACCGAAGAAACTCGGCTTCCTCTGATGAGAGAATGATTAAAAAGGGGACGCGGGACGAGCTGTTGAATCAGGGTCCACGACTAATGCCACGGATTCCAGGAGTGGCGAGGAGTTCGACGTGCACTAAAGTCTGTGGCACATCTCACAGTCTGGAGGCGCGGTCGCGAGCGCGATGAAGCAGGGCGCTGGAATGGCGTGTGTGGTGCCCTGGACCGTACTGATGGGATTTGAGATGGAGCGAGAACAACGATCGATGTCACTGCAAGGGCAAGCCACGAACGCAACAGTATTCTGGAGTAAGATTTGATCAATAGTAACAACCACAGCAGATGTGAAAGGCGAGGGCCACTCTTCACGGCCCAAACGTACTCTAAGTACAACAACAGCTAGCCTTGTAGACATCTGATCAACGGGTGTGGGGTGCTGTCTGACCTGGCGCTCACCAGTCTGATGTGCATTGCAACGTCGGATTTGGGAAAACGCCTCTCGCTGAGATGTCACATCAAGACCCTACCGTTGGGAACGAGCCATACCATCAGCCACTCAATTCTAATAGCAGCTCGTCTCGAACTACGCCCTCTGCTCAGAATTTGTACAGTGGCAGGAGAAGACGTACACCAACCCCATAACCATGCATGAAGGTTCTCCACAAGTAGTTTTTGCATCGATTGTTACGCCAGCGTCTTCCTAAATATTACAGGAATGTCGTCCGCATTCGCCCCAGACTCAACACATACATGGGGAACCGGCTGTCAACACCGGGTTGCACAAATATATCTCCTGCATTTAGGGAACTATGTCTTGCCACTCAACATATAGCGAAGCTGTCTGCTACAGAAAATCGTCTCATTCTTGGGCTATGCTTAGCTGAATCGTGAGTGCAGCTGTAGTTTCATCTCAGTGGAGTGCAATATGCATGTGCTCTTTCCAATCTCGAAGACGGAGCTTATAGGTCAAGGACCTGGAGACATACTGGTATTGAGAGACGCCTCGCTCTTTGAGGCTGCTTGGTCGATCATTGCTGGGGAAAGTAACATATGTGGGCGAACTGGAAAGTTGTAGGTTACACGACAGATGCATATATGGACATGGTTCAATTCTCCGGTCCGATTGCCTCTCCCCCAGCTCAAACACTGGTGCATGCCAGGTCAAGCCACTATGAGGTTTACATTTGTCACGAGGCTTGGTGCCTGAAGGCTGCCATTGCTTGGAGAACTTGGAGTGAGTGTCTGGGGCGACAAGATTGAAATGACCCGACCGTAAGAGGCGTTCTCAATATCGTTCGATTCCTCCCATGAAACTTTGCTGCTCATGAGGGTCCAACGGGTAGCTGCCTCGCGTAACCCGCGGATCGAGATGATGCCATCAGCCGTTGTTAATCCGCAAGATCTGGTTCCGAATGTTTCATGAGGCACACCACTCAGCGCCGTTGAGCATAACAGCTGGGGTTGTGAGCGCGCGGTCTCCGAACAACCAACATGATGGTCCACAATATTATTTCCTTGTGCGACAAGACCTCCGAGGACCTCCAGTTGGCAGCAATGGGGCCTGGCCGGCCCCACTGTCAAAGATGACGCTCATGAAAGCCGTGTGGTGTATTGGATGAGCTCTTATGATATTCTGCAAGCCAAGCGCTTCCAAATCAATGTATCTCTCTCGTACCACCCATCCAAAGGCCTAAGTAGGCTGGCTTGCACGGCTCGGACACTTTTCCTAGACAAATGTTCCAATTTAGACGAGGGGCAGGAAAGCTGACCTGGCTATCCAAACTTCACGTCCTCGGTCCACGGATTGAGATCCTGCGGGTGTGAGCCGATTCATACGGACGGTTACGCTCGTGGTCTACTTGAGTCCTCCAATCTCGACAGTGGCGCTGATTCAACGGTTTCCAAGCGCGACGATCATGTAGCATTCTCAGTTCGATCCGAGATGCCCTCTTCTTTTGAATGGTGCCTCCGAGGAGATCACCAACCAAATATGTCGCAGAGTGTATCGATCCCAGTCTATGCAAGTAGCGTGACAACTCCGAGCATACCTATTTTGTCGAACAGCTCGGGCAGATTTCCCGATTGAAAAACGGTTAGATCAAACTTTCTCGTCTGAATCTAGTCTTTCCCGTGCGCCAAATTCGCGTATGGAAAGAAGGGGCGATCGCGGCTGATGTAGCTCTCATCTCCCGTACCTCGCAGCTGTACGCGGGTGACAGATACCACGAACTAGAGGTTCGCATTCCAGCCTTGCATGCGCATCGTGACGAGGCTCTGATGACAGTTGGAAGCAGGTGAACTGTTCGCGTGATATGCAAGATGCCGGCCGTTGGAGACGTCTACTTCATGACGCTCCATATCTCATGGTCAGCTTCTACTAGGTACACTGCAACAAAACGACCGGATGTACTGATTGAGACAGCGTGAACCACGTCGAGCCCCCCATATCAGTAAATGATCTACCATTTCCATCTGACGACGCGTCTCTCATCGGTGGCCAATGCCAGCAAGGGGCAACGCGCGGACCGTGAGTTGCACCTCAACGGCGGCATCATGTAGGTGCTAAGGATGACACCCAACCTGCTTGTACGCTCCACGCTACTTACCGGTGGCTAAACTTCATGTTCGCCCGGCCTCGACTCGAAGCAGCAACTTCAGCGATCGGCTCGGACCGTTGGCTAGGAAGCCGATGGTATGTGCTGAGGTGCGTTCCCTGTGATCTGCGCAAAGGGTTTGCAAAGCAGGTACCTGCTACACAACATGAACTAACGACTGCTACCCCGTCCTGTACAGGTGGACGGAGCATCGAGGTGTTTGTGCGTTGGCGGGCCGTTGATGGATGATTTGCGCGGAGATCTGCGAAAGACGCTTTTCTGCGGGCTACATCGTTGAATCAGTTGGTGGAATCGTTCGATTGCGGCGGATATGGAAGTATTCCATCCTCCGAGCCTAGCATACTTTGCTCTCCGAACTTGGGCCGTTGTTCATCGGCCTCGGCTTTCCAGAGAATTCATACGTCACGCTGTCGTACGGAAATATCATTCTGACTTTGACAGAAGGGGTGTGAGAGTGCCTTGTGGTTGTCCACGAGGCGTACCCTCAGATCCAACAAGTAGGTCCTCACACCATCAAGGCCAATTTGATTCAACAATTACTGGCAATACTTTCTTAAAGGGGATTATGTTGCCGTTTTCGGTCACTATCACGGATCTCTGGCTGATAGTTCACGGGACACGTCTCAGTGCGTAGGCGGTACCTGGGGGCCGAGTCCGAATCAATGGCGGCTATTTTCGTGAGCGTTTAAAGAACTAGGCTTTTGAGCTGTCATATACGGATACCATGACTGTATGTGTTTGCATATATAGCGACGCTTATGATGTATAATGACTGGGTAAAAATGGGAGCCGCTGATGAGCTGCTTCAGTGTTACCACAATGCTCACTTTCTGAGAGCACGACAGAGACTTGAAACAGCTTGAGATTATGGGCTTGAATACGCCGGTGACTAAAAGAAAAAATGCCGCGGGCAGGCTTCAATGGATTAAACGCCAGCTTGAAACCTCTGGGGTGCAGTGAAACCCGTGAGGAATCACCGCTGCCTTATCCCCGGGGCTATCTTTGTCTGAGATGGTAGCCGCGAGGTATTCATGTTATTATCCTAAATCTCTCACGTCGTGAGCATTTGATTATGTGAGGGTGTGTCTCCGTAGAGCGTCATAGTAGTAGCACCGTTTTCGTACCAGCATACTCTAGAAAGTACTTGACCTAAAGAGAAAGAGAGAAAGCGTGACCCCATGTAAGTATAGATTGATGTTCATGACCATGTAGCAGAGACAGAGACAGCCAAGTTAAAGTTCCGGTGACCTACGTAAACATAACCAAGGGAGATATCCGCCCATCCATGTCCAAAACCAACAACCCCGTCATTAATACGGAAACTACCCCGAACCAAACCAAACATACATCAAACCACATCATTCCCCTCCGTCATCGCAGCCCCCTCCGCCTCGCACCCAAAACCCCAAGCGCAAACCCCAAGCGCCAACACCCACCCCCGCCCCGCGTATACACATCCGCTCCCAAGCCCTCTCACTCAGCACCACCTTCGTAAAAAACGGGCATTCTCCCGGTGGCACTCAACAAGGACCCTTACCCCAACATCGCATCGTACACTGACCTCATACGGGACATCCGCTCCCTCACCTTTACTCCACAAGCATACCCAGACTAGCTAACCTAACCCGCGGCGCTTGTTCCCTTATTCCCAGCACATCACTCACACACTCACGAACCGCTCACCTACGCTGTACTAAAGACAGCAAGGTGTGCTTGATCCGTGCCGTCCGATCCGAGTGAACCGAGAAGGAATCGCCGCGCGTTTGTAGTAGCCCGTGCCGCATGCGTCCTATATGCAATGTAGCTCAACAGTTGAAATATCTGTTATCAAGAGGGAGCAAGAGGGAGGGCAGAACAGAGTTTTTTTTTTCCCTCCCTCGGGGTGGGGTGGGGTGACGGACGTGCAGTGCAGACTTGCGATGGCGATCACACACATGGTAAAAACTCTCGCACAGCACAAGATATTATGCAAGCATTACCAAGACCCTACGTGCGGATCTCTTGATGATGATGCCTATAACAATAGGAAAGTCATGGCATGGGCATGGCATGTTCCGAAGATAGAAGGACAAGAGAAACTTGTACCGACCGTGAGCCGCCAAGACGTCTACGTCATTACTCTCCTTCGGTTTCATGGTGACCTCCCCTCCCTCGCAAAACGCCCTGCTGTGACATGTTCCCTACCCAACTTGCTGCCCAGTCCGTCCGCCGAGAGGGCCGAGAGAGGGTAGAAGCGCAAAACAAGAGCTCTAGCGGGACTGAAGCTGCAGAAACTAGAGACAACGGTAACGTAAGCAGGACACTAAGGAAAACCCTAAGCAGCGCGCACCTTACGACTAACGGTAAGTACGTAAGTAGTAAGCCGTCCTTCTCGCTTGCCTTCCGCCGTGCCGATGGTGACCCCCACCCTGCATTCCGTCACTCTAATTTGTTGCGTCTTAGCCTAGCAGGCGAAAACAGAGAGGAGGGGGAGTCGAGGCCACCCATTCCTTCAAGGGCCCGTCAGCTGCTGCATGCACGCAAGCAAAGTAGCGGAGGAATCGGCGTCTTGACCCTCCGCCCGCCCGCCGCACTGCAACGCAAGAAAACAAGCACTATCCTCGCAACCTCATGCTACTGGCGGTGGAATTACAGTATGCAACAAGAGATTACGGCGCGCTGTCTAGAAGGGGCGCGGCGCAGCGCAATCGTGAAATGATCCCTACCCAGCCAAGGGCACATCGCATTGTGCAGATTAGGTTCAGATAGAAGGCCCGTAGCGAACCGGGTGGTAGGTCGGTCGGTTCTGGGTGTGGCATAGTGCCCAACTGTATTGTATAGTCACCCCACGAAAGCAGCTCAAAGAGTATCACGTCGTGGGGAGACAGAGCAAAGGAAGGGCCGAAGCGAAGCGAAAGCGCGGGAGAAGAAAAGAGGGGAAGGGAAAAAGCAAAGACCCGGGTGTGTATGGGGAAAACCTGCGTCAGGTCTTCGGTAAATGCGAGAAAGCCCATGTGCATGATAGGGAGCAAGCCGTCGGTCGTCGACCCGGCACCAAGCAAAAACGAAGCAAACGAAGCAGGCTGTGCGTTACTTGCCAGCGCAGGTGCGCGCGCCGCCGGCCGTAACCTCGCAGAACCCGTACCAGGCAAAGGAAAAAACTACTGTCTTTCAACGGTCAACGACGCATAAGGTGACGCGTGTGTGCACGGAGCGGCGCGATTAGCCACAAGCGTGTCTGATGGCGATTGGGGAACTGGGGTGGTATGAGGGAGGGCAAGGGACAAAAAGACACACAAGACTGGCTGCTTTGTGCCGGGGTGATGATGGGAGGGAAAGAAACCTGGGATCTGCGCGGAGAAGTGAGGCTCAGCTGGAACCTGTGACAGTGCATTGCAGGTGCCGCGCACATGATGTTCAGGTTCTGGACTGCTCTCTCTGTGCTTTTCGCCATCATCTGCGTCGTCGGCTCCGAACTGCGATGACCGATGGCCTATCGTCGATTGGGAGACACGCGTATCTTGCTGCATATGGTCTTCGCAAACTTCCCGAAATTTTCTATGTCATTCAATCCTTGAACCATGATCCATGTGGGGGTTATGTGGTGAACTCGTAGATTATGATGATTATCTAGTATTAGGATTCCACCCGTAGTCTGGAAAGCCACCTTGGACTGAAGGTGAAGAAGAAGAGTAATGAGAAACCGAGAATGCAAGGCAAGAAAAAAGCAAATTTCTCGCAGTAGTAATACCAAGTAAGGAATCCCTTGATGAATGCAGTCTATAAGACGTTCCAGCCCAATGCATCTAGAGTGAATGAAAGAGAATGCCAGCCCCTGGCACGGAGACATGGAACCAATCCGAGGGTTCTTACATGGAAAAACGCCAGTGAAATGCAATAGACGATATGTACAAGCCGCGCGCATCGAATATTAACAGCGTAAAATGGAGGCTAAACCAGTAGCCCGGACAGAAAATCAATCGGGCCTGGCGAGAATGGCGGCAACAGCGTCGCAGGGCGCACAAGGCTGTACTTTTCGGGGCGGAACAGCAGCTGGAGCAGGGGGCGGGCAAACACACTCTTCAACAAACTCCTCTTCAGCAGCTACGAAGACGACTTCCTCATCGTTGTCCTCTTCAGTAGAATACGCAGATGATCGACGTGCCTGGGTCAGACCGGGCGCGTCTCTTGGAACGAAGTAGGATTCGCGGCGCTCATACTGCGGGGTACAGGCTCCAGAATGCGATAAGAAAACGGAAGCTCGTCGCGAGAAATGGCCGGCAGAGGGAGCGTCGTCGCACGATGGAAAGGCAGTCCCCCAGAAAGGCAGCTTTGGCGGGGTACCTTGACCGTTGTAAGGCACGTAGATGGATCCACCACGCGGCCTCAGGAAAGGACTTGGGTCGTCAAAGTCCTCGAATGGGCTCTCTCTATCCGATTCTTCTCGCGTGGCCTCAAGGTGCGACTTTTGTAGCGCAATCTCGAGTTCTTCGGCTGTAAAAGGTTGCGAGGGCTGACGAGTGCGATCAGAGCCCGTGGCTGGTCGTGACGATTGTCGGATGGAATCCGAGCGTTGAGCGCCTTGTGACGGTTTCCGGCGGGCGTCGCGAGGGTCCTCGGTTGGGTTTCGGGAGAGGCCAACTAAGGCAAGTCAGTAAAGGCGCGTGTCAGGTTTCCCGGAAAAAACAAAAACATACCATTTAGCACATCGCCCTCGTCATCGGACGCCTCTTTGATGTTGGCAGGTCTGTCGTCACCGGCAATGCTCGCTCCAATGCCGCTGTCTACCCACTCTTCAGCATCATAGTCCGAGGCACAGCTTCCTCTCCGGCTTCGGTGCATACTACGGCTACGGCTGCGTCTCCTAAAACTGCTCCTGCGACTCGGCAGCCTGCTTCCCATGGGCGAGTACAGCGAAGCATTGCTGTGCCGACGCCAGGCTGTGGAAAAGCTAAAAGCCTCGAGTTTCTTCTTGTGTTCCGGGTCGACTGCGCGACGGTATTTTAGCGGAGGCATCTTCTCGCCAGGCTTGTAAAAGTCCGACTCTGGCTCGTCTGGCTTTGCATGCTTGTGCGAGCCAGCGGTGAGTACGCGCTTTAAGCGGGTGCGTAGGTGACCAGGCATGGTTGTGTTGGGTCGACTATATCCGCGAGGTGAATTCCTGATGTCGAGTTGGGAAGAAAACACGGCCTTGTTGTGTGAAGATTGTTGTGTGAAAGAGTCGTGGAGGAAGGAGAGCACACAGTCCAAGGGCTGGTCGGTATGATGTCGGCAGCAGTGAGGCTGATTAGAGGGTGGGTCGCGAGGGGGCACAGACCAGTGTTGTTATCCTAACCCTGCTGGGGTGCTGAGCAGAGGTGGAGTATCCGAAACTGCGGTGGGACACTCCAGTCTTCAAGCAACACGAGCTGGGGAAGCGGTGGGATGTATACTTACACTGACAGGCTCGGCGCCTCAAGGGTAGGGCAGGGCTAGAAGAAAACGCGGAGTAGGCTAGAGCTCGTCGGCCTGCACTCTAATAACGCAATCACAATGGCGTTGGGGGTGACGAGACTCGCTGCGACTCTGGGCAGACCAGCGAAGGGGGGTCCCGCAAAGAGGCTACTGTCGGTGGCCGCATGCATACATGCCTGGCGGTAGAAGATTTCTAGAAAGGAAGAGGCGCGAAAAGCGCAAGAGCGTGGGTGGTAATCGGCCGAGCGCTTCCTAGCGAAGCACCAGAGGTCAAAAGGTGGGCCAGACTGCGAAAGGGTGAGCGCTAGGCTGTTGGAGGAGTGAAGTGCCGTTGCCGGGACTCTTATCCATGGTTCGCCACCGCCTGGTACCACCTGGAAATTCGCGCATTCACACGCCCAATTCGCTGACTGTCGGAGAGTGGCAGCGAGCTTGCGGAAGGTGGTTAGGATCGAATGTTGAGAAGCATGCACGCCAACCCGCCCGACTTCTGGGCTGGCAGTGCCAGGGCCAGGGCCAGGGTTTGGTTTCAATGCTACCATCAAAGTTGCAGCGGATTCGACCATTACCATGTGCATCATCCTCTACACCATATCCATACCCACGCAACCCTCCCTCCTGTCAGATCGGGCGTTCCGTGCACCGCGGCCTTGTGAGCGCTTGCGTGCCTGCATCCGGCCCAGCGCTATTACATACATGCATGCCGAAGAGCGGAGGTCATGCGTGCTAATCCTGTATGAGTGTGGGGTATCTCCGGCAAGTAGCTGACCGGTGAAGTCATCAGCTATATTTGTACAAGTACATGACACTGCCAACGCCAGCAAAGAAACTGACCACGTCGATGACACGGCTTTGGGCGTCAGAAGAATCCTTCCAGTACTGCCCAGGAGTGATGCGCGTTACGTGTGCTGACTGGAATGACGCAGCGTGAATGACACCGATCACGTGGAACTGCATGAATTGCGCCATCACGTGGCCAAGATGATGCACATCACGTGCCGTCGTCGCGCAAATCAAGGGATCGCTCGCAAGGATGACGCCGCCCCGCATGTCACACAACTTGCTTTGCTTTGTCCAAACAGTTCGACGACTCGTTCATTTTGTATCGGAAGCTGTTGCATGGCTGCAATTGGCATGAGGCGCACCTGTTCGCGGCGGGAACGCCGTAGTCGTAGCGTTCATTGGAAGGCGCAGCATCTAGCTCCTGCAGCCGTCCAGCTCGATGACCTCATAGTATCCAGGCTAGGTAGCTACAACAAACGCCATGATGTCTTGCCTTCATGAACTGTGCCCTGCTTTCTGCTAGTATAGTACTACGCTTAAACTGACCCTTGATTAATCTGAGCACCCCAAGCTCATCCTTCGGTCTCAGCGTGCATCATAGCACATCCCAACAACATGGAGAAAATCAAGAGCATCCTGTTTGTGCCACAGCCGTAACTTCTCAACCGTAGCTAATTGAACAGTCCGGGACACAAGAAAGACAATGTCGCGCACAACTCATCTACTGCTGAGGGGTACGTATGTACATAGTTTCAGTGATGATATATAGCTAATACCATCCCAGTCAGCAAGACGCAGTTTACGACGAATCGACCGGACACAGCGGGAAGCGGAACTTAACGCCGGGACAACCGGTATATGACATCAAGACTACAAGTGGTACCCCCTACACAGAACTGGCCCAACCGAGCGGCTCAGCGGGTCTTCATGGACAAGGCGCACACAGTGGCACTGACGGGCGCATTGGAGGCACAACGACTGCACACGGCGAACACTACGACACAAACCAGTCCCAAGCACTATCGGGTACTGGTCGGTCCATGGACAACACAAGTACCACTACTTCAGCAACCCATCGTCCCGACGCCTACCCTCACGGACATGCCCCGGAGGCCAGCGTCGCAAGTATCAAGAGCGGAGTGATTGGCTTTGGTGCGGAAGAGCCCCAAGGACATGCTGCTGTTTCAACGCACAATCCTGCTCAGGAGCACCTGGACGCAAACCAAGTAGTCGGAGGCGGGGAACCTGGAACTGCCGGTATGACTGACGGAAGAGGCGTACAGCCAGGATCTGGTACTCAGACTTATCCTCGTACGTAGGTCCAACTAGCTTCCAATTCATGATTTTGACGTGCAATACCTGACCAGAAGCTGCAGAGAGCCATATGATCGGTCGTGAACCTACAGGTGCTGATCCTAACTACACAGGAGAGCGGCAACCGTTTAACAACACATTGCGACAAGAAAGCTACACCGCCGATACTGATCGATCATTTCCTCTCGCTGGCGGCGTGATTTCAGATCCTACTAAGCATCCCATGTTTGCACGAGACACGACAGAGCACACTTCAGCGGCCCTTGGTCAGCGTGAACCAGGCACAAAAGAGAAGGAAGTCGAAATCAGCAACAGTCCTGTTCATAGCAGCTACGGGCGAGAAGGGCTTGCTGGAGCTGCCGCCGCCGCTGCTGCTGTTGGTGCTTCACACACCATGTCACCGTCAGAAGAAAAGGATATTCAAGACCAAGGTCTTGCGACTCGAGAGGCTACATATGGAAATGCACCACTAGCTACAGTGAGTATATAGATTGGTGTTAATCTGCCATTCATTATCTACAATCGAAATTAAGAAGCTAATACTGACATAGACTCAACCGGGAAACACAGCGAGCCAGCCGACCACTGACTACCACCCCGAGGCTTTGGCTGCAGCTACAGCTGCTGCTTCCACAGAGCCCAATATGTCGCAAACTGCCGACACTGCTATTCCTACAGGTGGATCGGCAAGTACCCATGAACGACCTCACAATCCACGGTTAGAGTCACGCCATAGACACGTTCCTGGTGAGTATATCACTACGCCATCGGACGAACCTACATTTCTCGACTACAGTTCAGTGGTAGAACCCAAAGCCCATACTCCAAGCGGACTGGCTTCTGTTCATGAAACTCCTGTTACCACAGACCCTGCACCTCACAGTGGCAGTCACGAGTTAAGGCATACGGGAACACTTGATGAACCGAAATCAAGATCATCTACAGATGATCATCATGCTCGTGACGCAGCCATTGCCGGGGGTCTTGGTGCTGGCGTTGCAGGCGTGGAGACGTATGCAGCTTCACACAAGCACGACAGTTCAGATGCTCATTCTAGTCAACCGTTTCCCGAAGAGTCCAGTCCTTATAGCAGCAAAGTACTCGATCCTCGTGTTCTAGGTGGAAATTCCAAGTTGGAAGAACAGAAGTTCGATTCGTTGGCCAAGTCTGAAACCGGTTCCTTGTCGCAAACCTCCAACTCTGTCAGTGGCTCGGCTGTCTCTGGACCTCCAGTGCAACATGTTACTTTTGCTGCCGATACTGCTGCACCAGTCTCGAACACAAGCGTGGAACCGATTAGCACTATCCCCGAAAAGCAAACTGAGCATCACTATGCCCGTGATGCAGGCTTGGTTGGCGCTGGTGCTGCCACTACTGGTGGTATATATGCTGCAACCCATGACAACAATACAAGCAGCGGACCAGCTTCGAACACCATCGGACCGCACTCTAGCAACACGGCGAACATCCTGGATCCTCGGGTTCAGCCTGACCCCAGCCAACAGATCCATCACAACATTGGACCCACCCAGGACGACCCCGCCTCACGTACAATTGGCCCGCATAGCAGCAACATTGCGAACATTGTTGACCCAAGAGTGAAGCCTAATCCGTCGAAGCAAAAGGAACATACCACAACCGGACCGCATCAGTCGGACACATTGAACCGCTTGGACCCCAAGGTAGATGAGAAGGCTGACCAGGAACATCACTACGGAAGAGACGCTGCCGTCGTCGGTGGTGCAGGCGCTGCCGGCTATGGTGCTTACGAGGCTATGAATGCCTACGGTGACCACAGGATGACTCAGCCGGGAGCTTTTCTACCAAATCAAAGATACGACACTACATCTTCCGGTGCAGGAGCGCCTAACCCAGTTTCGTCCCGGGGCCAGTATGACTACAATGATCCTACTACGAGGAGTAACGTCAACCGCACCGATCCCGACGATCATGTTAACAGGAACACCGCAATTGGCGGAGCTGGGCTAGCAGCCGCAGGTCTAGGGGCTGGAGCTTACGCAGGTTCGAGACATACCGATGGTACCCAGCAACCGCTTCATCAGACGCAAGGCTTTCCCTCTTCCAGTGCGGTTGCACCAGTATCGCAGTCTGCATACCAAGCCCGTGATACGACCCAATCCTCTTACCCCTTACAAGATACTGCTACACATGGATCTTACCCGGGACAAGGTACCATCGCGCCACATAACACGTATGAGCAGGGCCCGGGTGTCCAAACCTATGGATCTAACCAGGGTCTCGTAAGGGAGGACCACGATAAGCGCAATGCAGCTGTCCTAGGTGGCGCTGTGGGAGCTGCAGGACTAGGTGGTGCAGCGTACGTCAACTCTCAGCACCAAGACCAGCGTGAAGCAGACCAGCATCTCAAGAAGATCGCCCACGAGCGCGAAAAGGAGCAGCACGCACTCGACAAGGAACAGCGCCACCGTGAGAAGGAGCTTGAAAAGGAGACAGAAGGTGAAGAGAAGAAGAAACATGGTCTTTTGGGCTTCCTGCACAGGGACAAGTCCAAGAGGGAGAAGAAAGATAAGTCCACACCAAGCCCTGATTCCTCGCCTCGTCAGTCGCGGGATTACAGTCCCAGACACTCCAGAGACTATGGCGATGAGCACCCTGACTCGCCACGCTGGAAAGGCAAACATCTTCTGCACAAGGACCCCCCCAAAGGTCATCCCGCTCGTGAGATGATGGAACAGCAGCACGAGAGCGGCCTACATGGGGTAGGAAAGCGAGAACATGTTGGTATCGATGGGCCTATTGGCAATCCCGACATGATTAGCGGTGACCGGTAAGTCATGGCATACATCTGAACCCCTGGTATGAGTAGGTTACTAAAACTTCAATAGTGAGACTCGCAAAGGCGTGTACGGTCTGCATCCCGGTCCAGATCTCGATCACAACACTACCGTCACTGAACCGCACACTGGCCTACCCATAAACACGCAGTTCGGCACTGGTGCTGGTGGTATCGAAGGCAACCCTGCTATTCGCGGCCATCATACTCACCCTGACGCGCACCCGACCACGGGTTATCGGGGTGTAGACGGAGGCGCGGTTAGAAACCCGAATGCGCCATACTAAAAGTATGTTTTTGTGGAGACGTACTGGGAGTTATGGGAATACGGGGTATTGCACGATTCATGATTCTTACGTTATTCTCTTTGATTGAATGATTAGCTAGATATTTTAATCCAAGCTTCCGGTTTTGGCAGTCTTCTGAATAATCTGACATGAGATGATGAATTGCTCTATTCTAGCTTGATGCTCGTCTGATTGTTTAGCCACTTTTGTTCTATGCGTATTAATATTGTGTTCTCCCGGAAACTCCAGAGGAGAGAGAGAGTGTGTGTGTATACATGACACCCCGGGAAGTTGATAATCAACATCCCATCCCTTTTGACTTTTCCCCGCTTCTCAAAACCGTCTAACCTCCAATCCATTAACCACCCCTCCTCTACCTCTCATCTCTAACCCTCTCATTCCTCCCTCGCCCTCGCATCCAAAACCGCCCTATCCCAATCATACCACCAGATATACACCCCTTCAGTAACCGTAATACACGCACTCCCTACCGCACACCCGGCCCACAGCCCCACGAGTTTCCAATCCAGCCAAAAGCACAGCGCCAAAGCCAACGGAACCGCAACCCCATAATAAACACCCAAATTGCACCAGCCGCCAATACTCTGTTTGCCCAGCCCCCTCAACAGCGCATTCACAAGCGCCGTGGTGGAATCTGCAAACTGGAAAGCGGCGAGTAGCGGCAGCACGGTGGCGACGATGTCGACGACTTGCGGGTCGGACGTGAAGGCGCGCGGCAGGATGTTGCGGAAAAGGGTGAGGAAGATGAAGTCGAAGAGGCCGATGGCGAGGAAGGTTGTGATGTAGGTTTTTGTGGCTGTGCGTGCGGCAGCGAGGGAGCCGGAGCCGATCAGGTTTCCCAAGCGTGTAGAGACGGCTACGCCGACAGAGAAGGGGATGTGGTAGATGCTTATTGCTAGGGTCATTACGCTGGTGGGGTTTGTGTTAGTTTGGTTGTGGGGGAATGGGAGGGGGGACGTACATTGATTGTGCAGCTAGGTGGGTGGTGGAGAGGTAGCTTGTTGAGAAGGTTAGGATGTCCTGGAGGATGTTAATTGTGTACTTTGACATGGTACTTTACGAGGGGAATGGGGGTGAAAACGTACAAAAGCAAGCCACTCTGTCTCCACCATGACAATCCCCGGCACCGTAAGCCTAGCCATAGGCCCCCAGTTCGTAAAAGCCGCTTTCGTGAAACCACCCCAGCACTCCAACGACGCGGGATTGACAAAGTAGACGTAAATCCATAGGAGCAGTGGAAGCAGGTTATTCGATATAACCGTCGCGAGCGCCGCACCCGTAAGATCCCAATTAAGCACAAACACGAAAACGTAGTTGAGTGCAATATTGACCGGCGTTGCGATGAGCAGCACAAACAACGAAGCATTGAACAGCCCCTGAGCCTGTGTGAATCGTTTCCCAGCTTCAAAAATAGCGTACCCAGGTGCACCAGCCAGGAGCAACGAGAGGTAGTAACCAGCGAGATGCGCAAGTTCTTTTTCCGGAACGAGCGCTGCGAGGATCCAGCCTGAGCAAAGCCAGACCGCACCAATCGGAATGGTAACAGCCAGCATGAAAAGTACCATACGCTGAAGATGTAAACCCACCATTGTCTTCTTGCCCGAGCCGTACGCCTGTGCACACAGCGTATCCAGCGATGTAGCCAGACCTTCGTAGATTGCTAGACCAGTGATGTTTGCCGTCATGGTTGCAAGAGATACTGCACCCAATTCATCCGTTCCAACTATTATCAAGTCAGCATCCTCCATCAAAAACCTCCCATTTTGCCCTACTACCCAAACTACCCAAATGGCCCGGGCTTTCAAATGAGAAAACAAGACAAGACTTACTATGCCCCACAACAAAAATCGTAACCAAACTAAACGAATACTGCAACAAATACGTGCCCATGAGCGGAACACTATACTTGAGCAACAACCTAGCTTCCTGCCCTGCAGTCGTGGTTCCCAGCTCTTCCTCATCACCCTCTCCTCCTCCTCCCAGTAAACTCTCAATTTCCGCCGGATCAGCCATCACAGCCCCATACTGGCTGTGGTTCTTGGCTGCCGACGACTTGAGCAACCCCACGCGCTCCGCCGTACTCGTCGAAAACCGGCGTGCCTCGGGCGCATCCATGGTGCGGTAATACGCAGCCGTATAGCAACCACTGCCGCCGCCGCCAGAGGTAAAAGGCAAAGGAACAAAACTAAGAGCTAGGGACGATATATCATACTCGTACTCTTCTGTGTCGAAATGTTTGTCTTCGTTGGCGTAGATGTCGGCTGGTGGTGCGTTTTGCTGTCGCTGCTGCTTCTTGGTGCTGACGACGGCGGGCTGGACGTCCCAGAGTGGGGCTACTATCTCCACCTCTTCTTCTGTCGTCAATGGCGCCATCGGTCGGCGCGCTGCTGCCCACGGCGATGCAGTAAGGCGTTTTCGGAGGGGAAAACTAGGCTAGCGAGGGCGTCGTGGTGTGCATAATCCTTCTTTTTTTGTTGGTTGCTTCCCGCAATGCGCATACGCAATCAACGCAACGCAAATGCGGTGTGGAGTTTGTATAGTTAAATCGCAAACGATGCGGTGAGAGAGAGCAGCGATATCTGGAAGCGGCAATATACGGCCGGGCGGCGCAAGCAATTGACACACGCACACAACTTTGTATTTACGGTCTGTGGGCGAAACCTTTTCTTGTTGGTTTCCCCTCTCTGCTCTTCCCCCAAATCTCCCACTTCGCAGGGTACCCGCTGCTTTGTTTAGTAAGATGGCCCCCCATTGTAGTTACTGTCTTTGTTCGGCACGGTTCGTCCGGGCAACTACCTCACGCAACGCAACGGTCGGCGGGGCCCGTGTGGATGACAGGCAAAGAGAGTGGGTTCGACGAGGGTATGGGGGGACGTGACGGTGATGGTACAACCTGCTACCCAGATACGGCTTCGGGAGTATTCCCATTAGCCGGGTAGTCCCTTCACTTTTTGCGCCCGATGAACACATGTCCGATGGCCGGGATTCGCGGCGAACTGCACTTATCTACCGTTACTGGCATATGCATGGTTGAGGTATGGACTTCAACAGGGACGTGCATGCATGCTTATCTTGGCTGAGGAAAAAGAAAACATGATTTGGTTACCGTATATATCGGTTGTGCCAATGCTGCTTGTACGCGGGTGCTAGGTCTCTGAGCATATGCTCTCTCCGCTTTCCCCTCAACTTTGCACTCGGGATCCTTCCCGTTATATTTGGATACCTGCATAATCACCTCAAAAATCTTCCAATTGACGCTCTCCATGTCCCGAGGCCCGCGTTACTTTGTATGACACCCTCGATGCGTTGCATTTATCCATAGTCTTGAAGGATACAAGTGCAGGATTAGATCCCGACACCCTCGAGTACGTCTAACGTGACATGGAACGGCCGACATGCATCACGCTGTTGTCAACCACATGCCGCCGAATGTGTTAGACAGCACCTCGAACACATATGCAAGGAGGTCATGACAAGTTTGACTGGTGTGACACGGGTATTATTAGGGCTCTATAAAGTCCTACATCTCGTACCGAAGCCGCATATGGGCAAATGCAATTGTGAAAGTAAAGCGAACGAAGGGATTCGAAATCGAAATCGCCAATGACTACAACGTGACTAGGTAAAAAGAGGAAGTAGAAAGGAAGAAAAAGTAGAAAGTATGGAAATGCACCAAATGTGCCACTACCTGTTTGCCCTAACAGACGCATGCATCCTTGGCTCCTCTGTCACTCGTGCCTGCAACGACTGATCTGTCCGTACATGGTGACTCTCCCCGGAACGCCGACCCTGTCGAAACAAAGAATCTACTGCAACTTCTTCACACCACCCTTCCTAGGCAATCCTGCCTTCCTTCTCGCCTCCTTGTCACCCTCAGCAAGCCATTGGCTCGCTTTTAGCATCTGAACCACGTTTATCCCCTGCTTCATGGCCATGAAGGGTAATGAGATAGCCATCAGGATCCACAGGGAGAGTTGAATCCATCTTGTTGGCGCGCGCCATCTCCATAGCGGCAGCAGAAAAGGGGCTGGCAAAGAACATGGATGGTTTAGGAGCGGCAGGCGAGCCAGGTTGCAGCGAAGCCGGATTGTTAAGGTCGGAGAAGAGCGTGGGAGAGAGGAGGGGCGAGCTGAAGGAGAGGAGGTAGAGGGCAATGAAGAAGGTTTCATTCATGGCGCAAAGGGCGAAGAGAACTTTCTAATAGGATATTAGCAAGGCTTGGTACAAGGTCAAATGCTAGACGTACGTTGTTGGAGTAGTACTGTTTGAGCAACCAACTCCTGCTTTCGTCTATGTTCTTGTGGCTCTGCCCACTGCCTCCCATGCTCAACGTTGCGTACATGTGCATGTAGTGGCTCGCCAGATCAAGCGAAATGAGACTTTGAAAGACAATGCTCCAGCGAGGAAAGGCTTGCGCCAAGAAGACGAGTAGGCAGGTTGTTGTGCATCGATCCGTCACCATGTCCAGTACCGCACCAAACTTGGTGCTCTGCTCATACTTTCGGGCTGCATATCCATCTAACGCATCGAGCAGGCACGATACACTGTAAAGGAGGGTGCATGTGCGTGGGTGGAGGGGCATGTAATAGAGCGACCCGAGGGCGAGGAAGACGCGCGAATAGCCTATTATGCTGTTAGCTACCTGTATTGAAGTATAAGGGGAGTAAATATACCGATCAGGTTCGGGATAAATAGGAATATGTTCTCTTCCGCACCCTCCTCTTGTACCTTTGCGGGTCGCACTGCGGAGCCATTGCCATTGGCTTGCGATTGTACGGATGCCATGGTGATGAAGTTTGTTACTGCTGTTTCTCTTGGTCTTGCAATCGCGCCTTCAATATTCGCTCTGGCTACCCCGCTGGGTTATTCGACAGGGCTGAGGCGTGTATGCGTACACTTGGGGTGCTCTGCGCTAGGCTGCAGAGTTCCGCGTAACTGTAAGATTGGCTTCGGGTGATTCCGCTTTCTTGTCCTCGCTTGCGCACTGATGCAGAGGCTGGGAAAAAGTCGCGTAGTCGATTAAACGACGTGAGGTCGAGGTTTGCGATAGCTGCCAACGGTCAACTGCGGGTCCAAGCCAGAAAGTTGTCGAATGTTCAAGCTGCCGATAAGCCGATAACGAACCTTGGGGGCCTGGTCAGCACAGGGGTAAAAGCGGCTTCTATTCGGCGCGATATAGAGTCGCGATAGCTTCTGGATATGGAAAATACGTGTAGGAAGGGTTGTGAGGACGTGTCAATAGGAAAGCCGGGACACCACGGTGAGTGGAAATTGTTGGCAGAAATCTTTTGGCCATTTCGTCCGCCTGCTCGGGACTACCCGCTCTAGTCCAGAAAGGGGCTTGCTTAGGCATATGAGGGCAATCGTACATCAGATACATCAAGTGAGCCGAATATCATCATCAAGATAGGTAATCATGTCTTGGCCATCAGCCCACTACCCACCAGCTATCTACTCCTTGAACCCTTTGAACTTTGTCTTCTCCGCAATCTTCTTCGACTTTGCTTTCTGGTGCGCTTGCTTCTCCTTGGCTTTACCTGTAGTCAGTCCTCGGTCTGCTTTGCCCTTCTTCCATACTTTGCCCTCTGTACGGACATCCTTTGCTTCAAGCTTCTTGCGGTCTTTTCCGCTGAGCTTCTTCTTCTTCTCCTTGCCCTTGACTGATCCTCCAACAGCCCCGTTCAAGGCAGCAGCTCCCTTCTCTCTCTCCGCCATCTTGTCCTTCTCAGACTCAAACCACGTACGCCTTGGTCGAGACTTGATTTCATCTTCGTGTGTGATGAGATTCTCGCCTCGCTTGAGGTCACGCTCTGTAACACTGAGAAGACGCTCTTCCTTTTCTTCCTTGAGTACTTCCTCAATCTCGTCTTCGAGGTCTTTGATCTTCTTCATCCATCTATCCGTCTCCTCGATTGGGACCTGACGGCTGACCACCTTGGCTCCCTGATCGCGTGACGCCTTGACAGCTTGCTTGACAACCTTGCGGTCTGGCTCTGCTGCAAGTGTACACGCTCGACCACTGCGTCCGGCACGGGCGGTACGACCAACACGATGCAGATAGATCTCATGACTTTGCGGTGCTTCGTAGTTGATGACTGTAGAAACGTTCTTGATATCAAGGCCACGGGAGGCGACGTCGGTGGCAAGCAGATATGCCGATTTGCCTGAACGGAAAGCTTCGACTGATTGGATACGCTGATTTGATGTCAGTATCAGGTTGCACTACAAGATACGTATATTCTTACCTGTTCTTGGCTCATGTTACCATGGAGCTCGCTTGCCTTGAGCCCGCATAGAGCAAAGACAACCCGCACTCTGTGTGCCTCCTTCTTTTGCCTGAAGAAAACAATGACTTTCTCTGTGTAGATTTTCTCACAGATGTACATCAGGTATGCCAACCTCTTGTCCTCCTTGCCTTGACGTAGACGCACAAACTCTTGCGTAAGACCTGCTACAGTATGCTTCTTCGCGTCGACCATCAGCCGTACAGGTTTGTCCATACCAATGCGAATCAGCTTATCAACTGAGCTCGTCATGGTAGCGGAGAAAAGCATAGTCTGTCGAGACTTGGGAATAGTCGTCAAAATCTCATTCAGTTGACTCTCGAACCCTTCTTCAAGCATACGATCGGCCTCATCGAGTACAAGAATCTCAAGATGTTCAACCTGGAAGGCAGCTGTGTTATGCATGTGATCGATGAAACGACCAGGTGTTGCGATTACGACATCCGGTCTGGTCTTTAGCACAGCTTCTTGATCTCTTGTTGAGAAACCACCAGCCATCAGTGCGAAAGTGATGTCGGTGAATGACGCAAGCTTCGTAGCAACGTTGAAACATTGTACAGCCAACTCACGCGTGGGCATGAAAATGGCAACGCGCGTTGTAGGGACCTTTTTCGGACGGTAGAGAAGACGTTCGAGAATGGGGATGAGGAAGGCAGCTGTTTTACCGGAACCAGTCTCGGCTCCACCGACAACGTCCTTTCCTTGCATGGCGATTGGGACAGCCTTGTTTTGAATTGGTGTCGGCTCCGTGAAGCCGACTGATGCAAGACCTCGTAGAATTGGTCTTGAAAGTGACATGGCTTGGAACGACCCTGTGGCACCTTTGGCACCCTTCTTTTTCTTGATCTTCACACTCTCCTCCGGCGCAAAGAAGGCAGCTGCCTTCTTGGCCTCGACAGCGTCTTCCTCCTCGCTTTGCTCCTCCTCTGTATCGGCACCCTCGAGATCCATGGGATGTGGCACATGCGGCACTTCTTCGTCGTCATCTGAGCCGTCGCCTCCATTGCGTTCGCTACCCTCATTCTCGGAAGCTTCGTCTTGGTCTTCCTCGTCCTCAGAGTCGCTTGCAGCTCCCATACCGAATCCGTCTTCGGCCATGAGTTCATCATCCTCATCGAAGCCCTCAAAGTCGCCATTGACTGATGACTCCGGCGACTCTTCTTCCATGGCTTTCAGGGCCTTCTTCTTGTTCAATCTCCGCTCAATGATATCATCGACATCTACTGCTGTGCTGCTCTTCTTTCCTGATTCTTGCGCAACCGTGCCGTTTTCGTTGCCCCAGCCATCGAATTCCTCGACAAACCCAGTGTCTATGTCGCCAACCGCAAACTCAAAGTCGCTGGCAATATCATCGTTTTGCTCCACGTCTTCGCCGGGTTGTGGCATCTCATCCTCTTCTTCGGCTTGTGGCGCGGCTTCAGTCTGCTTCTTTCCCTTTTTCTTGTCCTTTTTTGCTTTCTTGGACGCCATTTCCTTTGGCTTGACATTCAAGTCTGGATCCTCTGTATATTTCCTCTTCTTACCAGCCCCAGCTAGTTTCGTCGCTGCGGCCAGCTCGTCGGCGCCACCGTCGTCGGATACATCGTCGTGATCGGAGATGGTGAATACAAAGTCGTCATCCAGATTTGGCGCCATTTTCGCGATTGCAGAGTGTACAACTGGGTATGGTCGGATTTCTGCGCAATTCTCAAATCGATCGCTGTCGCAGAAAAAAGTTCGGCCTCGGGGGATCTGTGCTCAACGCATCCCTGTCGGCTAAAAGTGGGGTCCCGATTAGCGCGCTTGCCTGGGGCATCACCTCAAAGTACGTGGGCCGAGCCGTGAGGATCGCAATCATCTGTTGCTATATAATTCTAGAAACAAGAACATGTATACTCCTAAGATTCTTTCTCACAACTCTCCTTGCTAGTGCGCCGCTGAGTCACAGGCGATCCTCTCTCCCTACTCAGGTGCATTGCAGGCACCACCAAGGCGTTTGCCCATACATCATGACGAACGGGTACAGTCTAATGACATGTGATGATATACGCTATTAAGCGGAATACTATGGACGAAGCATAATATAGCCTTGTCAAGCTGCCACTAACGAATTCAAAATGCCATATTAGCACTTGCCAGACTGCCTGTCAGGTGCTTAGCAATGGTACAACCTTGGAAGCTGACTGGCCGGGAATTCACATGAACCTACTAAAGTGATAGTAATCTACACTTACCGATCGGAAGGCACTCTGAGTCACCTTTCCGATTCGGAACCAAGGTCGGGTACAAGGCAGCCGCACTCCTACCGCCGGACCAGACGTCACATGCACTCAGCCTGGTCTCACTACAACACCTCATAAATGCATGTAGCCTTGACGAGCACATCTTCCATAACCACACAATCCTTGACTCGCCCGGATTTCTGGTACTCGTACTACACTCACTGCTCTAGTACTGTTCACATCCTCACACCAGCCAGCGCCAACCCCACTACTAACCCACACAGCCGTCACTATACACCCGATGCAGCGAGTCTTACGCTCCCAGACCAAGGAAGCCATCGAGAGTGAAGACACCACACCTCCTCCCAAAGTGGCCAAAAGGCGGCGCTCACGTGCAGCGGACCCATGGGCAAAGCGACGCAAGCCAAGCACCAAACCAAAGTCGCCCAAACCCCAGATCACTCACTTTACATGCCGAATCTGCATCGAAGAGCAGACAACCGATCAGTTCGTAACATGGCTACCACCAAAGCGCCGAGACACAACCCCAACTTTCGACATCCCCAGGGGCTGCATAGACCACCTCGCACGCAATCCGCGCCGAACAAAAATCGATCCCGTCTGCAAAACATGTATTGGGAACTTCCTGTCTGCGCGTATTGACACTCTCGGCGCACAGAACATCAGCACAGGCTGTCTGGAACCCGGTTGCACAAACTACTGGAACCACAACTACATCTTGCAGTACATGCCCGCCGGCGAGCCTCTCAACAAATTCAACATGGAGATGCTAGAATTCTGGAAGCAAACGGCCGACCCCAAGCCAATGACTTGCACAGCGCCGGATTGTAACGCCGTGGGGCTTCCTGATCTCAGGGCCCCGGGTTACCCGCAGGTGGTGTGTAATGAGTGTATCACCCGGTCTTGCGCTCAGTGTCTCGTGCCCTGGCACAAAGATCTCACATGTTCCGAGTATGCGGCCAAGCATGTCAACGACAAGATGAGCGATACCGAGAAGGAGACGCTGGAACTCATGCAGAGTAAAGACGGGAGACGTTGTCCGCATTGTCAGCTTGTCATTGTGAAAGATGGAGGTTGTGATAGTATGGTATGGACCCATCCCTCTACGGTAAGCACTGAATGGTTCATGCTGATTTTGCGTGCCAGCTCTGTGTCGGTTGCTACAAGTACTTCAACTGGGCTACCGCCGCTTCAGCTGTTAGTGGTGCAAAGAAAGCTCAAGTACCTCTTATTCACGGTATACCGTACTGGATAGATCCTAATCCGGCTAATGCGTGCGAGATGGATGGTCTTTTGGCGGGTGGAAACGCTACCAAGGCTGCAACCTCGTAGGATGGGAGGGGATGGAGGGTCGACCTTCAAGTTCAGGATGATACGGCTGGTATATTTTCATGAATGGTTTCTTATGTCAGCGAGTATGTTCACGCATGAGTAGGTCAGGCCCCAGTCACAGGATCGGTGGATGACTTCTATGGCATTTTCTTTGTTTTCTTTGCTCTTACCAATGAGCTTGTATGAAGGATGATAGAGACTACCCCATATCTGTACCTGTTCTTAGAGAAAGCCTAGGCTATGCTGTATCATCTACAGCTCGGGCGTATACATTTCGTAGTCAGCTATATTAGAGACTTGAAATGAATACCATACATGACAATCCACTTTCCCCTTCCCCCATGCGTCTAATCCGCACCAGTCAGCAAACCCAGTCTCAACAGTAGCCTGCTGAACACATCTGAGCATACCACAACACAATCACAATCACGCAACATCAACCATAAAGATCAAATTTGCCAGAGCCCGAATCGCCCCAATATGTTGTGAGATTTCCATTGTACAGACACAAAGACGCGTGCGTATTATTTACAGAAACCCCCACCCACACTCCCACCAAGCACCAACCACTTTCGGGTGCTTATAACACGCAACGCCGTCCATCGATCCATCTGCCTTGCCATTCTCCGAAAAAAAAAGAATCGAATTCGAATTTCATCCTTCGCTGTTTCGTTGTTGTAGTTGTTCACCCCGAAACTCCACTCACTGACTGAACAAATTACTCCCACTCCCAGTTTGGGTGGGAAACGCCCGCCCGATGCATTTTGAAAAGAGAAAAAGAACCGAAAAAACGCCAGTTGAACGCCACCCTACGGGCCAGGTGGAAGTTGAAGAAAGTGCATTATGTAGTTCCTGTGTGATGGTGGCCAAACCTTTCTGTAGAGATTTTTATAAAGACAGCGAAACTGAAGAAGACGCAGTCTTTTGTTTTCCTACTTTTTTTGTGGTATTGGTGTTCTTTCTGCGGGTGTGTGCGGTTAGAGGCCCCCTCGGTAGTGACTGGATACGCACCTGTTGCGGCGTGTGAAGTCGCAAGTTTCCGCCTCGTGTTTTTTGGTTTGTTGTTGGAGGGAAGCCCCGTCGTCTAATTAGAAAGGCAGGTTGTGTTAACAAGCCGCATGTTTGGCGGTGCATGGCAATGCAGCCGGAACTGAAATGAGCAAGAATGTCAGAAACCCCAAGAGTATCGGATGAATAGTACAAGGAAATGCGAACATGTGCGAGCTTAGCTGGAAGGGAGCCTATGCTGCCGTCGGAGTAGGTACCCCGTTGGTAGCAAGCTCGGCCTGTTGGCGCTTTGCTGCTGAATGCTCGCTGTCCTAGATTAGCGAATTCGTCAGCATAATGATGTAACGTTACCCCCATGGCGACATTCAACGTCTGGAGGATTTGGTGAGGCGAGTGTCACGAACTTCGAGGCCTGTCTCGGCGAACTGGCGCTTAACACTTTTCGCGTCCTTCTTTTTCTTCTTGTCTTTGCTGGGCTTCGGCCGCGTTTCTCCTTCGACGAAGACATCATCCGGGAGCGCGGAGCTGATAGGTCAGTTGGTGATTCTGGGGGAGTTGATTTGGGAGGCCATCGTACCTGCGCGTGTGGACCACTTTCACAGACATGAGGTCTTCGTTGTAAAGATCTGAGTCGGTGATGTAACTCTTGAACTGGCTCACGGGATAGGAAATATCGAGCGATTTGGTAGCTTCTATACGAATGGTCAGGGAAGAAAGAGAAACTTGGCAGGTGTATGGACATACCACCTGTGGGTAAAGTGAGGCCGATATAGAAAGTTGTAGTGTGCACTATCGTGGTGTCGCCGTTGGCTTCGAGTGTACCTTCGGCATCCGCTTCAGATTTTGGAATGAGATAGTCAAGGGAGCCTTGCGCGACCTCTTTGAACTGGTCATCCGTAATACGATGCGCTCGCTCGAAGTATTCAATATATGGACGCGCGGTGGCGATACCCGTGTTTCCATCGTCGATGCCTTTGATGATGTGTCGGATCTTCGACTGTACCAGTCCGGAGAAGGTCGAATTGGCTTCCTTGGTTCGGCTTGCGGCGACGACGCTCAAATAGTACTTGTGGTCTTTTGTAAAGAAAGTGTGCCGCTCGAACAGTGCCTTCCAATCCTTCTTGTTTGCAAAGATATCCTGCAATATGCTGTCCGCTCGACCGAATTCTTCCTTCATGATGCGCAGTGTGGATGGCATGACGGTGTGCGTAGCGCACATGGATGGGAACGCGGGTGTGATGATGGGCATGAGATGGGCTCTATCGCCGCCATAGACCTAGCAAGTTTAGTTTGGGCCTATTGCAGTTTTGGATATGGAAGACGTACCTGTGGGTTCCATACACGGAGGCCCATGTCACCCTCTTCGATGTGCTTCAGCATAACAGGCCTAGGCCAGGTCCACTTGTACATCAAACTGAAGAACTTTGAGACAATGGTAGCGCCATTGGCCATTGGGTAAAGCTGGCATATGCGGGCAACCATGATAGCCCACGCAACTCCTCCAGGGTATCCAAAGACGGCCCCGTAGATGCCGCGGCGGTTCGACCAGAGCTTGATGGCTCGCAGCGCATGTCGGAAGCTCACCTTCTGTGGAACCGAGTCCAAGAGTTCGTTGGTGACTCGTGTACCGTTAACGCTGCGTGTTGCCGACTCGGAAAGTCCCTCCAAGTCCTTCTTTTCAATGGTGGTCATGTTGAGGGGTATTGAAGGCCTCTTCGGTAGCGAGCAAAACAGCAAGTCTATGCTCACGCCCTGGTATTCCATCTTGATAATAGGTACAAAGGCGTCTTCTACGGGCACGAACTCTTGGATGTCCTTTTCGTTGCATAGTTCTTTGAAGGTTGAGGGAAAGATGGCGAAGAAATCGTCAATGGAGACAAATTTGGGCGCGACAACGAGCGTATCGATATCCGATTTGGGACCGTGAACACCGAGAGCGAAGCTGCCGAAAGTGAAGATCTTGCCGCCCGCGGCGTCGATGATAGACTGCTGAACGCCCTTTTTCTTGCCGACGCGACGCACAAACTCTTCGACGACATTTTGGATATCTTTGAGAACTGACTCCCTAGACATCAGTCAGCTCCTCGCTATTCTTACCCGCGCAATGCAATCGCCTTACCTTTGTTGGTTGCCCTCGGGCGTCTCAAACACATTCTCGTCTTTCAGCGTCGTGATGAGGCTATCGTTTTTGCGAATATCCTGTTCGGTAGGCGGGGCCTCAGAGATGGCGCTGGTAACGCCAAACTGCCGGGTGGGTTTCTTCTGGTCGTCCATGGTGAAAAGGTTGAGGAGTGGTTAAAGTCTGGTTGCGCAACTCGGCACAGATGGCGCGCAGGAAGTCGCAGACGAGGCGCGTGTCGTGTGAGATTGCCGTGAGAGGTTGCTGGGTAAGATTAGTAGTGACGGAATGAGCGCTCTCACATGGCGACGTGTCGCGACCGTTCCCTTGTTTTGGGTTAGCGGAGTGATTGACACATGAGAAGTCGTGAATGCTTTCGTCTTTGCAGCGAGCAGTTGCCAAGACGCTAATGCGCCGCAGTGGCTCAGGGCTGACGGCACGAGTAAAGGTTGACACGCCAAGCCTATTTTGGCCAGAAGGCAGGCTAATCTGCTTGTGGCCACTAGGCTTGGCAAATCCACACGTACCCATTCTTAACATACCCTTTGTGCGCAACAAGCAACATGGACGCACACACTTCACTCTCAAGCCCGAAATACAGATGCGGATAGCGAGAGCCGTAGGAGCTATTGCACTCCTTCGCATGTCGCTTACTGCAGACGCACCTGGCGCCTTTCATCAAGCCGGTACTTACGAAGAGAGAGGCCACTCAGTTTGGTTAAGGCCTACTACACAAGATACTACGCAAGAAATACAGAGACTTCGCACTGAGCTCCAGATTGAGTTCTTTGAGGTCAATCACGATACCCGACCATTCACGCCTCATCTCTCTGTAGGGCAAACGTCTGATCAGATTGGCGTGCAGAAGCTTTGTAAAAAGGTTAAGATGGTTGTGCAAAAATTCCGGGCCAAAAATGGAGCAGAGAAAGGCTCTCCGAATGCCCTGGACTGGTCTGTTGACAGAGTCTGTGTTCTCGAGCGCAAAGGCTTCAATGATCGCTTTCAAGTAGTCACAGAGATAGAATTAGGGAAAGAGCGGCCTTGAGTACACTACTTAGTTCTTGTTGAAAAACTCCTTCAGATTCTCGTCCAACCACTTCACGTCTTCTGTGGACTGTCCAGGACCGCCAGCCCTGAATGTATGGGTTAGCTACAAGCATGTCACAACCATGGGCGCAGAACTCACCAATGACCCCAAATAGATGGAAAGACCTTCAGAGTCCCTATGCCGGGATTCATACTCTGCACCTCAGACTCGGAATCCTCTGGCGGAAAGTAGAGATCCGTCTTTCCTGGCAAGACTAGCATTTTGGCCTTGATACCCTTCATCGCCTTGTCGAAGTCGCCGTTGTATGGCTCTTGGTTAGAGCAGTCACCCGCCTGCCACGTATGCGCCATGACCAGCATGTTCTCCGGGTCTTTTGACAGCGCCCAGGCCTCCCAAAAGTTGACGAGGAAGTCGTCGAGGTTCTTGAAGCCCAACGTTGGCGCTGTCTCGTAGAGCTTCTCGCGGTAGAAGGCTTGAGAGAAGCCCCAACCAGCATATACGCGTCCAAGGGCTCTCAGTCCGACTTCTCGGGCCTCGGCCGAGAATGTTACAGGCTTGCCACTGGCAGTGTAAAGGTCCGACTTGGAGACACCACCTGAACTTGTGCCAATCGAGGCATAAAGCGCACTCTTGACGCCCTCTATGAAGACTTGGTTATGCAGACTGGTCTTTGCACTGCCACAGAACGGGACTGCGATATCCATAAAGTCTGGATATTGGGTTGCCCACTGATATGTCTGTCCTGCGCCCATGGACCATCCCAATACCGCACGTGCGTGCTTGACACCGAGATGCTTGCTCACAAGCTCATACTGGGCGCGTACATTGTCGTAGAATAGCACTTCAGGAAATGGCCGCAGACTGGGCATGTTGGATGGCGACGACGACTGGCCATTGCCAAATAGAGCGGGGATAATGATGTAGTATTTGGAAGGGTTGAGCGTCTTGTCTGAGCCTGTGAGCCAGAGGTTCTCCTGTATCTCTGAGGGAATAATTTTAGTAATTGTGCGAAGTTCTGGACGAGTCTTGCATACTTCCAGAATACCATGTTGGATAGACTACAGCTGGGAGCGATGGGTCGCCCAGCGTCTTGTATGCGATGAAGGCATCTGGAATTTCTCCGCCGGATTTCAACTTAAAGTTACCAAGCTTGTATGTCTGGTAGTCTGTATCGGAAGACATGATGGAGATTTATGTTGTTTTCTTGGGAGAATCTGTTACTTGTCTTTCTCGGGTGTAATACAGTAGATATGCTACTGCTCACAAGAACCTTTGTTTATCAACTTCACACAGGCTTCTCATGTACGTGATGGAAGGAATGTCAGAATTCAGTAGCATTGCCTATCTACGAGCGGTACGCCTTGCAACTCTACCGCCATAGTTGGAGATTTCGTAGTGGCATTGTTATCTATGGCGGGGTAACTTGGAGACTGGCGGGGTAGATGACGTTGTCGGCCGTATTGTGTAGGAGAGCCATCCCCCGCGTATAGCCGTAAAATAGGTCCTCAGTAACCTCTAATGATTATCAAGACGTTTTATAGCCCAAGTTATGTCGACAGGTTTTCGTTCGGCAAAGAGTTATCAGCGAGATCGAATTTACATCGATGGATCCTCGGTCCACGTTCCGCGGCCGCCCTAGGCTTTCCGCCGCTTTCTATAGCTTCGGAATACCCGCCGCCATTTACCGGAATGCACATTTTTGCGCTTGATAATGTTGTTAGCACGGCAGTTACGTCTATATCGACATAGGTTACAAATATCCTGTTATCATCACCAACCACAACCCATCCATTCACCCCAGCTCAAATACCCATCACCCTCAACACAAACCCCCCGTAAACCATACTCCAAAATGGCATCAGGAAGAGCAGACGCCGAGAAGGAAATCAAGCGCAACCCCCACGGCGACTTCAAAGCGGTAGAAGCCTCGCGCCCACCCTTTGACCAAACTTCATCCTTCCACTACACGCAAACCCCCAAACCAGGTTGGGAGGTTGGCGCCGGCCCCAATACGTCGTCCAGCCTAGAAAAGTCGCATCGCTCAATTGAACCCTACGAAGAAGGCCGACCTGTGGTAAACAACTACAAACTGCTCATCTCGGCCATTGTGCCCCGCCCCATCGGCTTCGTCTCAACCATAAGCGCAGATGGCGCCTCCACAAACCTCGCGCCTTTCAGCTACTTCAACCTCGTAAATCATGATCCACCCATGTTCGTCATCGGCTTCGCCGGCGGCATGGACAAGGCCAAAGACACACTGAAGAACTTGCTTGATACCAAGGAAGCTGTTGTCAACATCATCACAGAAGAGTACATTGAAGCAGCGAATTTTACATCAATTAATGCGCCGACGGGCATCAGTGAGTGGGCGTTTAGCGGGCTGCATGCTGAGAAGAGCAAGTTTGTGAAGCCGGATAGGGTGAAGGAAGCGGTGTTTAGTGTTGAGGTCAAGCTTGTTAATTCGGTCGAGTGGACGAGTAAGAATCCTACTACGCCGGATAAGAAGACTGGTGTTACGGTTTTTGTGGAGGGGGTCAATTTTTGGGTTAGGGAGGATGCGATTGATGAACAGGGTGTGCTTGTTGATCCTGCTGTGAGTTTCCCGTCGTTTGCTCGGACGAGAGTGTGGTGAATATGATGCTAATCCTTTTGTGCAGGTGCTCAAGCCGGTGTCGAGATTGGGTGGTATCACGTATGCGCGTGTGACTCAGGCTTTTGAACTCCCGAGACCGGATTATGACGAAGTTACCAAGGATCCTGAGGTTGCTAAGTTGGCGCGGCCAAAGGGCAAGACTCAACTGTAGAGGTTTGCGATGTTTCGGTGTTGTGCACAACATCTATCAAGTGCTTCATAGAATGGTAGATATATTACAAGGCATACATGCGTCGCACAGAAGAGAAGCATATGGCTTATGCAGTGTGAACCGCGGTACAAACCCTCCCGATTCAGATTCGAAAATGAAGAATAGGAAAAGCAGAGGTATCATACTGATGCGTTAACAGCACCAGGTATCTCTTACCCCAAAGTAAGACCGACTCCAATACACTGACTCCTGCGAAGAGCAAGTCATACTTCATTCCTTTCCCTTACAAAGCCATCACCCCCGCAAACGCCGCCGCAACACCAGCCCCAACCAATCCCACCATGTTCTGCGAACCCGCACCTGTCTCCTTAGGTCCTGCAGTTCCACTAGCACCCGAGCTCTTCGACGCCTGTCCCGTTGTCGACGCCGTCGCATTCGGGCCATTAACAGCCTCGACAATCAGTGCCTGAACTTCCTGATTGAACTTGTCATAGTAGCTTTTGACATCGCTGGGCAGCGCGCTGTACCAAGCCGGCGTAGCAGAAAACGTCTCAACCTCGCCGATCGCAGTCACCTCGCTGGGGATGGAGTAGCTGGCGGTTGCGGCAAAGGAGGCTAGGCCCTTGTGGGCTGAAGCTGCGGCTGAGAGCGCGGAACCCTGGGTCAGGGAGGCGAGGCGCGAGGTGACGAAGTTCTCGAGCGAGGAGACGTAGTTGTCAACCTGGGGTTTGTTAGGATGGGCCGGGGCATCAAGATGGGGCAGGTGCGAGGGGGAGACTTACGTCCGTTAGGACGGCGAGGTTGGTAGGGACGGGCGTGGATGTTATGATGACGAATTCAGCAGCTGCTGTGCTTGCTGCAGCGGCGAGGAGGGCGATGTTCTTGAACTGCATGGTGACGATGTAGTATCGAGTAGTCTTGTTTTGTGAAAGAGAAACAGTTGTGTATTCGGCAAGGAAGAAAAGAGTCTACGGGTTTATAGATTTCCAGGGATGTAAACAACAGAAGCGAGAGTGTTAAGGCAGGGTAAGAGCGAAGGAAGGGGGGAGGAGCTGAGAATGGAACGCGTCCAGGTGCAGAGATGCGCCTTTATGTACCACCAAGACGTTTTGTGCGTTTGCATGTATGTTTGTCCCTCGCCGTTCACTACTAAAGGGCACTCAGCCCCAAATCTCGCATGGGTCGAGGTGTCCAGCCAGCCAGCCCGCGGGCCAGCCTTGCAGTGTTGACATCTATTTGAATCGTCTGGTAAGCAAGCAAACGTGCATCTAATGATCGTCACCCCAGCCCGTCTGACGCAATCCCTCTCATCCTGGACCCTTGCAACCCACAACAAGAAACCACCCAACACCCACACGATGAACGAACGACACGCGTTTGGAACGCAGAGTTTCCAACGGGGCCCAGATCGGACGTTTTTTTTTATGACAGCGGATTTTCAGGGGAGGCTTGGTATTTTCTAGCGGCATTGCGGCTGCAAAGGCCTGGCTAAATTTGGATGTATTGATTGCATTAGCGTCCCCGCCTTATCAAAGACAAGCTTCTTCCCTGACAAAAGGATTGGGTGACGCGGACACCACAAGGCCACCCCCACTAACCACCATAATGTCCCAAGACATTGCGCGGTCAAGGCGGTGCTTGGAGTCTTTTTTACTCAACTTCCCGGGCTACGGTCGCGATAGTGATGCCCTCACTGCTGCCCTTCTTTCCTGCAATCTCGCCTTGGTCGCTGGAGGTATCGCTTGTGCTCCCGGCATCTTGGGCAATGTTTTGTTTGCTCTCCTTCCAGCCGAGAAAGAGGAAGCCTAGAATCACTACGAGCCAGTACAAGTTGTATGAGATGACGGAGCCATAGGTTGCGCTGTTTTGCCACCCGAGCAAAGAGTTGAAGATTCCCCAGCTGTAATCGACATGTTAGCGAGAGCCGTTGAACGGGAGTTGGATTCACTTACCCGCCTGAGCCATTCTCTAGTGGAGAACAACACTACGATGCAGCAGTCAGCATGAAGAATTCCAAGAAATGTCATGTTTGACTTACGTTGACATGCCAAACACTTTTCCTAATGTCGTAGCTACCAGGTCCTGTACCAGCTTCTGCGGCGCCTTCTCCAGCAAGCTTGACCCACGCATTCTGCTCAAGATCCCAGACACCCTTTGAGAACAGGCCTGCAGCCACGAGATACAGAAAGCACGTGGACACAACAAGGAAGATTTGTAGCGACGTCTTGTTACCGCCCTTGTAGATAAGAAATCCAATAAAAACACCTGCACCAAGACCACAGATGACGGCGAATGGAAAACTTGTCGCTGGCGCGCCGAGTCCGACACCTGCAATGAACCTGGTTTTTCACTCAGCTGTAGACCATAAGAGAGAGAACGATATTCACTTACAGCACTGCTTCAATGCCCTCACGTAGCACGGTAATGAATGGCAAGATGAACATCGCATACTTCTCGCTCCACTTCTTCAATTTGCCCTTGATAGGCAGCTTGGAATCCTTTTGCTCCAGTACTTTGGCAATCTTGACACGCCATTTGTCTTGAAGTTTGCTGACACGGAGTAGGGCAGCGCCCATGACTGTAATGATGACGCTTGCGAGGAGTGCAAAGACTCCTTCCCATATGTTTTCTGCCGCTTCAAAAGCGTTCCTTCCGGCTGTATAAAACGTGCCGATAACACCAGCGCAGATGATTAGACAGATGAAGACACCTGCGCCAACACCGTACCAAATCTGACGCACGAGGCGTTTGTGGACAGCAGCATCGTGCTCAGGGCCTAGGGTCTGCTTGAGGAAAGCGAGAAGCACAGAGACGATGATGCTCGTTTCCAAACACTCTCGGAAGCAAATGAAGAAGACTTGGGAGAGTTAGTAAGCATTGTATCACCAACGTCTACAAGAAAGCTATTGCATACGTACCTGGGACGTTAAAAACGTTTGGCATCTTGCAATAGCTACCGAAGCTCTCGCTCGGTCAGGAATTGGGTGAAGGATCAGATAGAGGGCTCTTGGGGGGAATGTGTTCAAGAGGAGGATATCTAATCAGATGAGACTTCCGGCAGAGCGGCGTGTTAGTCGTGTCTGCAGTCCCTTGGACCTGCCGTTCCTGTACGATGGCGCTAATATAAAGCCGAAGTTCGGTCACCTCATGCAGTGTGGTCTCACCTGGACACGACGGGCCGATCAAGCTTGTCAGATCTTCAGCTGAAGAAGCTGAAAACAATATCTTGAGCGATTTATCTGGTACCGTTGATCTGACAGCCGTTGATAAGCTCACCGCGAACTTGTAGATCATGGTGATCACCTCCAGGACTCTCTTGCCATGTGGACCACGAACAGTCTTTCTCCAACCACCCCGCACAACATTGATCTTCAACTGTGTAAGCTGCAGGCATATTTTGCCAGCTCGCATGCCCAGAAAAGACAAATCAAATCAAGTCTCGATAGCGCACCTTAGCGTGAGCTTGTTGGTCATTTCGGCGCCGTCGCTTATCCCAAACCCTGGTCGATTACGGTCCAGATTATCAGATGGCCCGATAACATCCGGATGAAGGTCGCTCCAGAGCAAATCATGGTCTAAGAAACCTCCCACCGCTGTCAGCTACGAGGAAAAAATCACGCGATACTGAAACGATTGGGCGTCCTGGCGTTCCCAGAGCCCAATGCGTGGGAGAGAAAGCACAGCTAGCCCCGCTTTTTCAAGTTTCCTTCACTTACATGGCGCCTTCATCTTCACCGATGGCCGAGGATCTGATAATTTCGCGCTGAATCGCAGGGGCCTCATCGCGTGCTAAGACGTTAGACAGTCTTATCTGATCCCCGCGTGGGCGTTGCGATGATCGGATGCGTGCTCTTGCTTGTATGACACTGAGCCTCTGGGATAACACGCACCATCTGCTGGGACCCGTTGTGTTCAAAGTGACTTTATCATCCGCCAGAACAAAAAAGGGCTGGCTGCTCTCAGATCCTTAGGTTTTGGCACTTGTTTCATCATGCTTTCCTCGTCTTTATCAAGTTACTTTTTGCCATTGTCTTTTCTGGCTGGTGCGGCTCGTTGCGCTACTGTAACACACGACTTTGACATAGGATGGACGTACGCGAATCCTGATGGCCAGCAAATACGACCTGTGATTGGCATCAATGGAAAATGGCCTTTACCACCTATCATAGCGAACAAGGGCGATCGAATCATCGTCAATGTTAAGAATTCGCTGGGAAACGAGTCTACCAGTCTTCACTTTCATGGTTTGTACATGAATGGTACTACGCACATGGATGGTCCAATTGGGGTTACACAGTGTGGAATATCTCCTGGAAGCTCTTTTACGTACAACTTTACTGTAAGTTTGGCGTTGAAATATACTGTGGCAAATACTGATAAGGATAGATTGACCAACCAGGTACATACTGGTACCACAGCCATGAGCGTGGTCAGTATCCAGATGGTATCCGTGGACCTCTCATCGTGCATGACAACGACAGCCCCTTCAAGGACTTCTATGACGAGGAAATCATCTTGACTCTTTCCGACTGGTACCATGAGCGGATGCAACCCCTCTTGGCGAGCTTCATCAGCATTGCCAATCCATCTGGCGCAGAACCGGTCCCCCAAGCAGCACTTCTCAACGACACTCAGAACTTGACTGTTAAGATCGAGCCTGGAAAGACCTATCTCTTTCGTATGGTCAACATGGCTGCGTTTGCTGCACAGTATGTTTGGTTCGAGGAGCATACTATGCGGATTGTAGAAGTCGATGGCGTCTATACAGAGCCCACGGAAGCTAACATGCTGTATCTCACTGCTGCGCAGCGATACAGTGTGCTCGTCACCGCGAAGAACGACACAAATTCCAACTTTGCCTTTGTCGGCAGCATGGACGAGGAAATGTTCGACGCGGTACCCGATGGCTTGAACCCGAATGTCACGGGTTGGCTCGTCTACGATGAAAAGAAGGATATGCCCGCACCAAAAGACATTGATTCCTTTGAACCTTTTGATGATTTCAACCTGGTCCCATATGATAAGCAAACAGTCTTGGATCGCGTCGACAAGAGTGTTACGCTGGATATGAACATGGGTAATCTGAATGATGGAGCAAATTAGTAAGTCTAAATGTCCAAGTCTTGTAAGAATACACATCTAACAACACCCAGCGCCTTCTTCAATGACATTACCTACGTCAGCCCCAAAGTACCGACCCTCTACTCAGTCCTCTCCACAGGTGCCAACGCCACAGACGCCGTAATCTACGGCAGTAACACAAACTCTTTTGTCCTCGCCCAAAACCAAGTCGTAGAAATCGTGCTCAATAATAACGACCCCGGAAAGTATGCATATCTCCCTCTCGCATTCTCCCCATCCCATCTCAAACCCATCCCATACTAACAAACAACCCTCACAGACACCCCTTCCACCTCCACGGCCACGTCTTCCAAGTCGTAACCCGCAGCGCCGCCGACAGCGGCCCCTACGACGCAACCAACACCACAACCCCCTCGCCCACGCCCATGCGCCGCGATACCATCCTCGTCCACCCAAACGGCCACGTTGTCCTCCGCTTCCGCTCCGACAACCCAGGCGTCTGGCTCTTCCACTGCCACATCGAATGGCACGTCGCGTCGGGTCTAACAGCCACCATGATCGAGGCGCCGCTGGCCGTGCAAGCTCAACTCAAAGACAACATCCCCGCTGACCACTGGAAAGTCTGCGAGGAAAAAGGTGTACCGACCAAGGGCAATGCGGCGGGGAATACGATTGATTTACGCGATTTGAGGGGTGAGAACGGGCCGCCGGGACGCGTGCCGAGTGGGTTTACGGCGAGAGGGGTTGTGGCGTTGGTATTTAGTTGTCTTTCGGCGTTCTTGGGGTTGGGTGTTATTGGGTGGTATGGGTTGAGGCCTGTTGGGGGGAAGTGAATATGTGGTGTTGGGTACGGTTGGTTTGTGTATATGGGTTTCTGGTAGATGGGTGTAAGTATGCACAAAGGAAAGAGAGGGATAACAGATAGGAGATAGCTATTATGATAATAGTTAGATGTCTTTGGAACTCGAAAAATCCCTTGAGACTAAGTTCTCTCGGTTAATACATGAGGAGAGGATTTACAACCAAGAGCCTGGTGTGTCCATGATTAAAGAGACGACGAGAGTAGGCGAACCGCAGAAATGTAAAGCTGCTTGTACATGTTCCCAAGGCCAAAGGCTCTGTTTGTATTCATGTTTTTTCCTCGGACCATGCGAAGCGACCTGCTTGTTAAACTCGACTGTGTCTCTCTCATTTCAACCCCAATAGCCCCCATCAAGCAGACATCAGCGGTATGACTAGACGAATTTCCCATGCAGACTCAATGTTCTTGTCGCGGGTAGTGAATTTAATATCCAATCTTTCTCGCACCCAAGCCGTTCTAACAACTCTACCACCGAGTTTAATGGAGGCTTCCAATCTCAGCTTAGGGTCGATTTGCAGCCTTTTCACTCTACCCTAAGTGAAAAAGGCTCGGTAGAGTTCTGGCAAAAATCATGTGATAGATAGTTTTTCAGCTTGGTACGCCAAGGTTGTAGCTATAATTACTATATCATTAACCCACTCACTCTCAATCATTTCCTACATCGTTGGTTAATTTATGTTAGTCCATACCTATAGCATCTGCTGTTCATCCCAGTAATAACTCCACATATCATTGCCCATCATCTCATCCGCATAACTCTTCCCTTTCGTCGATCCTGCCGCCCCCGCACACACGATTAATGGCAGGAAATGTTCTGCACCACCCCTATACACACATAAATGTCAGTAAAACACATCCTTTGCATATACATACCGCCATTCCTACCCACAGAAAACTCACCTCGGATGCATAACCCAGCTTCCCGTCCACTCTCTCCACCCCAAAAACTTCCTCTCCCTCTCCCCCTCATCCACCGTCAACGCAGCATCACCAACGCTTCGGCTCCACTCCTGATTCAATCTCTTAAACTCCGGTGTCTGCGCCGTGCCATCAAACATGAGCTTGAGGTTATGAAACGTCGCAAACCCGCTGCCTATGATGGCGATATTATGGGGTCGTAGTTTACCCAACGCGCGGCCGATGGCGTAGTGTTGAGACGCGGATTCAGAAGCCAGGACGGAGAGTTGGACGATGGGGGTTGTGGCGGTAGGGTCGATGAGTTTGAGGGGGATGAAGACGCCGTGGTCCCATGCTAGAGGCGGGTTTAGGGTTAGTTTTCGCTATATATGTTGATGATATCCTTGAGTTGAAAGGGGTGGGTGGTTCCATCTATATATTTGGCATGGTTTAGATGGGCGTAAACATACCTCTGACCCCATCCTCAACACACTCAACCCCCTCCCCCTCCAACACCCCCTTCACCATCCTTGCTACCTCAGGACTCCCGGGCGCATCATGTCGTATCTTATAACTCTCCTCTGGAAACCCGTAATAATCATAAAGTAACTCGTGTTTAGCGCCGCTTGATACCCTCGCTTTTTCTGTGCTCCAGTGCGCCGTTACTACTACAATGGCGCGCGGCGCATCCGGTGTGCCTAGTTTGAGTATCTGAGGCACTTTTGTTTGCAGCGATCGCGTGATGGAGGCGTGGGACGGGTCGCCGAGGACGGGCATGGGTCCGCCGCCGTGGGAGAGCGATATTACGGGGGCGAGGCGGGGCATGCTGATTGTTGTTGTGGTGCTGTTGCTACTGTAGCAGAGCGGGGATTGTTGTAAGCTGGTTAGGAGGTGGAGGGGGTTTTGTGTGGTGTTGATGTTGATGTTGGCTAAGGAAACCCGGGATATGCTGGTGAGGGTTGAGAAGAGAGCGAGGTGGAATGGTCGTCGCATGTTCCTGGAGAAGAAAGTGGCAGACGCGTGGTATATATGGCGTGCATAGTTTCTCTCGGCATTTTAGCCATGGCTTTAGTTTTCGGTAGTTGTGGAATGGGCTAGATGCGTGAATTTGTTGGTCATGGGAGGTTTGTAAGATGTGGTTCTTGGGCGCGGAATTGTCCCGCTGGGGGTTCGTTTGGCCGATCGCATGGGTACGCGAAGACGCGTTCGAGCATGCTTACTACATCATACTTTGGTAGTAGATGTTATGTTAAGAGAAACCTGATTCTTGGTATGTACTAAATAGTTTTATTCCCAGCAAAGGAAAAATACCAGGGTCATGTCTTCCACCTTTCTGGCATCTGATGGCTATGGTACGTCAATCACAGCAAATCACAGACTTTGTATACAGTATCATCGTTGATTTGGCTACGCGGTCGTTGCACATCATATACAGCCAGAAGTGTCTAAAGCCAATACACCGTCATAACCGACCCCAACTACCAGCACACCCGTTGATTGCTCATGAAAAACCACTCGATACTGTGAACCCAGAAGGTATACAGTAGATGCGGCGACCCAATTTCCTTATGAAACTCGCGTACCATGAGATCAATCGTTCTGAAAGCCGGCAAGCGTGTGTTGACCTAGATTTCCTCATCTTCGGTAACAAATCTTGTCAGCATTGTACAGTCAAGTTGTGATTGTTCTGCGAGTGATGAACTTACCGTCGTCACCGTTGGCAGAATCTTCCTTATCCAAGTCGGCCTTTTTTGGAATTGGTGTCAGCAGGAAAGTTGTAAAAGATGCAGCTGTTCATATCTACCTCGGACTCTGACGCCTCCTTCTTGACTACCTTCTTGGCACGACCTTTACCACGGGCAACAGGTACCTTTTTGACCTTCTTGGCGACTGGGGACTTTGCGCTGGAGTCGGCTTTGTCCCTCTCACTGACTGCGTCGTCCATGACATCACCGGCCTTAGGGGTCTCCACGGCAGCCTTGCGCTTCTTGGGCGTCTTGGGCTCGGTAGCGGTGGTAGCAGTGCCAGCTTGACCTAGGAGGGCCGCGAAGGAGGGATAGTTCTCACTGGCCTTCTTCTTGACCGGGGGCCCTAGTTGTGGTCAGAAACTATCATTGATACACACATACACCTCACTTACACATCTTCTTTAGAGATCCAGCAGTGTTTTTGGTTAGCGTTGCCATAAGATCGTAGTCATACTACTGAAAGTTAGCATAGGTCAATAAAGAAATAGAAGCACACGACAACAACGCTCATACTGCAAATAATGCTAGTCGCGACAGTTATGTAATCACAGACCTTGTCCGTTCCAACGCAGCTTACGAAAGCAGCGGCTAAGAGCTTGGTATCCTTGTCTGTGAAGCCAACGAGAAGGGCGTTAGAATGGCCGTCCGGAGCGTCCTTCTTGGGAGCCATCTTGGAGGTGTCGGTGGTGCTCGAAGACGAGTAGACGATGAGGCGGTACGCAGAGATGTGAAGGAACGTGCTGGAAGTGTACGGGCGGGGTAAAGAAGAAGACGAGGAGCTGGTGAATGAGGAAAAGGCGGGGTCCTTGAGTCGGTCAAACGAAGTGAAGTTGGTATTTGCGGCCTCGCTGCCTATGGGAATAACGTCCAGGCTGCCGCCTTTGAACGCCCTGATTCGTCGAAGCAGCTTGCTTGTTATTTTCTTACCTGGGTTCCAGAAGAGGGAAAGCCAGGTCTACCGCTTTCGCAGAAGAGTCGCTTGTGATGGACGACGGCACGACTGCCCACGCACAACAACATGCTGCTGCGCGAGAACTATGAAAGCGTAGCTCACACGTGTGTCCAAGATCGATGACTGTATAAACGCAGAGTTACTACGCTGAAACTGTCTGGTATGTGCCATGCGCACGTCACGTACAGAGATGGAGGGCGGGAAGGTGTTGTTCGTGGTCTTCGCTACAGTGACATGTGTAGTATGAATGACCTTAGCCGGTGACGGAAGAGCCACCTATTCAACCATACCTAGCTTCTTTGTGCCACCGTGAAACTAGATCGACACACTGACAATGTTGTTTAGTTTGTCGATGGCGTGCTACTGTATGACATGTGAAGAATCGTATTGCAGCACGTTCCTGGCACAACACGAGGCGCCAGACACACATATCATAAAATTAACCAGTTCATCGATTCCTGACACCGGAATAGAAAGTGTGATATACGAGAATGTTGAAGGAATGGACATTACAAGAGGAAAAAGGGAGCATGATGAACATGGTTACAACGTGTGACGGGAGACAGGACATGTGATGATAATAAAATGATGATATTCATCGATAGACTGGATAACTAGGCCGTGGATTGGCTTCTTCTGTACTAGAGGACGAAGTATAAATGACAAGAAAAAAGTAATATGGAGAATACGAAGCCGGCTGAGACTTGGCGTGCCCGGAAGACGTCGGGTAACGGAAAGACAGTATCCGACGACATGGCATTCTGTGGTCAAATTGATCATCCAATACCTATTTATGCTTGGGAAGAAACGGGCCGACGTAGCACCTTTATGTGGTATGCGGCCTGGACAGGACAGAGATAAGAAGACGCATGTTGCGAGGTCCAGACATGTTTAGCTTGATTGTGCTCCGCCTTGTGTCTAGAATAGCCACGGGGTGCATGCCCGCGGCGGGCGTACTACCACGGCAGCGGGAAGCAATGTAAAGGACATGTCGACATGTCGCAGGGAGTTGACCTGTTCGGCGTTGGCGATGACGGTTGAGTGGTACAGTATAGCGTCTGCCCCGCTCGCAAGTGCCAGCACACGAATTGACAGGCATGGCGGGCTGCATGTCCCCAGACGACGGTAAAAGGTATCCATCCGCGTGCAGGCGGCGCCGTTTGACGTTGAGCAGGTCGGCGATCAAGACTCACAAGGGGGTATGATGCGAGGTACCGTGACTGCGTCGTGCCTCATTGCATTAGGGTGGTACTCGAGGTTGCGACCTGCATACTTTGAGATGAGTAGACAGGGAGGGTTATCAACCACTCAATACCGGCTAGCTGCGGCCGATCTTGGGGCTTTCCCCATAGGTCGGAGAATAGTCGCGACTTGGGGTTTGTCGCGGCAGAGTGCGGCGGAACGGAGAGTGGTCTGGATGGCATGGATGGCAGTGTAGAGAGAGCCAAGTGACAAGTGTTGGAGCCGGTGACACCGGCGGTCGAGTACTAGCTCCGACCTTGTAGGTGTGAGCCGCGTTCCGTCAGTGCAGGCTGCTGCAC